ATATAGTATGATGCTATATGATACAGTATGATATGGTATGATATTGTATGATACTATATGATGCTATATTATGCGATATGATATAATATGATGCTATATGATACAGTATGATACGGTATGATATTGTATGATACTATATGATGCTATATTATACGATATGATATAATATGATGCCAGATGATGCTATATGATACGATATGATACAGTATGATATAGTATGATGCTATATGATACAGTATGATGCGGTATGATATTGTATGATACTATATGATGCTATATTATACGATATGATATAATATTATGCTATATGATACGATATGACACAGTATGATATAGTATGATGCTATATGATACAGTATGATACGGTATGATACGGTACGATACTTTATGATGCAATATGATACGGTGTGAGATATCTGTATAGATATAGTATGATACGGTATGATATTGTATGATACTATAGATGCTATATACGATATGATATAATTATGCTGTATTGATACGATATGATACGTATGATATGAGTATGATGCTATATTACGATATGATACAGTATGATATAGTATGATGCTATACGACGATATGATACAGTATGATAAATATGATGCTATATGATACGATATGATACAGTATGATATGGTATGATGCTATGACAGTATGATACGGTATGATATTGTATGATACTATATGATGCTATATTATATGATATGATATAATATTATGCTATTTGATACGATATGATACAGTATGATATAGTATGATGCTATGATTTTGAAGAAAGCTAATTCCAGACTTTTTGCTCTCCGATTACTGAAGAAGGCTGGTTTGGATTCCACTGATCTCATAACCATTTATAGCTCAGTTATTCGGTCAATACTTGAGTATGCATGCCCAGTATGGGCAGCTCTTCCTGATTACTTATCCTTACACCTCGAGTCGATTCAAAAGCGAGCTCTCAAGATTATATACCCTGACAAATCTTATTACGAAGCATTGCAGACCTCTAAGCTCGAAAGCCTGGAATATCGACGTGATCAATTGTGTCAACGATTTATTAAATCAACCAGGAAGAAAGCATGTAAAAATAATCCAGTCTACAACATAATCAGACCTTCCCAGCTCCTTAATGAACATGATTATTTCCTACGTAGGCCAAATACTAGTGAAATTGTGAGAACTAATACTGAACGCTTCCACAACTTTATTACTATTAAATACACGTAATCGTCCTAGTTTACAGATTAGATCTTTATAGTTGTAAATATATAATATAATTTCTATCTTATATATTGTAAACCAGTATTATTGTTTGTATATACTTGTTATATTGTAAATAGTTATGTAACTATTATAACATAGGGACAATTGTGTAATTCAGTCTATACTGCAAAGCAATTGATTAATAAACAGATGTTATTGTTATTGTTATTATTATGATACAGTATGATACGGTATGATATTGTATGATACTATATGATGCTATATTATACGATATGATATAATATGATGCTATATGATACGATATGATACAGTATGATATAGTATGATGCTATATGATACAGTATGATACGGTATGATATTGTATGATACTATATGATGCTATATTATACGATATGATATAATATTATGCTGTATGATACGATATGATACAGTATGATGCTATATGATACAGTATGATACGGTATGATATTGTATGATACTATATGATGCTATATTATACGATATGATATAATATGATGCTATATGATACGATATGATACAGTATGATATAATATGATGCTATATGATACGATATGATACAGTATGATATGGTATGATGCTATATGATACAGTATGATACGGTATGATACGGTACGATACTTTATGATGCAATATGATACGGTGTGATACTGTATGATATAGTATGATACGGTATGATATTGTATGATACTATATGATGCTATATTATACGATATGATATAATATGATGCTATATGATACAATATGATACAGTATGATATAGTATGATGCTATATGATACAGTATGATATGGTATGATATTGTATGATACTATATGATGCTATATTATGCGATATGATATAATATGATGCTATATGATACAGTATGATACGGTATGATATTGTATGATACTATATGATGCTATATTATACGATATGATATAATATGATGCCAGATGATGCTATATGATACGATATGATACAGTATGATATAGTATGATGCTATATGATACAGTATGATGCGGTATGATATTGTATGATACTATATGATGCTATATTATACGATATGATATAATATTATGCTATATGATACGATATGACACAGTATGATATAGTATGATGCTATATGATACAGTATGATACGGTATGATACGGTACGATACTTTATGATGCAATATGATACGGTGTGATACTGTATGATATAGTATGATACGGTATGATATTGTATGATACTATATGATGCTATATTATACGATATGATATAATATTATGCTGTATGATACGATATGATACAGTATGATATAGTATGATGCTATATTATACGATATGATACAGTATGATATAGTATGATGCTATACGATACGATATGATACAGTATGATATAATATGATGCTATATGATACGATATGATACAGTATGATATGGTATGATGCTATATGATACAGTATGATACGGTATGATATTGTATGATACTATATGATGCTATATTATATGATATGATATAATATTATGCTATTTGATACGATATGATACAGTATGATATAGTATGATGCTATATGATACAGTATGATACGGTATGATATTGTATGATACTATATGATGCTATATTATACGATATGATATAATATGATGCTATATGATACGATATGATACAGTATGATATAGTATGATGCTATATGATACAGTATGATACGGTATGATATTGTATGATACTATATGATGCTATATTATACGATATGATATAATATTATGCTGTATGATACGATATGATACAGTATGATATAGTATGATGCTATATGATACAGTATGATACGGTATGATATTGTATGATACTATATGATGCTATATTATACGATATGATATAATATGATGCTATATGATACGATATGATACAGTATGATATAATATGATGCTATATGATACGATATGATACAGTATGATATGGTATGATGCTATATGATACAGTATGATACGGTATGATACGGTAAGATACTTTATGATGCAATATGATACGGTGTGATACTGTATGATATAGTATGATACGGTATGATATTGTATGATACTATATGATGCTATATTATACGATATGATATAATATGATGCTATATGATACAATATGATACAGTATGATATAGTATGATGCTATATGATACAGTATGATATGGTATGATATTGTATGATACTATATGATGCTATATTATGCGATATGATATAATATGATGCTATATGATACAGTATGATACGGTATGATATTGTATGATACTATATGATGCTATATTATACGATATGATATAATATGATGCCAGATGATGCTATATGATACGATATGATACAGTATGATATAGTATGATGCTATATGATACAGTATGATACGGTATGATATTGTATGATACTATATGATGCTATATTATACGATATGATATAATATGATGCTATATGATACGATATGATACAGTATGATATAGTATGATGCTATATGATACAGTATGATACGGTATGATATTGTATGATACTATATGATGCTATATTATACAATATGATATAATATTATGCTGTATGATACGATATGATACAGTATGATATAGTATGATGCTATATGATACAGTATATGATACGGTATGATATTGTATGATACTATATGATGCTATATTATACGATATGATATAATATGATGCTATATGATACGATATGATACAGTATGATATAATATGATGCTATATGATACGATATGATACAGTATAATATGGTATGATGCTATATGATACAGTATGAATACGGTATGATACGGTACGATACTTTATGATGCAATATGATACGGTGTGATACTGTATGATATAGTATGATACGGTATGATATTGTATGATACTATATGATGCTATATTATACGATATGATATAATATGATGCTATATGATACAATATGATACAGTATGATATAATATGATGCACTATGATACAATTTGATACAGTATGATATAGTATGATGCTATATGATACAGTATGATACGGTATGATATTGTATGATACTATATGATGCTATATTATACGATATGATATAATATGATGCTATATGATACGATATGATATAATATGATATAGTATGATGCTATATGATACAGTATGATACGGTATGATATTGTATGATACTATATGATGCTATATTATACGATATGATATAATATGATGCTATATGATACGATATGATACAGTATGATATAGTATGATGCTATATGATACAGTTCGATACGGTATGATATTGTATGATACTATATGATGCTATATTATACGATATGATATAATATGATGCTATATGATACGATATGATACAGTATGATATAATATGATGCACTATGATACAATTTGATACAGTATGATATAGTATGATGCAATATGATACAGTGTGACACGGTATGATACGGTATGATATAGTACGATACTATATGATGCAGTATGATACGGTGTGATATAGTATGATGCATGCTTAATGATATGATATGATACAATAGATGTTTAAAAAAAGGGTGTTGTATGTATATTGGTGTATACTGAACATGGAATTATTACCAAAATTTCGGCCATTGCATGTAAACTGATTAGGTTGAGCTCAAATATAGTATATTTCATAAGTGAAATTCCATTCCATGTTATAAACCGTCATGAAAAGTATAGTTATACTTATATATGAAAAGTATAGTTATAAACCGTCATGAAAGGTATATTACGACTATGTATATATCCTTGTGAGACTATTGAGGGGATGTTAATCACAAAATATACTAGAAATATGTGTTCACACTACTTAATATAAATCAACTGTTTTTTCCCTATTATTTAAAAAATATCAAACTTGATTATTAAGATAAATCAATGTTTTAATACAGTCAGGACATGTTCTCTTAATGTCTTATCTAAGGTGTTATGTTGAATGAACTGTTTTTTCATGTCTCTTTAAGCTAACTCGCCATGTAAATGTCTTACCACAATGTTGACATTGATACGGTCGTTCTCCGGTATGTGTTCTTTCATGTCCCTTCAAGTGACCTTGCTCAGTAAATGTCTTACCACAATGTTGACATTGATACGGTCGTTCTCCGCTATGTGTTCTTTCATGATTCTTCAAGCTACCTTGCCGTGTAAATGTCTTACCACAATGTTGACATTGATACGGTCGTTCTCCGCTATGTGTTCTTTCATGGCTCTTCAAGTCACCTTGCCGTGTAAATGTCTTACCACAATGTTGACATTGATACGGTCGTTCTCCGCTATGTGTTCTTTCATGTCCCTTCAAGTGACCTTGCTGTGTAAATGTCTTACCACAATGTTGACATTGATACGGTCGTTCTCCGCTATGTGTTCTTTCATGGCTCTTCAAGTTACATTGCTTTGTAAATATCTTACCACAATGTTGACATCGATACGGTCTTTTTTGAAAAGTTCTATCATTACTGATATTGTTCTGCTGTATTTTAGACGCAATTTGTTTAAATTTCTGATTATTATCTTTTAGGTAAACAGGCATCATTATCATACTGTCATTTTCAGCTCTATCTCTTGTTTGTTTTTTCTCGCAGTTGTTTTTAACATGTACACGAAGGTAATCTTCACTGCTATACTTTCTGCCACAGTGAGGACATTCCCACAGTTTGGTGCACGCCAATATTTGACATCTTCTTAAATGCGTTTCCAAGTAGCTGGGATATGTGTACATTCTACCACAATATTTACAGGCATGACCACCAACTGTATAAAAAGAAAAAAATTCAGACTCAGTTTATATTGTAGAGAATATTTCCTAGGGCCTAGGCTACACAAGAACTGTTTATATTTCATTTGGAGGCTCTTTATCTTCCTTCAAACTTTCATAATTACCTTCAAAGAGCTTTTCTAATTGCTTTTCGTCCTCCTCAAATAACGATATACCAAGTTGTTCTGCATATTCATCTCCATACCACACTAAAAGTTCATCATCTACATGTATTTCTTTATAAACACGATAGTAAATATCTCCATGATATTGATAGGCAATAATGTTCTGTTCGTCCTCGCATCTTGCGCAGTTGATGTACCGCATCCAGTTGCTATGATTAAGATCTTTACCATCGATATAAAACTGGATCTTTCCTTCATGAACAATCTAAATATAATACTAGACTATTAAAATACCCTTTCATGATAATTCTGTGTTCTTTGTCTATAAGTCAAAATATGTAATGACTGTTTCTTACCTCCCACATATACGAAGTATCTTTTCCTTCCTCTAAGTCTTCTTTCAGAACCTTGACGCCCCGATATGGTCCGAAACGAGTATTTATTTCCAATTTTTCCTTCGAAAAAACGCCCATACCAGCTTCAGGAATCTTGGAATCTTTTACGTACAGGTTTCCAGGAAGAGACTTCATTGCATCAGGCATCTTCATTCCTTTCTCTGTGTCCGTGCCATTGTCTTCGATGATGTTAAAATTGTGTGTGGGGCACTCGCCATAATAAAAGTCGTCACACTGGTCGCAGTCTAAAAGTTAAAAAATAAATGGCTTTGGGTGGTCATATTTTGGGTGGTCATCTCAATGATTAAATTGCGAATAGGGCTTCAGAAAACCCTTTTTAAACTTACATATGTAGTGATCATCATCAGGAACATCATCCTCTGTATAGTTTTTACGTACGAAATTTCTTGTTGACTTTCTTGTTGGTTCGTTCGCAAGACTTTTGCACTTAAACTTGATTGATCGTTTCTTCTTTTTGAGTACCGAATGCTCCAGATTACCAAAGTTGGTATGAGGTTGAACAAGTTGTCCAAGTAACTCGCTGTCTGCTGTTGCTAGCGCTTTATCTTCACTAGTACTACCCGGGTCCTGGCTAGAAATACACTGGACGTCCACGGTACTAGACTGAAACTAAATTTTATGTCAAATTTCTCAAAACACACTGATAGCTCTAGTTAACCAACGATGATTTGTACACTAGTGTCACTAAAATATATTTTACCTTGTTACTCAACTGGTTCTTCAAGGTGGGTACTCCAACGGTATGTTTTGTTAACGTATGTCCTGTTTGCATTTGGTTAAGTGTAATTAGGAAAGTGTTACTGTATTAAACTATATAAATTATAATTATAAGGATATATCTTAGACTTGATTACCTGTCATAGTTGATTTTGATTTCTTGGGATTATCTTCATCTTTTCCTGGTAGCCATTCTTCGTCGCTACCACTGTCACTCTCAGCTTTTCTCTTACTTGTTTTTTTAGGAAAATATGCCGATCTGTCAACCTCAATACCTACCACAAAGTCAAGGAAGTCTAATGATGTTTTAAAAGGACATTTTATAAAAGTATTGCCTGCAGTACGTACCCAACTGCTGGAGAAAATCAAGATTTCTGTTGATATTTGCAATTCTTCTCCGTTCATATTCGCAAAGGTCCCCACGTTTATCCTTAGGCATACTAAAAACTGAAATTTACTAAACAATTTTATTTGTAAAGACCTTGGATGAAACAAATAGTCAGTGGTGAAGGATTCTCCAGCAATCGCTAAGATGTTTTGAAAATAAAAACACCTCGATCTATATACTTTAGTTTTGAATCAAGATGAAAACTTGTAAACAAATACGCAAAGGAAATTTCGAGTTTCGGCGGGAAAGCGTCACGCATGCGTATCGTGCATCGGATAATGTTCGGTAATAATCAAATTGTCGGAAAACAATCGGTAAATTCGATTATTATTTATTAGGAAATAGAAATTAATGTTAAGATTTAAGAACGTTTTTGAACTTTGTTGAACCATCAGTGTTGCTGCAAACTTGTTGACATGATTGGCAACAACTACAACATTGTTCACTCCTATTTACTCCGCCTGCGTATGCGCAGCGGAGTGTTAAAATGCCATGGTCTTTTTTCCTTTTAGTAGTCGTATATTTTATGTACATCGGTTGGCATGCAGGCGGAGTGAACGCCTTGAGCAGGCGTCTTGTTAGGACAAAATTGCTCGTTGTTCGGCGTATCTTTTGATGAAATCTTAGAGTATAAGTATTAGTAATTAGTATTCATAAATTCGGGGTTCTCTTTATTTAAAGCTTTAAAGCCACATACAGACAGGAAAGTTTTTCTTTACAAACTGGAAGTTTTCTTGGCCAGTTCACTTTCTCGTATGTATGGTGAACAGGTTTTCCGTGACAAGTTTTATTTGCTTGTGTGTACACGATAAAATTGACAAATATTTCTTGACAAGTTTTACGATAATATGGGCCATGGTAAAAATAAGAATACAACCGAATCTCAAAACAAACAAAAATGATAAAACTTTAAAAAATCATAGGAAGCCCAGACAAATAAGTTAAAGTTAATAAAAATCCGTAAAACACTTGAGATTTGAGATATGTGTTAAAATAAATTAAAGTATATGTAATTTGCTATTTTATACTCCCAATAATATAGTAAGTTACGTCGCTAGTTGCATAGTCAAATGGCAGCGCCACTGGAGCACGCTACATACATGGTTCTAACAGTAGTTTTGTAGCAAATTACATATACTTTAATTTATTTTAATACATATCTCAAGTGTTTTACGGATTTTTATTAACTTCAACTCATTTGTCTGGGCTTCCTATGAAAAAATCCGCCGGATTGGCTCGAAGATATTGTTGCGCAGTTACCTACTGCGCAATTCCATGTCAAGTTTTCCTTGACGGCCGTGCACACGAACAGTTAGTTTTTGAAATTTGAAAAAGGCTCCTTGTCAAGGAAAACTTGACAAGGAATTATTTCGTTAGAAATAAAGCGGTGAAACTGCATTTCCTGTGCTAGGCAAATGTAAATAACGAAATGCATTCCTAACATGAAATCGTAACCTTTTGTGTAGGTTATGCTGCTGAGCTTAATGATGTGTGCTGCAGGCTCGTGTCCTTCCCGAACCAAAATGGCCAACCTGTCGATGAACGATGTTGCCGATTCATGGAAAAAATTCGCAAAAATGTCGGCGACGACTTTCTCTAGAGCTAAACAGGTAAGTAATCAAGATTCATCAGTTACTAAACCACCAAGAAACGAAGTTGATCGTATTTTCCTTGTTTTATTAAGCTCACGGAAGAGAAATTAAATCGTGCCGAGAGGACTGAATTTGACGCTCATTTCGAGAATTTAGTCGCCAGGGCTGAAAAAACACGAGATTGTACGGCGAAAATTACAGCACGGACTTCAGCATTGATTCAGCCAAATCCTAGTAAGTTGATAACATATTACAGTCATAAAGTGTCTTCGTGGAGAATTGATAGTAAAAGTTTTAAGATAATAATTTATTATATGGTGACGTCATGTTTAAAGTACAAAAATATATGACTGCGAACGAGTAATTTACTTCTGTGTGAAGCCTGTTTTACACAAATAAGATAAGAATAGTTCACATGCACAAACAAAAAATATAAGTAGAAGAAACAGAATATCAATAGAAACAGAATATTAAGTTTGAATGGTGCAAAGATATAGTGTATAAATTACCTATTTCAGGGGCCGGTTGTTTGTACGCAATAAAACGCAATAAAATTTCAGCTTTGGAACCAACAATTACTAAAGTCTAAAGGGGATCCTCAATTAGGAATACTAAGATTTAACCTAATATGGGTGATTTTAAAGCAATTGGAAAACCACTATCCTGCTTTCATACAACCAGTCCCAGATTTATATTATGCTATAATTGCCTAAGCATTTTTTTGCAAGAAATCAGCATAGGTGTGGTCAGGGTAACAGGACTATTGGCCCTCTTATTCTTATAATTGGAAAATTACAAAATTTAACATTTTGTCAGAAACATGTAGAAATGAATAAAACACATCATGTATAGATGTGTGTATGTAAAAATAACTTCAATAGCTGTTCATTATTTTAAATAATATGCCTTTGATCTTTTCCCAGTTTTTATCTCTAAAATGTATCAATATGTTTATTGAAACTCTTATAATCATGTGCATGAAAATGCCTTGTTTTTCCTTGAAAATGTCTTGAAAATAATTAAATGTCCATGCCATTACCCTCTGATAATTTGATATGTTGTGATTTGTGAAGTAAAGAGCTGTTGTAGAATTCTGCATGACTTTGTTGTATATTTGTGTAGATATTGGTATACATTTTTACAAATTTCACTGATTTAGGTAGACTGTTAGATGTGAATAGTTGTTCTTTTAGTTTTGGCTTAGATGATAACATTTCTTGGCAGATTTTCAGAAGGGTGTGGCTTCAAGTAAACAATATCATTTTATTTTTATTTGAACAAAAGACATGTTGTTACTTAAAATAGAAACAGAATATTGAAGCCATTCCCTAGAAACTTGTAAAAATCTGCCAAAAAACATCATTGTACTGCGGTCAACACCAATTAAGCATGGTTAATTGATGCTAAAGTGACAAGTAGCCCCATTTCACAGTCTACCGGAATCTGCAGTACTCATCATGTCCATCATCACAGTGAAAATCACCAATATGTTGAACATGGTGTCACCAACGTGTATAATTTCCTCTTCTATAATTGAGTTTTTGCACTATAATTTGACATTTGACCCCGTATATTTTATTTTATTGCATCAAACATGTATTTGTGTTCATACTATGGTTTTTTGACTGATAGTGATACTGCTACAAGTTGCTTTGTTCTGCAGACTGTATTTCAGCTAGTTCCTTCTTTGTGTACAGATGCTCGTGTTGAGGATGTCATGTATCAAGCACTTGATGGCAAAAAGAAAGAAAGACAGACAAATTATGAACTCTTAGGACAATGTATGTTTGACTCTGGCAATGACCTTGGTCCTGGGACAGCATATGGTGAGACAATAGGTTTCTTTGAGGCATAAATATTATCAAGGGTGGTGCTCTTTTTTGATAGAGAGTTTAACAATTATTAAAGGGATTGTAATTAATGAACAAGCATTTTAAAATTACCTATCCAGGTGGCTCTCTTGTGGAATGTGGTAAATCAATGAGAAAAATTGGACAAGCAGAACGAGATCTTCTTGAAAAAACTGTTTCAAGATTTATGAATCCACTTCAGAATTACCTTCAAACTGACATCAAAACAATCATGGTAAGATAATTATTCTAGCAAAATATCACTGACATGTTGTGGCATTCAATTTTATAATTTTGCTTTACACATTTCATGACACTCTTAACCATTATTGCTGACTAATCATATTATAGAAGGAGAAACGTGTGCTGTTGGCAAAACGACTTGACTTAGATGCTTGCAGGACTAGAGTAAAAAAGGCAGAAAATCAGCCACCTGAAAAAGTTCAACAAGTATGTTCTTTTCTTCAAAATTTTCCATCAAACACCGAAGAAGCAATAAATTATTATTATTAAGCATGGAGGGTTCATTCTGCTGAGTTCTCACATTCCCATTTTTTGACAGCTTGAAGCAGATTTAAGAGTTGCTCAGGCAGAATTTGACAGACAATATGAAGTGACAAAATTATTGTTAGATGGTGTTACTACTGCTCAGGTATATTTTACTATTTTATCAAATTTTTAATTCCAAATAACCTGAGATTTTCTTATTCTTTACTTATCTCTTTCAACAGAACAGTCATTTAATTGCTCTGCAAAGTTTTGTCGAGGCACAAGCACAATACTTTGATCAATGTCATAAAACTATGCTAGAATTACAAAGGCACATTCAGAGGTAAGCTGTGAGGAATATTAGTGATTATTATGGAGTGAAATGTGTTTGAATGGTATTGTTACAAAATTAAATTATTATAGTGGTACTGGTGCAACTGGTCGCAGTTCATCCTCCTTTGGTGGTATTAGTAAACCTCCACCATACAATATTTCTAAGCCTTCTACAACATTTGATATAAATACAGTGACTAGACCAAGTGTCACTCACAAGGCTAAAGTAATGTATGATTATGATGCAACTGAAGATGATGAACTATCTTTATTGGCTGATGAGGTAGGTTGGCTCTGTGGAGTGGGTGATACCAAACTTTGGTTGTTTCATGGATAGTATTGGCTTCAATATTTTACATTTATTCTTCATCATGGTGGTATATGATTTTAAAATACTGTACCATAGTTACATAGTATACTGTATGGTTTGTTCTATATATGGTGTTATATGTTAACATTGTGAAATAGATGAAGTATTTGGTATTGTTTTCTTTACTTGCCATTCAATATTCATATAATATACAGGATTATATTCACAAAAATTAGACCAGAATATATTTCTTCATGTACTTTTATTTCATACAGGTGATTATTGTGTATACAGTGTCAGGTCTTGACAATGACTGGATGATTGCTGAACGAGGAACACAGAAAGGACGTGTACCAATAACATATATAGAACTCTTGCCTTAATTAAATAACATATTTAAATCAATTATTTCAATATTAACAAACTGTAGCCGGCTTTTGAACCATCATACATACCCATAGGACAGCAAGCATGACAGCTTGTTAGAAATACTTTCCAAACTTATTAAGAAGACCATGCATTAGTTTTTACGAAAACAAAACTGCAATGAAATTCATATTTGTAGGGAAATACACTTTTGTTTTGTTGAATTTTGCCGAGAATATTAAAATATCGTTCACTCGATATCGTGTCACTAAAATATTAATTCAACATTAATTGTTTTTTCGTTTATTGTTTTGTGTCCGCAATCTCTCAAGGGTTAATGAGTTTGGGAAATGTTTCGAGAATTCACTACAACTGATGTTTCATATATTAACGCGAAAATTGGGAACTGCATAAAGTAAGCACGTAACTCTGGGACTTAATTGTTGAATTATATTTAATATAGATGGCTTCTTGACGTCATAACTCCGTCTATTCGTGCAATGAGTCATGAATAGCGGAACTTTAAGTCTGCTCTGACGTCTAGTGGAAGCCATTTACTAGTATTTTTTCACAACTATTATAACAATGAAAAGCTGTGACCAAGGATATTATATTTATTCGCTTTCTTAAAACGAGCTTTAGTGGCGTACTTATGATGGCTGCGTAAAGATATTGTTTTATATATATTTGCATAATTTGCGCATATAACGACTGCATAGAAATAATAGGGCATTGACTATATGCACAAGAATGGTACGTGGGCTGGGTGTTGTTTTTTAAAAACCTGTTTCAAACTATAGCAAACTTCCTCTTATGACCTAAATGAAACGTGATTTCTACCAACCTCGTGGTTATTCAAGGGCGATCCTATAGTTATGCTGTGATACCTGTATGCTTGGGCACAGGTGAATGAGTTGAGGTACACTCCAGGAGGCTGGCTTTCTGACATTTCTACTTTTAGAATACCTTCTTGACGCTCCGCAATTTCATCTTGAATTTTAGTGAAGCTTACTTTTGTTATTTTAGTGACTAATTTGTTTTAAGAACTGGGTCTAGGAAAACAAAGAAATAAGGTCCGTCTTATTACAAAATAGCTGAAATAAACAACAGGCTTGTACACTACATGCATCAGGTATGACGAATTGTGATCTGTTATATTTTGACCGGACATTCCTTGTGAGGCCCACGCACGAAGACGTGAAAACGTCACCTATCAGCAACTGGCAAGCATGTTTATTTTTACTTGGACGGAAGTCGTCATATCAATATTCTAGTATACTCATTGACATTAAACAAAACGAAAACTTAGCTGTATATATTGGCAGCGGCAAGAGCTCAATCTCGCTCAAGCAATATGGTGAGTAAAGTCAAAATCTTTTCGCTGCAGTTTTAAAGCTATTATGCTGCTATTATATATTCAAGATATATCTAGTAAATTAGTGTCGCCGTTGTGCAGATTGCTATAATCTATCCATTTTTTTCGGTGCTTTGATTTGTTCAATATTCAATAAAGGTGCTCTAATGTTATGATATTAAATTCACCTTGAAAATGAAATCGACGATGTAAAATCAAAAGATATGGTTCAAATCGTGCGTTCTAGATAACGAATCTTAGTTATTCAAAGAATGCATATCAGATTCGATCAGATTCTGAGATTACATTCTGGAAATGCATTGAAACTAAAACCCTAAACCTGAAATCCTCGACTATGGTAACCTTGAAAGAAAAGTCTATTATCATTTATCATGGTTCATGGTTTATAAAGATCGATTATAATTTCACAAATTTAAACCATTTTCAGCGAGAAGAATGTTAAATTCATATTGCCTTACAATTTATTAAATACTGGACTTCAAGCCGTGCGATACAATAGCTAGCTATACTGACTTAGTATAATACAATGATTGTCTACAAGCTGATATATTACTGTCTTCGTCACTGTCGACCACTTGTCCTTATACTGGCATAAGACATTCTTAACATTCCGTAGTGTATCGCAAGGGTTAACATAATAACATTTAAAAACTGTTTGATCCGGTCAAGACCAGAACCAGTCCCCAGAACTGACAAGAGTCTTACTAACGTTTTTTTAAGACCTTTAAAATTTATATAAAATTTTGACATTTATATTAGATATGGCCTCTGACATTTCCTACAAAATGCAACCAATGTTGCAACCAATGTTTGATGCTCTTCCCTGCATGCCCCCATTTTGAGCCAACTTCAATCGTGTCGTATTCTTTGTATCAAAGTCAAGTCAAGTGCCCATTCGAATTGCCGATGATTTTACGTGCACCTCGCTACGTTGCCATTGGCATAGCGGATGCTTTCTTGAGATGTTTAGATATCAGTGGTGAGTCTCGTAGACACTCTTACTGGATGGACAATTATCTTGCATTTCCGTCCCCACTGATTAAATTCGCCCAATTAAATTTCGTTCCGTTTGACAGGCTACATCCAGGAAAGAATATTCGAAAGGTGAGTACCTGTACGAGATATAGAAACACACCGTTGTTTGTGACAAGAAGTCACACAACTTCTCGTCGAGGATTTTCGATTTAGTTACATTTAACTAACAAACGTGCATGTGAAACGTAGTTAAAGGTTTCATACGAATTATACCTATTATTCAGCCGGTTCCAAATATACGTAGAAAATATGCAGTGTTTCGTTGTTCGACGAAAAATTATGCGAGTATCTATAGATTAAAATAGGCTCATACACTGTGCATGTATATCCTATTTATATTTAGGAGTCCAAGATGCATTTGATTTGTTTGACAAAAACGGTGATGGAACAATATCAGTAAAAGAGTTACGAGAAGCGATGCAGCAAGCTGGCCACAATGCGGCGGAAGAAATGGTTGAAAAAATGTTGAAATCTCACGACAAGGATGGTATGCTATTTTTTTGTTTGTTGGTATATATATGAAAGGTGTTAAATATACGCAGAAGAATCTGTGTTTATTTGGCTCGTTTGTTTGTTTCATGGTTGGTATATGATTCCCCAACGATGCATGGTGCGTTTGTTTGGTTGGTTTGATGTTTGGTATGTAATAATATGATTTCACAAGGATAGTAGGTTTGTTTGATGGATTGTACGTAATTTAACAAGGATGCTGCGTTTGTCTGCTGGTTGGTATATGATTTCACAAGGATGGTACGTTTGTTAGATTGTTGGTATATGGTTTCACATGCAATATGGTACGTTTGTTTCATTGTTGGCATATATGGTTTCAAATAGATAAATCTCTGTATATCGTCAAGGCCTTATTCACAAAGTTTTTAAAGGCCGTGCCAATCATTACATTGCATATCATCGACCATATTTGCGGTTCTTATTCACAGAAAATGGCGTACTGACAATAGATGAATTCGAGAAATTTCTTAGAAAAGATAATCAGGAAAACCATGCAGAGCTAAAAGAAGCCTTTGAACTTTTCGACACCAACGGAAATGGTTACATCTCAAAGGAAGAGTTAGTCCAAGCAATGAAAAGGCTGGGGGAGGATCTTAGCAATGAAGAATTAGAAAGTATGATAAGAAACGCTGATATTAATAAAGATGGACAAGTTAGTTTTGAAGGTGAGAAAGGCACTAAAACATCACTGTTCGCAAACTTTGACGGGGGCAGTACTGTTTGATCAGGGGGGTAGGAAAATTTTGTATAAAATATAAGAATAATATATTGAATTTATTCTCGTAAAATATGGATAGATTAATAAATTGTTCTATTCACTAGACGAGGGTGATGTTGTGTTTTTAAATCTTTATAAATTATTTTGAGAAATCTGTACAATCATACCTTCAACATCGTTTTCTGGAAATTCTTTATTTTTATCTAGAATTCAAAAGAATGATGGCCCCAAAATAAGAGAAATGCAACGATGTCAACAGACAGACACAATGAACTGAGGATGTAAATTTATGATTTATGATGCACCGATTTATAATGGAGAGAATGAAGACATGACTAAATTTTAATCCAGGCTAGCAATAAACCTCGTTAATAATGCAATACTGCCAAGGTTAGACCTATTCGAAGCGGTAGTTTATATGCGAAAACAAGGCGAGCCTTATTTTCGGATTTCCTCCCATGCACCAACATTTCAAATGGTTTCTTTAAATTTTTACTATTAAATATCTTTGATTCTTCGCATTATTGGTAATTGTGTTATTGCTCTCTTTTGAACAGCTAGGTCTAAAACTCTATCGTGTTTTCATTTGCAATTTTCTAACAATATATAATAAGTGTGTATATTTTAGCAAGTATACTTCGGATTGACAAAATTGCACTAGATATCAACGCACAAATACATCTTCGATTCTTCGTAACTCTCTAGGACACGGAATCCACGTCTGATGTGAAAAGCTTAAGCAGAGCGCGTGTGGGACCTTAGCACCGCATACAATGCCCGGCGCCAGCGAATAACGTTCGAAGCACCGTGGGCGTGTATAATGCTAATAGGACCACGTAAAAACCACTGCATATGACGTTAGCACAGCGCGTGATGTTGAATGCACCGCTTATGATGATAAAGCACCAAAGCTGGAAATGCGCTATGCATGGCTTTCCATACTCTCAAGAACATTTTCTGTATGCTATCTACGGAAAACATTTCAGACAAACCACTTTATTGAGGCGAAAACATTTACAATTTTACATGAACTATGACTAAATTCTACAGGAAAAGCCCGTGTGTGACAGAGTGTCTCCTTAAATCAACTTTTCTATAAAAAGCTCTAGAACATATCGTGCAAACGAAGGGTTTATGTCCGCTGTGTTTTCTACTGTGAGTGATGAGGTTTGATGACTGACTGAACGCCTTGCCGCATTCTCGACAAACATGCGGTTTTTCACCTGTGTGAATGTAAGTGTGTTTTTTCATGTCGCTCTTTTGATGAAACCGCTTTCCACAGTATTCGCAGGGAAACGGGCGCGTGTCCGAGTGTATCAACATGTGAGTGGAAAGTGTGGACGACCGCTTAAACGTTTTATTGCATTGCTTGCATTCGAAAACCCTTTCATTTGTGTGTATTGCTTTGTGTTGTTCAAGGCTTACAGAATGTCCAAATGATTTCTCGCATAAGTTGCACTGGTAAGGCCGTTTTCCAGAATGTGAACGTCTCACGTGAACCTCCAGACCATGCGGTGTTGCAAAGACTTTTTTACACTTGACACACCCAAATGTTTCTTCTGATTGGCTTCTTTTTTCTATGGATCCGACAGACTTCCTTGGCTCCTGCCCTGTGCTCTGATTAGTCAAGGCAGTGCGAAACTTCATGTTGGCCTGAGTAAAGGCCCCAAAGCCATGGTGACGCCATCTATCCTCAAATGATCGAGGATGAACTGTGAGCTCAGGTGGGGGACATATGACCACAGGAAAGCGAGGGTACATTGGTGGGTAAATTGGTAGAGCGTTAGGATAATGAGGGGCCGTGCATGTTGGTTCGTGAATATTCCTACAAGGGCGTGGTTGGTATGGAATATAACCTAGAAAAAGTTTAAGCGAAAAATTGTATTTAAGCACTATGCAGTGAATCATTTAATCGATTTACATAAATTCTTATTGATTCCTAAGCGTATCCACAGTTAAACGGTTCTCTGTATAGATTTTCGTAGAGTGAAATGCACTTACCATTACGATACTGGTATATGGCAGGTGGATTAGCGGCTATATTTGATTGATTCACTTCGGAATTTTCAGGTCGTACTTCTTGATTTGGTTCTGTGGAGTTATCATCAGGTTGTATAAGGCTTTCTATGTCGAATGGTCTTCTAATGTTATTTGTCTGTGGCTCATTTTTAACTGCTCTATGCTCTGAAATGAATGGTAGAAATACTGTAGTAGTATTTAGTATCTATAATGGGCTCTATTTCAAAGTTGTTTAAGTCTCGCAATAAATCATTAGTGCATTTTTTTTATAATAAAGCATGTGATATGTGTTGAATCATGCATGCATGGTATAAGATATAAATTTTTAGTCGGAATTCCTATTTGATTCCCACAACTTCATCATAATTAGTCAGTTATTGAATTTTATTGCATGATCAGTGAAAAATTTAGGGAGATTATCATTACTAAGGTTTAACTTTTTTCTTTGTGTGTATATACATGTAAAAGAAGATTTTGAAAGGAATCCGACCATAAAAGTCACGATGGCTGCGGACATCGAGAAACTCGCACTGAAAATCGCCGGTCCAGTGTGTGAAGAGAATTATTCAAGCAATGTCACATTGTCACTCAGTGAGACGCAGCAGTTTGCGTTAACAAGATTTCAAATATGTTGTAATAGAAAGAATGCGGTAACAATTGAAATATCGCAGTCGCTGCATGTATAGCATCACATCTAATTACAACTTCAAAACTGGCCTTTAATTATAGTAATTATATATTTCCAAGAGCATATATACACTATCGAATGGTGTATTACAGCTAAGAAACTATATCGATCCATTAGGGGTTTGAAACACTAGCAGGAGTATGTATATAATTATAAATATAGGACTATATTCCATATAGTCTCATTAACTTGCACACAAGAAGCCTTTGTTTGAAACGTTCTATGCAATATAGGTATAAGTATATATAAGTAGGTTGAAATATAACAGCCGAACTGCATCATGCACAGCATTATATATCGTGTTCCCTGTTTCCTTCGTGAGTTTTTTTTTCAATAACCATGGTAAGCAGTACCCTATACTTAAGTGTTATTGAATTGTCAGGACAGCCACCTGAGCAAGTCTTTTATATCTAAAGTGCTTGAAAAGTTTTACTAAATAAATGCGAGAGTTCTTTTTTAAGAACAAAGGCAACTATATGGCTTTGTCTTGTCGCACGGGCTATACTATTACCTTATTCCATGAACGCACGTGTGTTTAGTACAATTTATCAACCTTAATAAATAACAAAAGGATGATTATGCATGCAGGTTTATATTAACTCTAATATTAAACGATTGCCATTGCCCTTTATTACCGCCGTTACTCGTAACAACACTAATTCGCCAGACTATAAATCATTTTGTCAAACAAGTTAATTATATAGTGCTTTGTAATCGAGGAAAATGGAGAAAAATTTATGTGACTCCATTTACAGACATATCACTAATGGAGGGACTTTTAATTATAAAGTCTAAAGAACATCAAAAATTCAGTGAATTTTAAATTGGGTTTCTAGCTTGATCGAGCTATCAAAAGAATTGTAGGCTTGTGCAGCATGCGAAAAGGAATTGGCAATATTTGATTGATTATCATTCATGCCGGTTCACAAAATAGCAACTCTTGGATGGAGATAAAAACCTCTATAAAAACGCTAAAATATATAGCTATGTAGTTGTTCTAACTTAGGAAATTCAGATTTCGAACCATGTTTTTAAGCGAAAATCATACAACTATATATGAAGCTGACGTGCTAAAATAGGAACGCAGAATACTGAATAAATGTACCTTAGACCTCCAGGTGCATTCTGAACTATTTTCATCTATTACAACTAAAATTAAGGGTTGTACATATATACATAAGACGTTTTGTATATTATTGACGATGATGAAAATGTGATAGTTTCAATTGTAAATATTTTAGTTTTTGAAAAAAATCGAAACTGCCTCATTTATGAGTGCCAGAGTGGTTATCGTTTTCCTTGATCTTGGTCGGATAACTTTGGATAATTTTTTGTTTACGCCGTTGAAATTAATATATGCAAATTTAAAATTTCTGTAATCAATCATCAAAAGCGGCAGCCATTTATATTAACAATAAATACCGCATGTAAGACCGTATGATAGGCTTCTCTTTTGTGCAGATAGTTTTTATGCTGCTGTTTGAGTTCGCGTTAGGTCAGCGAAGAGCGGATTTTTGTGGCAGAAACCCTCAAGAAATAAGCCGTATAGCCAGGGTAGGAAATGAATATACCCACGACCAGAAATCTCTTCACTGATTGCCGAATTATTATGTTTCAAAAAATTAAACTTTGCCTGCAATTGGAGTCATTGAAGATATTGATATTGAACCAATGGTTGGTTATGTGTAGAACACACTGTTGGCTACAGGTCACTATAGTATAGACAGTCTATATGATTTAGATAAAAAAAACCTTAGATAAAGTTTTTTTGGTTACGTTTGGTTAAGTTTCCCGTTTCATATCCCTCAAACATGTGACAACTTCATATATTCTTGGATTTGGTTCTTGCTGCTGTGAATGAGGATAGTGCAGTAGAGAATACCATCTATAAATTATTGGAGACTTCTTACATTAAACATATGTTGGGCTCCCCATTGTATATAATAGGTTTAGCCTTATCAGAAGACACGTCGTTAGTTTATATAATAACTTATATATATTTGTCTGTATTGTCTCTGTGCTTAAAAAAATACGCACTTGCATTGCACGTTGATAACATGCAGTGTTAATGCAGGGAGAATATATCGATCGAGACACATGACACAATATATATAATATATCTCCACTCGACAGAGAGCTTGATTTGTTGTATTGACTGTTAGTTTAGTCGGACGTGGTCTTACAATTTGATGGCGTTCCTACTTTTCGCTGGTGAGAATCCTTTTTTGGATGCAACTCTTGAACAAGTTGGTCTTAACTGACAACCGCCCCCCCCCCCCCCCTCTTTGCAGCATACATTCTATATTTCTATTCATTTCGCCATAAACAACGGCAGGTTTTGAGAAATCAGGGGGCTATCTCAATTTATTTGTTTGAAGAGCTTTATTTTTTAAGTCCATCATGCATGCAATGGTTTGTATTATAAACCAAGGCAGCCAACCAAATAATAATCAGGGCACTGCCTTCCAAATAATGTTCATCCGAATGGTTACGTCATTGTATAGGTGTCTGAGAAAACACGCAGATTCTACGACTACGTCGTTTCATATGTGAATCATGAAGCTAGCTCTTTTGCCTGAGGTGCTTAGCTTTGTAGGATTGCAAGGAATCGATCTATCAGTATTGTTTGAAGAGCTGAATATCTTTGATTTACCTCTATGAAGTTTCTATGCATTGTAAAATACGTTAGTAAATATCTTTGAGAAATCTATTGAAACCTTGTGTGATACATATTTAACACCGTTTTGTTGAAATGCTTCTTAAAAGCACGATTGTCTGGGGATAATCATCAAGAAGATAAACGTCGTTTGCATAATATCGAAAAGTGAAGCTTTAAATCGGAGTCGAGAGATTGATAAAAACATTTGTTAGTCCATTTGTTCGCTCACTTTCGTTCAGATTTTACAGGAATTTAAAATGTATGTCTGTAGCTTGGTAACCGGACCACTCAAACATCAAAGAAAATGCAAAAATATAGTTAAAATGTCGAGTCATTTATTTATGTTTTTGTAACCTATTTGTTAAATTGAACTGCTTTCTTTGAGAAAATTGGTCTTAAAAGAGCAAAGTCTGCTTTGCGATTGGATCTTCTTTACCCCATATGTGTCCAGCTTGCTCTAGAGACATGCGTAATTGATGAAGATGCTGATTATGTATGCAACTTTGTCACGCGAATATTCAACAGGATTTTGTATAATATTTGCCAGATTTACTGCAAAATCTGGCCGATTTCCTTACAAAATATTCTTCCCAATGTAAACGCTAAACTTGATTCAAAACGTCTCTCTTCCAAACAACCTTAAATTCACTGTAGTCATGTTTCTAAGCACCGTTCGTGAGTTATTCGACACTTTAGATCTCAGTATAAATGCAATCGGAAGGTTTTTAAGTTAATTAAAAAAACGCAGAACTTTAGAAGCAAGGCAGCCGCATTGTTAATTAAGTTGGTGGATAAATTGCAAATCCGTGAGATTCTGACTAAGAATATTAGACTGAAAACTCAGACCAACATAAAAAGGTTTAATCAGTGGTGTGTTCGATGCAAACATCTTTTCCTAGGCGGACTAGAATTATAATTTTATCTAAATCGAACGTGAGAAACAACTTATTCTATTTAATTCCTAGAGTTCCACCTCGTTCTTTTTTTGCATGCATCTATCACCAATGTAAAATTGTTTCTTATGCGTCAAGGTTTAATCCATTGATCGCTGGTTGGAGCTTAATATGAGTGAAGTCATAATATGCTAGTGACGCATCGCTTTTAATTTAGCAACGCGCCAACGGAATTCTATCGACGTGCTATTGAATAGAATCGTGCTACCCTCTGCTCCCATTATTTTTAGCCTTGACGTCTTTGTTTCCTAAAGTCTACATGTATTTATAACTGTTTCAGATATACATCACACTGACCTATTCAAAGATCAGCACATTAATTACTATTAAAGACTATATTATAGTATACACTTTAATACAAAGAAAACGTTACGTTTCAGTTTCATTATCGTTAGCCAGTAGCTACATAAACTCTCATTCAAGGCAATGCCATGAATGCAAGCAATACCGCTGGGAATGCCTTATACTTATATAGAATTATACATCTGTGATTAAAAATCTGCTTATAGATCTTATAATTTCACTGGCAGTGTTTTGTCTTCACTTAAACATGCATGCATGTCAGTACAGAATCCAAAAAATCCTTTAATATAAATCGTGTCGTTTTTCTCAAATGTGGAAAAGTAAAAGACTAAACAATAAAATCAGTTAAATATTGTCTCCAGAAGATGCTTTTTACCGAAAATATATTAGTCTAGATACTGCCTATACAGTTAAGGAACCATATAATATCTCATAATATATTTCAACCTGGTTTTTTAACTGCGTGTTCTAAGTCATATTCAGTGTTTCAACTTAAAAATTGCAGAATGCAAGTTGTGGCCAGATGGTATATACTAAACAGACTATTCAGTTGAAAAGCGTTTTAAAGTGTTTTAAATACAAACGAAATTTATTAAAATATATTGAAATAGACTAAACTACGATATTTAAGTGAGTATATATTTATATACTTGCATATTGGGATAGACGCACAGATTGGGCGAAACCTTGTACACAAATCATGGCCGAGTTTCGACCTAATGGACTATTATAACATGCAAGAATCTATACATTACTTAACTCTTACCTCTAGCTGCCTCTTCAAATTTGCCAGCCTCCATTTCCTGATCCTCAGAGGACTTTTGAACGTGTACAGTTTGACGATTTTTGACCAAGAAGGAACGAGGCATGATTACGGTCCTAGCGTGATAAGTTTGTTTAACCTGTTTCTGTATGCGGCGCAAAAATGTCACAAATCTTGTCGCGATATGGTTAATTTACTCATACGCCCTCAATTTAGCTTGCACGCGAAAGCCTAATTATCATACGATAGTTTTAAGCCTAATATGAGCAGCTGGGAACGGCTTGTACTCAAGACAAAGGCATCGCAAAAGCACTGTGGAAACACAAAATAGAGCAGACTTTTTGCTTTGAATGTATAGAACTTATTTCTTAAAAAGACAATAGTCAGAGTTTTAAACAACTCATTTTTATCCCAAATCAGCGATGATTAATCGAAAGCAACTTACAATTTTCGTCAGCCGATGCCTGCCTGCTGCATGGAGAACATTTTGAGTTAAAAATTACGATAATAGCAAAACGTCATTTTTCCCATGCAACCGTGTATATATATACGTTGTTTATAATTAGTATATATAGTTGAAAGAACGCGTATAACTCAGAAAATGCATTGTATATAGCTCGCTGGGAAAATAATACGGATCGGATGGATTTTGTCGGTAGTTTATGAATAAAGAATTTAATATAAGGTGAATGCCGGCTTCTCTGTATTCGTGCGATGTGCCTATATATAGGATATAGTTTGGAACAATTCAATTCGGATGTACCGTGGATATAGTTTGGAACAATTCAACTGCAACATTTTTAACATCATCTTTATACCTATATAGCCAACCATAATTTTGTTTCAATTTAAAATTCACAAGAAAAACAAGGATTATTAACAAACATTTGTCAAACACAACTCAAGCCGAAAAAGCGTGGAAAACTTTTTTTGCCTTACCGGGCGGTCTTGCATGTATAGATGTGAAATATGAAATATCACTTGCAACTCGTCACAAAATGGCTACTTCACTATCAGTTATTTAAGGGAGTAAATGTCTTTTTACTATTCCATTAACGTGTAATCAATAACGCTTCAAATAACTCATGCAGTTAACACAGCAAAAAATGTATTATGTACGACTAAGTTAATGTGAATAAATTATGTATCCATGCAGGGTTATCATTCTAGTTGAAATTGACCTTCCTTCGGTTTATATGCCTTGAACGGAACTATACATTCTTATCTGAGAGGATTAAATTCCAAATTAAAGTATAAAAAGGCAAATATAAACTTCTGTGTTTATTTGAACTCTTTATGAAACAACGCTGTATGCAAACATTGTAGGTTTTAATTGTAGTTTAATTGTTCAAATAAACTTTAGTGTATGTCTGCATGAAGTGACGTGTTACTATATTATACAAAGAAACATTACACACAGTTATACTGTCGCCGCGAATTTTGAGCCGACATGGGCGACATCCATGTGTATGTTAATATATATGTGTGTAAGTGTAGCGATTTATTTTCGAAATATCGTTTTCTATCATTTCTAAACGCGCACAGGAGAAACAATAGCAAAGTTGAGATGATTTATTGATTAACGAAAAGATCAGGGACATATTCAATCTCAATTCTCAACCCAGTCTCCCGCGCAGCGACGAGATAACTTAAAGGTGTTTCGGTTGAAGATGTACTTTTCTACACAAAGATAACGATTCAAGTTTTCGGGTTTTCCATGCATGATGTCGTATTTGTGCACGAATCGAAGGATTCTCTTGCGTAAGGGAAGGGTTTAGAATTTTAATTTGCATCAATATTCATACACGTTTTGTAGAAATGAGCAAAAAAAGGACTGGTGCCGGCTCCGGGATTAATTATCCGGCTCATACATGTTGTTTTCAAAATAACAGCGTGAAAGTAAAGAAACGGGTTTTTCAAATGGCCGCGACTGATTATCAATAGTGGCTACTGAAATTGACATAAACTAAACTGTCTCCATTCATGCATCCATCAATTTACTCATCTATCTGCATTCATTCAGTGCTAGACAAATAATTAATACATTTGTCGGGTAAATGAGGTGGAAAGGGCGAAAAACACAGACCGATCACAACTTCTTAGGCGGCAGCTTTTAATATATTATACTAACAATATATATCTGAAATCAACTGAAATAAATACATCATTACATGCATGAACATATCTTAAGAAGTCATAATTAAAAACATAGGTGAGAAATTCACCTGTTCATGAAATACATTTCGAAAAGAGGTTATTACGATATCTGTTGTCGTGAATTATCAAAATGCATTATTTCAACTTTGCAATTGGCAAATGCTGCATGAACAGTAATCCCACCGACATTGTATTCATATAGATGAGTTTTCCCTGATTTCACTGAGATTGTGTAATCATTTTTTTCATTGAAATCACAGAAAATTCATATTGCAATCGATGATTTATTGAAATGAAAGATATTTTGTGCAGTGTATTGATGACAGTTATATTGTGATATAAACTTAAGTGGATGAAGTGACACAATAATTAAACAAAATTGAAAACGATTAAGAAGTTAAATCTTTCGCGTTTAATCAACATTTGTGTACAGGAAAGCAAAATTGCCGTACGAAACTATTGACAGTTATATCATAATCGTGAATTTCTTATAGATAATAAAAGACACAGATAATAAAACAATTCTTCAAGTTCTGAATAACTTATATTCACGGATTCACTTTTCTATTTCGCAACTTACGGAATAAATGTCTCTCTTTGGGCAGCAAATTCGAAAGGACTGAGGATGAGCAGTCTCTAGCGCAATGGGAGACTTTATACAGTCATAATAAATGTTACAAATCTCAGCATGGCACCCCCTGAGAAACAAATCAGGATTATTTTAATATTTCCAGATTAAAAAACTCCGCTGAGGCTGATAATTTTGCTTTTCGTCTCACAATATAAAGTCCAAATTATTCACTTTATGAGTTGACCTGTCGCATTAATCATTACGCTTGTGAGAGTTTGTGTATATATTTAATTTACAATAGCAATAAATATTGTATTTAATCTTCAATTTGAGAAACATTATCAACTTGCTGGGAAGTTTGTTTACAAGTCTACAGCTTTGATTTTTATATTAAACTTCACGAAAAAAATATGCAAATATCGTGGCTGGTGACTCATTAGAAAAATATGCAGAGTTGCGGTCTCTCATCTTCTAACTTTTTTATGGCCAACTGTACAATATTTTGTTTACAGTGCTATGGCAACTCAATGCCAATTTTTCTCTGCGTAAAATTTTAGAAATATTTATATTTAGGTGGTCAAGGGTAGCATCGCATTACAATCTCATTTTAATTACTTTATCGGCATTTTGATATATTTGTGACAGGGAAGATTTGTTATAAATTTAAAACCACTACCAGCTGCATATGATGAAATCCATTATTGTGTTTTTATTGCTCCTTCAGTGTACAACCGCCTTCACTTTGTTTCAATTAAAACCATAGGCGATTACTGTAACGAGACATTGATATACCGACAATTTGAGAGCAATATTGGGAGTTTTAAGATTAATAAAATGTTAGATTTAAATTCAACGAATTGTGGTCAAATTGAAAAGGGATAATTTCATACATTTAAATGATGAGACTATATATAGTCTATATTGTATCTATTGCTGTGACTTTTACTTTTGTTTGAAATGATGAAAACATGCATTCCATGCATGGAGTTTAGCAGCAGAGATTTCTTTGGTCTCTTATGGGAAAAATGTGAAACATATAGCTACCGTACTTGTATATCATGCATGTGTGCGCATGCAGGTGTATCAGTAAAAAATCGAAACTTTACTCTTTTGACAAAATATATCACTAGTCGCAATAAACGTTGCTATCGTTTTATGCATATTTGTTATAACATATGTTGCCATAAAAACATAATGGGTTGAATAGCATCATCTCACTCAAGTCTGGCTTATTGTAACTGGGTGGGCAAAAAACTTCAATCGTCGAAGATTTCTCTCTCTCATTTCATACTGTCAACAATCAACAAAATCTTTGAAAAAAACATATATTGTCGTCTTTTAGATACAACTTTTCTTTCATTTAGTTAAAGTGGGATCTATACTAATCATCTTAACATGATTGTCAAAAACCATGTTAGTCTAGTTCCTCCATGTCAAATTTCTTTCCGTCATCATCTGCCGCAGTTTCCAAACAGCTTTCAAAATCAAACACGCTCAGTAAACGATCAACATCTTCTTTGTCAACTGTAGTACTTAGCAACGAGGAAATGTCTTTTTGCCGAGGTGATAAAGGTTCATTCAACGAGGGGCTTTTCTTAGCTAATCTATAAATAGATAGTAAGTAAAATGAAACTTATGTTATTTGATCAAATGAGTCAATATTTAATGTATCTTTATTTTGTTTTACCAACAGTCGAGGTTTTGAATAAAAGAAAAAATAAATAAACTCACATTAAAAGTAAAATCATTGCAACCAAGTTCCATTCCGAGGGACTCAAAACAATGTTAATGTTGGTGAAACTAAAATGCAAAGAAATGCAATAAATATGTCCCATCAGTTTTCACCCATTAGTTTCACAAGCTTCACCACCAACAAAATCACTTTCACTAGCTCCATCACTTTCATTACATCTCTATAACATCACTTTCACTATCAACACTTACACCATCATCACCTCCTATATCATCACTTTCACTATCAATACTTAACCACCATCACCTCCTATATCATCACTTTCATTATCAACACTTACACCATCATCACCTCCTATATCATCACTTTCACTATCAATACTTAACCACCATCACCTCCTATATCATCACTTTCATTATCAACACTTACACCATCATCACCTCCTATATCATTACTTTCACTATCAATACTTGCACCACCATCACCTCCTATATCATCACTTTCACTATCAACACTTGCACCACCATCACCTCTGTCATCATTACCATCACTGTCATTACCTTCACCATTATCAACACCTACATCATCATTAACCTCGTCAGCATTGCCTTAAACCATACCTGAATGTCTTGAGCAAACAAGTCAGTTGAAATGATATATCTGCCATTGTCAAACTAAGCTTGGAAAGCATCGGAAACATTCTGAAACGAAAACAAAATGTTAGCGTTTTCAAATATTTGGTGACGCTCTAGCTGTCTGTATATATAAACAAGCTATCTGCAGGACAGTCTGTCAGTGCTAATAGCTACTCACGCCTTTGTAAGTTTTTCTGAAACAATCTTTCCACGTATAGCGTGTTTGCTTTTGGAATCAATTGGGGGTAGAATCATACTTTCTTCACCACTTTTACACTTGAATTCATCGGATGTATTTTTCTGGTCACGATCAGATTTTTGTAAATATTTTCTACTTTCTGTGCTGCACCATTCTACTAATACGCTGTATATTTTATCAACACAGTCCTTTGCTTTCTCTGAGGCTTCACTGCTTTCTGTGAAGACCGAAGCATTTGCTGAAAGTCCATCATTCTCATTCGTTAGTTCTGCACCGAACTCACTAGTGCAAATGCTTTTCTTTGTCAAATTATTCTTTTTACATTTTTCGTCCAGGCTTGAGGTTTGTGGGTGAGAATATTTAGGATTAGAGCTTGTGTTAAACAAAACTTTTGTCTTTTTCTCTTCATACAATTTTGATGTATTGCTTTCCGCTTGATTTGGGGATTCGTCCTTTGAATTTGTGTTTTTTAAGATTTGGCCCTCGTTTTCCGATAAAGGCATTTGCATTTTTGCACTTTTAAAATGATCAGAAACATACTTCCCCGACTCCGGTGCACTTTTGTCTGTGCTAAACCTTTTCTCCTTTTCTTTACGATGCTGGTGATCAGCAATTTTATCCACATCATAATCGCTTTTATCGCTATCATCATCGGAATCAGATACATCAATATCCAGATCAATTTTAACATTTCCAAAACGTTCAACTATACAACCTGAATCAATATCATTATCAAATTTAATATTCTCATGTATGTCATCAATATCATATTTGTGATAATTAGAAACATCTTCATATTCATCATTGGCATCTTTCTCCTCATCATTTTTTTGTACATTCATGACCACTTCCTCTCCATAACCTGAGAATCTTTGGGTAAAGAATAGAATTTAACAGCATTGATATAAATATTCATAGTACATATACAGATGAGATATGGCTAGATAATCAAATTATGACAACACTGCAAAAGTGAGTCTATCTATTTGCAGCTTATCTAATTTAAAAAAATGGGATGTATTTATAATAACATACTTCTTTTCCATCGCTTCAACATCATCAAGTATTTTTAATTGAAGTGACTTGCTGTAGTTATAAAGGAAAAAATATCAATTTTAACACCTCCACCGCATGTAATTAATGAGGTATGCATGTAAAAAGTCACCAACTTTTTGTCCCTCATCCAAACAGGTTCTGCAGAAAGTTGAGATTGAAAATATTTTGATGCTTTGTAACATTTGTTGCTGCAAAAATTCTAGAGTAAAAATCATTGCCATTATGCTGTTGCTGTCCTTAAAATATTATTGTCTTATATTGAGGTTGTTATTGATAAACTTGCATTGTTTCTGTACAACATGTACTCATTAATTAACCTTTCTTTCAGTTATGTCATAGACCTTCTTCTCCCTCAAAGAAATCTTGTATTTTTGCTTCAACACCTAAGAAATATCACTTTTCTTGATTCCCCTCCACATTCATGTAGTGGAATATGTTTGTCTTTAGTGTTAAAGAATGTTATATTACCTGTGTGAGTTGATTACTACACAGAGGATATCCACAGAGTTTTGTTATTGCTCTTTCTTCTGTCACATCATTGTATTGTGAAATAGTGATATATCTGCCCTGTCAAAGTTAGCAGAAGTTGTAATCAGGGCCAAAATAGTGTGATAATTGGAAGGATGCACTCTATTTTGTCTGTTGTGAGAAATCTGTGACATGGAGCAAATATATGCACCCCCAATTAACACATTTGTTTTCAACCCTGGTTGTAATTTTGTTGTTGTACACTACACATCTAATATCAAGATGATTCACCTATAGACATTTAAACTCACAGAATTGAGAAAAAATTCCACGTCAACAGAATCTAACAAAACCATTTTCTCCACAAGATGAAAGGCATGTGCCTCTTTATCAACTCGGTCTTTAAAGGCAGCTCGTAATGTTTCTGCTTTCCTGAGAACACGAGCATGATGTTAGTTTCTTGTTTTCATTTTGTAAACTCTGATAGTATGAGAAATGATCAATGGCAAAAAACAATAAATAATGTGCACAAGATTAATAGTAATCTTTGCCAGGTAAAAGTTCAGGCAAAACTAATTATCTGTGGTGATAATTGGTAAACATGCAAGCACTTTCTGCCTCAACTCTTAAGCAGTAAGCACCCTCTGGCCCCTGCCACTCCTATCTGTCAAAACTTCTACAAAACCAGCTCCATTATCGTAATCGGTAATTATTTAACTTCCAGAAGTCTTTCCTTGATGATAAGGCAAACCTTCTCACCTATCCTTATCGCTCTGAGTCATCTTCAAATAGTGTTACGTGAGCAGTTTATATCGCAATTTTTCATTTCTCCACCGCCATATTGTCTTTTTTTTGTCTTTTTCCGAGTGTTTGTCTTCTAGCTCCAGACTCCGGCGTGATTAATTCGAAATATGGCGGCCAACCAAGGCATAATAAATTTGTGAACTTCTATCTTTCAGTTCCTTTTTATTCCATTCTAAAGCGTTTCTTCAACATTTCCGTGCTTGAAGCTCTAGCTTTATTAAGATAGATAAGAAGTACCAAATATGGCTGAAGTGGAAATAAAATTGCCGTATAAATTACCGAATTTCCACGACTGGCAACCACAGGCGACGTTTTACCACCCTTTGTATGCTGGTAGTATCGATGGAACAGATTTGTATCCACATGATAGAGCTGTCGTAAGGGCAATGTTATCAACATGTAAGTTATAGCTAACTCTATAGCTAAGTGGCTATAGCGGTGCGTATTGTCCTTGGCTTGAAGCAATATACCTCAACCCCTTTAATAGTCAGATGTATAGGAATTACTAGCTCCAATAAAACTGAACCATTCTTTTCAGGCCAACTGTAATGTCTACTGAGTACTGTGTGGAAATTTACAGTTAGTAGGTTCATAAATGTACACATTAGTCATCAGTCCTAAATTATTTTTAATTATCATTTGACACCCTAGTGCCAATCTTTATAAGACCTCCTGTGTCTTTGCCATTTAAATGAGTCAATTGTGTCTATCTGTTATGCCCCTCTGTAGTCTTCTATCAGCCTCCCAATAATTATTATGTGATACTAATTGAATTTATTGCCCTTCTAAACCAATCAATATTGAGAATTTACAAGATCACAACCCTGAGCTTTTGATAGATAAGGGTCTGGGTCCTCTGTTTCAGTCTGGGTTGGATGTGTTGGATCCCATGAAAATTTATGTTTGATTTTATAATTTCACCTGGAAACCAGCTGGTGTATAAGAAGTCAATACAACTGGTAATTAAAGCAATTTCCCTGATGTAGATAAGCCAAACAAGAATGTAGATGGAGACCCAAACAAAACATTGTTTGTTTCAAGACTCAGTAAAGAAACAAGTCAAGGTATTATAGTGATGATAGATTAGCTAAAATAATTAATTATAGTACTTGCATAATTACTTATAAGGAATTCAGTCATTTCCATTTCTTAATGCTAGAACAACCTTTCATTAAATAAGAATGAAAGTCATGTGTATCAATATGCTTATACACAGTTTTTTTTACAACGATTGCTGACACTTGTGTTTCTTTCAGATGCTATTAAGAAGATTTTTGAAAAGTTTGGTGAATTAGAAAAATGCCGATTAATTCGTGATTTTGGTATGTTAAGTGTAAAACACCCATGAAATACGCAAAAATTGAAGTTAATAAATTCGTGGTATATACCTGGTCACTGTGAACCCATGAAATAATTTAACAGAATGTTCATTGAACCAAGAAACAGTTACTGTTTTCTAAAAATTTTCCCAAAATCTGCTTTGTAGTAACTGGATTTTCAAGGGGATATGCATTTGTAGAATTCAAAAGAAAAAAAGATGCTTGGAATGCAGCCAGGGTAGGTGATGTCTGAGCATTTATATTGTCTTAACTATTTAGCAGATTATTTGTATTAAAATGCAATTATATTTAATTTTTACTATATAAGAATGTTCACTGGAAATATTCAATGCTTTCTTTAGGAAACACATAAGACCACTGTTGATGGCAAACAGATTTTAGTTGATTTTGAGTGTGAAAGAAATTTGAATGGATGGAAGCCTCGTCGTTTTGGTATACCACATGGATAATTTTGAGTAATTCGAAAAAGGTTTTATCTTAAAATTGCAATACATGTTATGCACATTATGGTTTAGGTGGAGGCTTTGGAGGTCGAAAAGAATCAGGGCAGTTGAGATTTGGCGGCATTGATCGACCCTTTAGAAGGCCTCTGTAAGTGTTCCAGACTTCTATCGAAAAAGTTTAAAAAATCTTAATTTATATGGTTATAGCCCCTTTTATATAAGCAAATTTTCTTTGACATAAAACTAAAACTATAAGATAACCAAATATCCAGACTTTAGTCAAAATGTTATACATAACAACTACTCTTTCATCAGAAAAATATCAACATTTAATGACTGATATAAACCTTTTTAACAGTCCTGAAAATGTGAATCACTTTGCTCATGCTGGCAAGAGTTCTCAAGGCTTGAAAGATGATCAAGAAACAGTGAATAAGGATCATGAGAGATATGGCATGCAACAGAGGGATTATTATGAACATAAGGATAAAAAAGATTATGTTGAGAGTAATGATGAAAGAGAAAGAAAGAGATATAAATCAAGTAGGCATGAAAGTGACAGGAACCATGGGAGTAGTAGTAGAAAAGATCGCCATGAGCATCATAGTAAAAGCAGGGGTCACAGCAAAGACTATGATGATTATCGAAGCAGTAGAGACTATAAAGACAGGAATTATAGAGAGAGAAAGGATTACAAAGATACACAACATGGCTATAAAAGGTCTAGTCATGGGGACGATCGGTATTACAGGACAGAGAAGAGATCTAGGGATAAAAAAGATAGTAGGGATATGAGGGATGAAGCTAGGAGTGAAAGTTCAAATAGTTCCCGAAATTGAAGTGTATTAAAATAGGGTTGCTGTTATATGCTCCGCCTCAGCAAAAACCGACCATCCGTCTCATACCTCAGCCAGTACAATCAGAAAATACTCGGAAAAGTGGCGCTTTCTCGATATGTGAGCATTACCGAATTATATAATACATTAGCTTAATTGATTGCTAGTATTAGCAATCGATTTAATTGAATCTGCTAAACTATGCCTTTGACCACACCTTTATCAAGTTCCGTTTGTTCTAGACTACTGAGACTATAAAGAATGCTAGTTCCGTCCACAGAAATCTAAAGCACGCTAACCCAGTGTAATTCAATCTTAACTGAAATAAAACGCCTAGAAACTAGTGTACCACTGTACATTAGTCCATTTTTGGAATACAAAAATCCTAAAAAAAAACGTTAAACTAAAAAAAAAGCATGAGAATGAAGGAATTTATACAATGTATTGCACAATTAAAGTGGTGACTAATTTGAATAGACTTTTGAAATTGAGCATTTTTCCGCTTTTGTCAATAATACTGCCCAATAATTGCCTTTTAGTGGTATTTTTATATTTACCGACCAATTAGAATGCTAAGAGAATATTCTATTAGCAATTTCCACCAATAGAAAGCCTTCCTTTATTTCACTGTCGCATGGGGTCCTTGTTTATATGCATACTTTGTCAGGGAAATAACCAAAGTTGTAACACATTTGAGGATAAATAATGCTGTTTATAGAAAACTAACCTATTGGAATTTATGGTAATATAGAAGAATTTTGGTTATATTATTCTCTCCAAGTTGACGTTTATTATTTATTAAAAGAACTGGCCATTGTGGGAAGTTATCCAGCGAGGGGGAATTACTAATTCGGCTTATGGACACAAATTTAAAGTTTGCGTGAAGTGGACTCTTTCGTGTTGACGTTTTGCGTTTGGAGACGTATCGAAAACGCCGGTAAGGTATTAGAGTGTAAGCATGAGTCGTCTTGAAATTCCTTTGTGGAAACAAGAACTACTAAAACGAAAGCAAGCTAAATTAGGCAATGAAAACTTGGTTTCAACACAGAACTCAAAAGGGTCTGACCCAAATCCTCGACATAGGAATGCTATAAACACTAATTTAAGTAGCTCAAATCACAATTTGGATAACTCGGTGGAGAAAGGGCATTACGAAATCGGTAAAAATTATGGTTTTAATAAACAAAATACTGATAGCGGATGTACAACTACGAAAAAATGCCCTACGTATAATCGAAATATTATATTGGATAGCAGCGTTGACAGTATTGACACGCGTCAAGCCAGTGAAAAGTCCAAGATCTTGAGTGTCGATACTGGCCCAAGTCGGCTAGACAGTCTTGATACAACTTCTAATAGGAATGTAGGAAAATATAACAAATGCGATTTTGCTTATGGTTTAAGTGGGGTTAGTTCTGATATAAGAATGCAAAAAAGTTCTGAGGCATTAAAGAATATAGAGAAGTCTAATAGAGCGAATAATGAGCAAGATGGGCCACAGGAACTTGAGATTACTCAAGGTGTTGAAACGAAGCATATTAGCCCTCGTGATGTTAAAAAGATGTGGCAATTACAAACTACTAAAGATGAAATATTACCAAAAAGCCCAGTCTCAAAAAGCCCAGTCTCAAAAAGCCCAAGCCCTACAAAGGAAATTCCCAAAACCCTTTCCCCCTCCCTTCAGAATGCTCCCCATCAAATTACGACCAATGTTGGATCTAATCCTACCCCAGTACCAAAGGCATACAAGTCACCTTATGCAAAAAAGCAGTGGCAAAGGTCAGCTTCAAAAGGTGATGAAAAATCAGTTAAGAAAAACTTTATTCTATCAAAAGAAAATGAGACAAAACTGCATGCACAAAAATCATCTTCAGGAAAAAGTGGTATGGCAAACAATAATATAGATAAGGATGATGAAGTTGAACATATTCAAAGTGTGAAGTCCTTACTAGGGTTGTTTGGTGGGCAAGCAAAACCAAAGGTTAATCGGAAAGTCAGTGAAAATAGTGTGAAAACTGAGGGAGAAAAGGTCTGTCATACCACAGAAATTAAGAAACCAGGTCTATTCAAGCATCATTCTGAGCCAAACCTGTATTTTGATAAGAAAGTTGTTAATGACATTTCAACAAGTCCCAGGAAGTCACCAACAAGCCCAAAGAAATCTCCAACAGTCGATGTAGAAGTGGATGATGTTGCTTTGCCCTCACACCATGTATCACAAGGTATTCAAGAAAGAATGACAAGGCTTCGCAGGGCATCGCACTCTAATATGGAAGATATGGATGGCTTCATAGAATATGAGAATAGATTGAATAATGGTGTAGAATCTGTGCATTTAGTGCAAAACCATGATGAGTCACAACATGTTCAGATCAATCAAAAGCAAAACCCACAGTTAAATGATAAAGTTGCTGAAAACATTTCAAAGAGTCACATGAAGAATAATGAAGAACAAGACAATATTCTAAAAAAAGATTCAAAAACAAAAAACACCAGCGATTCAATGGATAAAACATTGGTCCATAACCGCAATCACAGAAATGTTGCAAGAATTATGGTAACTCAAAAACGAAACACTGAAAACAAAATTATTGCTCCTGAAAACAGGCAAGTAAGCAAACAGAATCAAGACAATTTATCCAACAGTGTTACAAATACAGCTATACGAAATGACAATGAAAAGCTGGGATTATCTGAAAGTGTAAATAGTCATAATCAAATGCCTGATAATCGCAGTAGTACCAATGAAATCAATCGTAGCACTGTGAATAATGCTGTGAAAAGTAAAGAAGTGAAGAGTGACCCTAATGATCAGTCGTTTGATAAACCTGTGTCAGTTTTGGGAACTGGTATTACCAAAAAGGTAGCAACTGTGCCGGACTTGGCTGATGCAAATGAGCATAAATCTAATAATAAATACCAGAACAAACAAAGTAATTATGTTGTTGAGAATAGCGAATCAGATTCCAGCCTACATAACAATGTTTTGTCAACAGACCGATCAACTGGGATTAAACAAAACAAACAAGAAGAAAAGTTAGTTATTAAAAACAAGGAAACAGTGAAGGAAGTTGAAGAGAAAAAGCCTCGTAGAAAGGGTCTTAATGTTGTTGATCCATTAGCTGTCCTACAACTCACAAAGGATCCTATTTTGTTAAAAGAGCAACCAGTAGCTGCTGACCTTGGTTTGATCAAAGAATTGCCATCTGGCAAGAAGCCCAAAGTTGACATTATCAAACACGAACCAGACAAAAAAGCTAAAATTGCACAAATTAATCGAGCATGGGACTTGGATAATAATCCGAAAACTCCAAAACACAATGGTGTAGTTCATAGAAATATGCCTGCCTCTAGTTTGCAAGTTTCACCTACAAATGTACCTGTAACAACCATTGATGAAATACCAGTTTCAGTAATTGATGACTTGGCTACAAATAAGCCAACTGCAGCTGTACAAGCAAACTCTGATGTCACTAGCAGCAGAGGGGTCAATATTGGTAATGCAACATTCTATAATGGTGCTTTAGTTGCAGGAAGTGAAAGTGAAGTAGGAGGGGATGAAGACGAATTTATACCTATTTCATCAATTGATGCAGAAGTTGATTTAGGACCTCCACCTGAGATAGTCTTTGATTCAGTTCCAGGAAATTTGAAATCATCTTTTGCTCGGCATGGCAAGGTATGATATATTAACTTGATTTACCCGATATCATAGAATTAATATTCAAATTAATTTAACGCATAGTAAGCCAATCACCCTACTAAAGGAATTCAGTTTTTTAAATATGAATTTAATAAATATATTTTAATGTGTTCACTAAAAGAAACAATTGCTGTATAGTGAGCAATTAAGAGATTAATATTCACTGACATAATTGTTTGTGAACAATATAACCAACATATTTTTTCCAAGTGTGTTGACTTAATTAAGTAACTTCCCCTATACTTATGGTATCTTATTCTTATCCCTGTAGACAAAACAAGGAAAGATTTCATTTTTTGAACATGTCTTCATACATGATTACCAATCAGAAACTGCTGCTGCATCAGACTGGGACTATGAAAATGGGACATCATTCAGTTCTTATACTCCAGCAGCCTTGAAACAATACAATGATGCAAGTAAATCATTTGATACCTCACCTGTTCCTAAGCCCCAGCCATCAACCCCACCTTCTATCCCGAAGGAGACAAGAGACAATGAACCAATAATAACATATAATGAAGATGAATCCATTGATTTTACTGAGTCAAGTGACAGCACTGCTGGGGCATTGCTTTTCTAGTTTTCCTACACTGAAAATCTGATTAGGTGGGTCAATTATTGGTATGTTAGCCACAAATTTTATTTTTTTCTTTTGAGATTTAATTAAATATATATCCCACAGGGCCTGAAGGGGTAAATATTGGTAATATTTTTGTCATGTTTTCAAGTAAAACTGAAATTTTAAACAAAAACTTGAAAGCAATTTGTTAGGTTTATTAAATTGACAATAATTAATTCATATTCATATAAATAATCACTAATATTAAAGTTGTAAACATAATTCTAAACAGATGTGAACTTGGAATACACAATGAAATAAGTGATCGCAATCTATAGTTTCCATATAACGTAGACAATATTTAGCGGTTGTTATAAAGCAGCGAGTTTGAAGTTGACAGGAAAACAATTCTCTGTTTATTAATTAAAAAAAAATACAACAAATCTCATGCAGATATTTCAATCTTGGATTGAAAAATGCTTGATCATGCCATAGATTTCTGCTGCCAGTTACGAGAAAGTGTAAATAATAAAATTTAAAATTACTGAGATCGAACAAAATTTCGCGAAGGTTGGAATGCAAGCATGAGAAAATTATTCAATTTCTAAATATTGAAACTTCGATAACTTTCATACTGTGTTGCGTTGTACAAGTCTTTGTCAACTCCGCTGTTCCGCTCTTTTACAGTTACAGTAGGTTCTAGACCTAGTCTAGTCTCTATTGTAAAGACATTCTATTGTGTTATAAGGGTATAGATTGATTGATGATTTAGAGTAGATTTTTGTAAGGGCATAGAGAAAGACAGAAAATTGTAATTTATTTAAATAATATACGTAATACGTATAATAATGGTTTAAATGATAATGCATGAACAGTATAATTTAATGAAGACGTGGGATAGACTTCGGTTAAATTATTACTTTAACAAAGTTGGTAGTTAACAAAGTTAAAAATCCAACTTGTAGAATTTCAATTTACTAGAACGTGTTATTAAAAGTAATTTAAAAAAAACAACTCAAAAAGGCTTTTTTACTAGTTTCTCAACCGTGCGTGGTCTTACAAATGTCATAAGATGTTTTTCAGCGACGTCATGCAAATGCCGACGTGCAGTATCGTCTGTCGGTTAACATGTTTCACTTTCGCTTTCGTTTTATTTCGCGTGGTTTCGTGAACTTTTGCCTTTCAGTATGTTTCCAAGAGGTAAACGACGTTTAAATAATGATTAATGAAGTGTGATGAATAATCCCTCTGTAATCTCTAGGGAATGTTCGAAGTCACGTACCATAGTAATTATTACTTTGTGACATATTCAGGCTTGCAATGCAACCCTGGAGAAAGAGGGCCTGTTCCGGCGTCCATGAGTTCAATTCTAGAATTCCTGGTGCTTTAAAATATATTCATGCACTTGAATTCTGCGAAAAAGCAATTATTTATTTAATTCTTCGAACTCTATTTGTTTACAGGGCGGATGAATTAGGCTTCCTTGAAACTGATAACGAAGTTTGACAATAAATAAATCAACTGACTCAAAACCTGTATTAATTGCCCTTGAACTTCCGTTTCGCTGGTGTAATAACTACCCAAATGTTCTGCATGATAATCACTGGTATATATATTCAATTCCACTGAGTTTTTTACAACAGTTCCGAAACAACACCATAGGGAATATATAGCCTCGTTTACACTCTAAAATAGGTACCCGCGTGCTTAATTTTACTAGTGATCTGGCTACGAAAACAAAGGCCGTCACGGATGAAATGGGCACGGGTACACATTTTAGCCGTGCCGTGCCAATAAATCGAGTGTAGTGTAACGGGGCTTATAAATAATTAATATAACTTCCTGGAGTTTCGAAAACGATTTCCAATAATCAATTTGAATACGTATAGCGGTGAACGTAATCCAAAAACACTTCATTATTACTGGCATCACATGCAATTATGTCTTCATTGTCTTGTCCTTTCATTGTGGTCTTTTTGCTGCTCTTTCTTGCAACCCTGTCGTTGCAGAAACGACTTTGTGTGTATAAGGTATCAAGAGAATTATGCCACAAGCAATGTTGTGGCGAATTAGGCGACTTGTACTGTCGCGACAGTTGCAATGGTGTAAAATGTTCGAAGTCAGAAGACTGTGGTTCTGGTTGCTGTGATGGTGGAAAGTGCTCCAGTTGTAATACGCCATGGTATTCTATTGCCATACCAGTTATCATTGTACTTGCTCTCATATTCATCTTTGTCGTATACAAAATATGGTGGTACAATAAGCGCCGTGTCATACAAAGAGGTAGTATAGTAGAGTTTGCTGACATAACTTCTGTAAAACTACTTTCCCTTAAGTAATCGATCACTAAGATTGATATATAAAGTCACAATACTATATATAGTTCAGAATTTCTTTAACAATAATTTATTGCCAGTCAGGAAGTCGATCGAGGCTTGAAGGCTTCCGACGTTCCTAGTTAAAAGCGTTGTTGTTTATAGGTGGAAATTTACCATGAAAATGGTTAGTTTAAAAACAAGCCTTACTTTGTTGTTCAGTGGAATATATTAGCGCTTGAACGTTTCTTGAACGTAAATCATGGTTACGTCTATGCATTTATGGAACTAGTAGAAATGGGCAAGAGTTTTCAGTCCTATCCGCTCTGCTAAAGCCTTTGTTTTTCTTACAGGAGTGATTGTGACAACCATTACTAGAAGATTTGGCCAACCTTTTCCTCATGACGATTCTGTGCCTCTTGTGAATGACCACAATGAAGAGGAAGAGCAGCGCACAAGCCAGAATGAAAGCTTGCCTCCACCGTATACACCATGACTTTTTAAAAGAGTTTGCGTTCATTTTATAAACATTACTACTAAGGGATTGATTTTTACTTTCTACATTGTATATACGTTTCCCGGGAAAGTGCAAATAATGTAGCTTATATATAAGAGTTAAGTCCTCCGTCAAGAATGGAGTGGAAGCTGTATGTTGCATTGTTCAGTCGCATCTGATCGCTTTCATACTACTTTTTACCACATAAACTTTATTCATAATCATTGCTAATGCTGAAATTAGACTTTCTATTAAATGCACTTTTATTGTTGGGCTGTTTATGACTTATCGTGTCTTATGAATGACGCTCTCTTTGTGCGATACCCATGGCGCCATAGTTTTGGAACTGGTAGGGAAAATAAATGCGCTATTTCACCATTTCACCATTGGTGCACAAATCCAGACAACAATTGCATGTAGTTTGAGGGATATAACTTTATTATTTGACATCAATTACTAAATTGATTGCGGATATTTTTGCGGATATTTTTGCGGATATTGAAGACATTGATTTTTTTACCGCTAGCCAGTAAACAGGAGATAGTGTAGGCTCATCGATAGTCGATGCACTGACACAGACCACTGGAAGATTATATTTGGTAATTTGGAGAAGATGGCTTTCGCTCCTTTCCGCAGAATAACTGGGGTTTTTGACTATTTTGGGCCAAGGGCGACACAAGACATTTCGTTTGTAAGATTGTTCAAATATTCATCAACTGTTTACTATTCAGGTAAGTAGCTTTTACGTCGAAGATGTCTTGGAAAATGCATTAATTGTTGAGCCTTTTTAATAATATTATATGCAATTTTGTTGAACCAATTTGATTTCTTCTAGGGGAATTAAATCCAGTACGAAAATTTGACAAAGCTGCAAACGAAAAGAAGAAGAGGTACTCAGTTGCAATCAAAGCTTTAAAGAAGCAGATTGAGGAGTCTAAAACACCACAGGTCACAGTTGAATCTGTGTACAAGATTTTACCTAAGGCTAAAAAATATGTTCCAAAGTCAGAGATACCAGTTCCAAGATATATTTGGGAAGAGCAGCACTGGCCTGATGGCTTTCCATCTTCACCTGAAGAAGCAAATGTGGATTTATTTACCTATCTGGAACAAAGAGATTGTTATCGAAGGTTGAAGAAAATGAAGTTTAAAAAATTCTCTGTTGGAAGTTTTGTAGAAGTGACTTATGCTGATGAAAATGCAACTAGTGGATCTAACAGGTGGCTGGAATAATATATTATTTCTCTATATATTATCGTATATATTGGAGTGCATTTGTTCAGTCTTAGTACTAATGAATTGTAAAACATTCTTTAAATAGGTTTCGTGGAATATGCATCTATAAAGGTCACTGGCAGAACAGCTTAGGTGCATCCTTTACTCTTAGAAATGTCATTGATAATGAAGCTTTGGAAATCAACTTTCAACTCTATTCGCCATTAATACAAGAAATTAAAGTTCTGAAACATCAAAGATTTAAGGAACACCAGTTGAAATATTTACGAGACTATCCACCAGCATTCAGTTATGTCAGTGAAAAAATGAAAGAGCAACCATATACAGAAGAACCAGAACTTTTTGAGTTTAATGAAGAACATAGGAAGAAAATAGATAGATGGTTCGCTAGATTTAATCAAAGAAAATTGTAGTTTTTCTTAATAAATTATATCGAACGAAAAAATTCTCACAAATTTGTATGGAGTCTATGGAGAGCACAAAATGAGTGTTTTGGCAGTTTTGCAAAAATCATTCAGAATATCTGTGCAAGATGACGTATCGCGGATGTATCTAACAGCGCAGGCTCGGAATGAGATGGCCTGCTTCTTCCTGTACTAAAATCACTGACTAAAATAAACTACATTGACACATTTTGTATTTGGAAGACGTTCTTTCTCTTTTGAATATAAAGGTGCATTTTCGTTTCTCACCGCTTTCGCGTTGGGCACCTTTAAAGCAGTCAACATGGAAGTGACTGTAAAACGCTTGATTCGCAGACCAAACGTTCAACGTTTCCTTGAAGTAGGTGTATTATTGAAAGTGTTTTATGGCGTTGTTTTCATTCAACAATGTTTATTCTTCCATTTGCTTTGGATTTTATTCATTGGAGTAAAAGGGATGAAATTCGAACTATAGTTTGTTTCTTTTAGACAACTGTTAAAGAATTCAAGTCCAAAATTGCAGAAGAAATGGTATATTTTATAAAGATATATTGTTGGTTTAATAATAATCGTATACAGTGGTCGGTTAGAATGCAGAATCATATGTTGTTGCTATATATTGCCATTCGGCAGATGTTTCAAAGTGTTCATTTATCAATCTCTTTATGTTACTGAAATCATGTTAAACTGTTGTATTAGTGCTATGATGTCTTGCTATTAAAACTGTGAGGGGTAAGCTTGGCTTATTAGCCCATGCCCTGGACCACAAAGAGACCTAGTACTGTGTTCAGAATGTTAAGAAAATAAAAAGATATCATTGTAGCCACAAATCACCTGCTGAAAGAGCAAGGCTGCTCCAGCCCAGGGTAAACCTCCCTGTTTAAGATAGGTTTATGCTATTTTTTTCTCAAAGTGTATTTTTTGTAAAATACCAAGGGTAATAAATTAGCTGAGCTGTTTGAGTACTTTGGCCTCCCAAAGTCATTAGCATGTTGGTAGATATGTAATCAAGTTTGCAAAAAAAATTTTTCCATTCTAGAAAATCCCAGTTGAGAAGCAACGACTTATATTTCAAGGAAAAGTTTTACAAGATGAAAAACTTTTGACAGAATACAGTAAGTCACTGAGGATAGCAATGACTCTCTTTACAATTTTACGTGTGAAGTTGTAAATGATAGACAAGTTAAAGAAAACATGGAACAACCGTTTGCCTTAACTACAGAGACTCTGAACATTTAGAATTCACTTTAAAACTTTGCTTGTTTAGAATTCCAAATTGTTTTCTGTGCAAGATAGGGTGATACTGCACGTGGGATATTGCATGAAATACCATATGACATTCTGTGTTATTAATTTTAGAGGTTGATGGATGTGTTGTTCATTTGGTTGAAAGACAACCACCTAGAACAACAAGATTAAATGAACAAAGTAAGTCATCATGCTAAATTCTGTAGGTAGAACCAGGTGGATGGCAGAGGCAAAATTTTAGTAAAGTATCTTCTCTAGGTACTGAAACAACAACAAGTTCAACAGCCACTACAAGTAGTCCAGGAAACATGTTCATGGGAGCTTTTGCTATGCCAGTTGATGTAATGGGTGTCACTCAGGTATTAGCTTGCTGAGAGTTAAAAATTAAAAACACAAAAAAGTTGTCTTTATGACTAACAACAGTGACTTTTCGTGATGACCACGCCCAAGTCTCTTTGTGTTCACTTGAGAGTCTTTCCTATCCAAAGTCTTTCTTGTGAAACCAAGTATTGTATGGCATTTTGGCTGCATTTTTATAATTTAAATCAAGTTAAAATTGTACCAATATTTAGGTGTTTTGATTAATTTGTGAACATTAATTTTGAACACAATATTACAGCAAATTGTCCAAGGAATTATTCAACAAATTGGAGCGGAAAGTGCTCAAGCCAACATCAGTACATCATCATCGGTGATTAAATTATTACTCTTGTTTGCTTTTATCTCATTCGCAAGTTCATATTTTCTCTGATTTTCTCATATTTATAACATTAATTATTGTTGTATTTTCAAGGATGATGGTTCTTCTGTAAATGTTCACATCAATTTATCAACTGTCATGGTCAGTTTTGATATTATACTTATTATATTATATAAATGAGCACACTTCCAATTAAAAACTCTTCTATGAAAAAAATGATCTCTATGAATTATTTGTCCACCTATTCTCCTGAAGAAAAAAGTTTGGATATTTGGGTCTTCAACACAATATTGGCTTTATGACATTAAGTGTTTTTCATAGGCGAGAAACAATGCAAGATCTAGGATTGCACCAGCAAGGGACCACCTTAACAAGGTCTCCAGAATAATCCATCGTCTTCAGGTATGAATTCCTACAAAACACTGCAATGTTAATTGATAGTGAATGGCTGAATGCCAATACAGAAAATGTCTCATACTCAAAATTGTGTTTTCTCCAGAATGATGGCTTGCCGTCAGGTGGAGATCTAAATGAAGAAACTCCAAATTCTGAGAGACAACCAGAGAATAGTGAAACCGGGAACAATAATGAAAAGTAAGCATAAATTTAACTCTGTGTTATTTCCTTCCCCACTTTACATTGTCCTGATCAGTGTTCAAACCTTGTAGGGGACCTCGTGTCTTATTGTTTGTGCACCTAGTGTAGTATATGTAGTTTATGTGTCTATACTAAATTTTTAAAATAAAAATAAAATTGTCAAAATGATGGCTCCCATCATTCTTATTTTCCGTAACATGTAATTTCCTTAGTAAATGGTACATTTGCAAAGAGCTATCTCGAGCGTGGCACGGTACGGTCATAACTAATAAACTTTTTTAGTCTTCTCGGGGATTTAGCTGACGTTCTTCAACAAGTTGTTCGACTCAATGATGAATTTCGGCCACATTTAGAACGCTACCAAGAGCTGCTTCGTTCTGGCCAAGAGAGGGAGGTGGGTTGGAAACATTGGAAACATTGCAAATCTATAATTGATTTAATAAATTAGCACGTTAATGCAGTTATAGAATAAAAACATAACAAACTCGATATTACAATCTATTCAATGAAACAAAAACATTGCATTTGGTGAAATATTTCTCGCAGCATCCCCTGTTGTGAGTTGAGATTAAGTGATTCTATTAGAGACCTTAAGATTGACGTTAACAGCAAACCGCTATCCGGATGTGGCAAACTTTAAATCACGTTTGAGTACAAGTTTCCGATAGCTTAGTTCACATTACATGCTTCAACTTTCATGGTCAAGAATCAAGATTTCCCAACATCAGGACAGCTAATTATTAAATCACAAATACGAATTTTAGTTTGAGGTTAGCCGTAAACGTATTGTTGAGCTCTTTACGTCCACAGACGCCTGAAACTTCTGTTTTTGATTGTCACTTTTGTTGCTCAGCTGAGACCTGTTGATGACTTGTTACCAGACCTCACTGCAGAAGCTCTGCACAGTCTGAGCCATGCATACCATGCTCTTTCTGACGTTACTACAAATTTCCGCGCCCCAGAGACTCGACTCAATGTTTTACCCTCAATGTCTCCAATTCCTGCTTCTGTGGCTCACTTGAGGAATACGTCACTAGCAAGCAACCAATCACGACCAACTACGACATCAACTTCGCAAACATCGACAAGTACCCCAACCAGTTTACCCATAGGGATTGGTCTGAGACCAGGACTTGGCACAGGGATTGGTCTAAGAACCGGAAGAGGATTAGGACCTAGTTTCAATCTCGGATCTGGTGTGGCGCTTAGACCTGGAAATGGTATCGGAACTAGCTTTGGAGCGAGGCCTGGTATTCCAATAGGTATCAGTCGACTTATTCCTGGTGCTACCGGGGTATTTCCTTCAAGTACCACCGGAAGCCCTGTAGCGTCTGTTCCGCCCACCACATCAGTTCCAACAACATCGACTGGCAGTATTCCTGGTCAACAAACTCCACAGGCAAGTATGGTGATTCGTAGAAGAACACTGCAAAATAAAATATTCCACCCCATCCGGTAATAAATCAAGTTAGAGTTTCTCGTAATTCTTTGCTTTTTTGTTGCAGCAAAATCCCCCAGATGGTTTACCAATTAACCTGCGCAATCTGCCAAATTTTGCTGTCCAATTTAATCCAGGGAATATCACTATTGCTCACATCGTTACAACTGTTGTCGAAGAACCCACATTGCGTACAACAACCACTACTACTAATAGCACCCCTTCCCCCCGCACCTCATCTTGGGGTTCTGACCCTCCTCCTGATAATCAAACAACTCCCCAGACGGTTACGCCTATGGACTCTCAACCCTCTACCCAGAGTGGCAACACTGTCGCTACCTCCGCTTCCCAAAGTAACTTGTCTAATGGTTCACCAACTCAAAGCACCAATACAACTCAACCATCTACCTTACCAAATGGTAGTCATAGCAACGGTCAAAACTCGACTAGTGGTCAGATTCCAAACGCACCTCGACAGACGAATGCTGTGGTAAATTTCATGCCTCAAAATGCAGCTCATAGAGATCCTCTGTTACCTTGTCAGAGTTTCCATTTTGCGTCTTTGGTGCCAAGACGGGGGCAGAGTGCGCCTGTACCAGCTCAGAGTCCAGAAGCAGGAGATAGGTCGTCGGCTGCACCAGGCGTAAGCCAAGGTGCGTACTTGCAACTGCTAATTAAGTATCCGCACATTTCAACTCTGTGATTTTCTCTTCAAGATGAAATTTGTTTTTTTACGCCTTACGTGAGGATGTCAATCCTCTCCCTCAAAAGTACTAAGATTTGCACGCTAAAAAGCCTTCATATTTCCCGCAGAGTTTTCATCATATTTTCAATATTATTTTTCAGGGAACGGTATTGGTCCAGGAATGTTAGATCTCACACATTTAATGAACGTCAGCCAACAACGAGCTGCTGAGCAACTCTCAACCGCCGCAATGAATCCAAGCCAGAATGCAGAAGAGAGAAATTCATTCTTGGATTTGTTTTTGCCCCGTGAGGTATTGTATATGCATAATGCTGTGACTGCATGCTGTCCAGTACACTATATACAGTAGGTACATCACTAAGAGGCCTACCGGTTGTATAAAAAGGTAGCTACTTTGAACTATAGTTGGTAAGAGGATTGGTCTATCATAATCGTGCTATTTAGCATGAAATGGTTATGGAAATAATGTTGAATCTATTCATTTTTGTTGTCTTGTTAACGCGTAAACACGAGTTTCATGAAACCGGTTCTGTGTAAATTACAGTTGTCTGTTTCCATAAGCGACTGTCATAGGTTTCTAACGAGAAGAGAATTGATGGAATATTGATATGATGTTTCTTTTTATCAGGCAGCAGATTCCAGTAACGCTGCAGATGAGGTTATGCTACACATGGCTGGGACTGTAGATGAAGGACAAATATCAAATCAAGGTACGGACGACCCTTAATACGATGTTGACAAGAATCTAAAAGACAGAACTCAATATTTAAAATATATACAAAGACTATATAGTGTGTCGAAAGACTAGCTATTCCTCAGGGTTTCTGACGCCACAAAACATCTAATGACTACATATCGCCATTGCCCAAGGCACGTAACGTAACGAGCCTATAAATCCTCGTTTGTTGCCTTTGATCGTTGATGTGATTGGCCCTGGTTAAATACAAATGCTAAATGCTGTTTCATGTTTAGGTACTTTGTCTCGCTATGTCTCTCGCTTGTTACAGACCATCCCTCTCAGTCAGTTGTTAGTGACTGTCATTCGTAAGTGAATAAATTTGATGAAACTCATACAACATTATTTAGTCTATTATCTTATTTACGAGCGTATCAAGAAAACTTTCGTCATTTTTATATGCTTTTGTTTGTTTTCGCAGCTGGTTCTGGCGATCCATGGGCTATATCAAGACCAATGACGCGAGATTTTCTTCGAGATGATATTCTTCGTGGAGGTGAAGCCACTCCGGAAAACTTACAAAGGGCTACAGAACGAATATTAGACGAATTACAAGGAGCTTTTGAATCATCTTTCGTAAGTAATTAAGCTCAAACTTTATAATCTTATATTGTCGCCATATTTAGTGTAAGGTCTATTGGAGAAGTATACCTGCCTTGTTATACGGTATAAATCAGTTTAAGGCATCTCTCCGTTAAGACCTACATAGATTTATTATGCACTGGTACATTAAGTGTACTTTTTCTATATAGGCGTCATGTAATGTGAAGGACAATATTGACGCTCCAGAAACCTTGCTTTCTTATCTACGACCTAAAATAAGAAGAATTCTCGAGATCGTTAATTCATCAGGTTTGTTACACATGGTTTTTTAAATAGGGTAGTATAAATAATAAAAAATGCCCTCCGTGCCCCTCCGCTTGATAAAGAAAATCCTTTGATTACATTCTTTGCAAATGTTCATGGTAAGGCTGAAAATATGTAGAGATTTCTTTCGTGGTAGTCCATTTTTCCAATCATAATTGTGGCAACAAACAAAAATTAAACTCTTCTTTAAATTTTTATTTAAATACCTTTCTCTATCCACCTCATATGTCTCCTGTAAAGCCATAATATTTATTTCTGTTCAGAACCAGATTCAATATACGTGGCTGAAATATCAGGTCTCGTATCACGTACGGCGGCAGAATTAGTATTATTAATAGAGTATTGTTTGCAAGATGGTACAACTGGGATGGAAAATGCATTTAGGCGGTCTTTGGTAAGGAAATACGACTCTATTGTTAAGCTATTGGGCATACTGTATGTATGTTAAATGAAATTGAGGATTGACAGATATTTCTTCCTTAATGGAAGCATCCAGCATGGATCTGCTCCCTATTCACGAGATGTCTCAATATTAGGGAGATTTACTCGAGAGGCGTTATCTATATAAAAATGAAATATTTTAAATGGTTTAAATGAAACATGATCATCGCATAAACTTGGTATATTTACTGTATCACGTTTTCTTAGAATTCCTCTCCAACGATTGCCTCGCTTGACCAAAACATACGAAGAATGACTGTTGACGCGATGTGGGCGTACGTCTACGACTTACGAAACGAAATACCTGTTAGAATATCATCGTTGATGCCTTTTGTTGTGAGAAAAGAAAAACGCAAGTCTGCAGAGAAAAAAGTGGACTCTTCGTCGCCAAAAATTAACAGAAAAGTAAGTTATTGCACCTAATTGCATGAAATGTGTGATTTCTGTAGTTGTTTGACTGGCTAATATGGCAATATATTTCTGCATTGGAACTCTATAGAAATGTGGCATACCCTTAATTGTTGATGTGTTTACTTCCCTTTAATATATAACTACCATGCAATTAGCTAATAAGAACTCTATTTTAAACGATCGGGAGAAAATATTTGGAATAATTTTCATCTTTTAGGAAGAGAAGAAGGTAGAAAATTCTCATTCATCCACCGCCCCCCGTATCAGTGCGGGCAATACACCTTCATCGTCGCGTAGGACGAGAGGTTCCTCACAGCCTGACGATATTCCCATGGAAACAGATGAAAACTGGAAAAAAGTTATTCCAGCCGTGTGTATTGTCAATTGCTTGTATGAATAGTTTAGTTTGACCGTTGGGTTGAAGTTTATTCACTGGAGATTTCTTCCTGTATTTGCACTACATTATTACAGCAACGTTTTACCATTTCTAGGAATGGGTACCAGTGATATCTCAGGATATTATACGTCAACAGCGAATGCCGCGACAGGCGCCTTTCAGTGACGCATATCTGAATGGTATGCCTCCTAAACGAAGGAAGGTAACGATTTTGTTGCATAATGTGTAATTGTGTAAGCCTAATATCCGCTCTTTGTGATTTGCGATGCTTCTGTCGCTTTAGATTTAGTTGTATGGGTATAAAAGGTCGTTTTCTTTTTCGTAAGTAAATAATCCACAAAGATAAAAACACAAGGCTTTCTTACAACGTGTTTAGATCCATCAAGGCAGTGAACCTGTTCCATATAACCAGTGCGTCTCGGGAACGCTAAAACGGTCGATAAGAAAAGCTGGAGTTACGCCAAAGACTGATTTAGAGAGTAAGTTGTTCAGTTTTTGTAGCACAAACAGAGACATATCACTAGCTATAACACTCTTCAGGCGTGCGCTTATCATCGTTGCTGACAATGCTATCAAATGTGGATATTAACTTTGCACGCAATTCGTCTTTCCAACTTTCCAATTTTCCTCACATTCATAAGTTCATCGCATTTCTTATTTGGCTACCTGTTGCAGATCTTGGCTTAAGTGAGAATCTCTTGAACTAAAACACTTGTTTTCATTTCACAGAATTGAACGAAGAAGCGAGTAATTCTCAGTCACTCGAACAAGTTTTTGAAGAAGAGGTCAAGAGTGAAGTAAGGAAACGACTTGCAACTGACTCGGACTACAACTCGGAGAAATTTCCTTCTATTCATCAATACTTCGAAGAAGACGAAAAGCGTTAACTTGCTTGGTAACAGTGCAGTTTTCACACTGATCTTCAAAATCGACTGGACCGTGTAATCCATTGTTCCATGGTATAGAAATAAGGCCAATACCCTCTTTGGATGATTACGTCACGTTTCGTAGGAGCGAGGGCCCTGGGCGAAATCATGTAACCATCAAAAGAGTGGATTGGGTATTATATAACAGCCAGTCTTCATTACATAACGTCTGTCAGGAACAGTGAACTGTTTCGTTGAAGTTCTCAATTGATCATTGATCCCTAATGATGCGAAGAGTTTATAAAATGCACCATTATTTAAGCGGCCAAATGGATTTTTATAGTACTATTAGTATATTGGTTGTTTTGTATTAGATAGCCTTCTGTTTAATTTTCAACACCAAATGGCTCCTCATTCCAGTTTATGACATGAATTTATTATAAATCGGTGGATGAACTGTTACTACATAGTCCTTCGATATCCCAGATATTGACCGCTATTCCGGCGCCACGAATGTATAATGTACACGGATTGCACAAGACAATTATAGCCTTATTTATATGGCAAAATTTAGGAGGAACTGGGACAAAGGCGTATAGCCAGCATTAATAATTCAGGGCCAATATGACATGCCCCCGAATGCTAGCTACGTCTCTGAACTGGAAAAATAATAGTCTTGGTCATTGTTTTAATTTCATGCTGATGCGAAATGGTTTTCAGGACATTTTGTACATAATGGAATTTATGAAATTTATTAATTTTACGATATGTGTAAAGATATCACAGCTAGTCAACAAGAAGTGTTTTGAAAAGTGTCTTCTTGTTTCTTTTCGGAAAATGTCAAATGTGTTTTTACTGGAGGGCAAATTTTTTTTCCAGGAAACGACGTGTGAATTTTTCTCGAAGGAAGGTTTTTCCGAAAAATAAACGCACTTTGGACCTTCCTGTCCATTTGTGATCGTCCGTCCCGCATATGCATCAGTAACATCGAAAAGTTAATTTAAAAGTTAACACGATTTTAGCGATGCTCAGATTTACCGCTCCTATTACCACTATACCTTTCGCCGACCAAAAGGGGAGGGGGGTTGTGATTGGTTAATCTGGTAGACTTATCGCATATGATTGGTTCTCGTTTCATCAATAGTAATAACTAACGGTGTCATATAGACATATACATTGACATATACGGTTGTCAACTTGGTCATCCTTTATCTCGTGATCTCGTCCTGTACTGGAAGGAGCCCGCGATATTGTCTTGTTATCAACATGGCGGACAGTTCGTCAAATCGGACGTCTTCTGCAAATGGCTCTAATAAAAAAGACATTTTCGTCAAGGAGGAACTGAAAATTGCCGTTAAATTATCTCTGGACAAATTTAGATATGACGAGGATAGGAAAGGTAAAGTCCCAGACAATTTCGCAATTGTTTTGTGTGTAGAAAGCTTCTCTAAACAAAATATTTTTCTGGTTCATGCAGTGTTTAGTGGACCCTACACTTTGACCTGCTTTTAACATTGTTTTGTCAATAAAGTGTCAAATTTCCCTTGTATTGTTTGAGTTGTATAGTAATATTTGCTTCTTTTATGTACCCAAGATTGTACATTTATTTGAAAAACAGAAAAAGGATCTATGTGCGTTGAACACGATGTTTAATACAAGATTTATAATTTTCAAATTTTCCACTAGATTTTATTGCGCGACTTGAATAATTTGATCTGTCAACTAATCAGTTAAAATTTGACCACAAGATCTAAGTTTTCATGCATAATTTGCTGGTAAAACTAATTCCTGTAAGTATACTAAGCAAACTGCTTGTGCAAGAAAAAATCACTTCATTCAAGACCCCTTTCAACAGATGCTAGCAGGAAACCAATATTGTATGAACATATGCACCTCAGAATTGATAGCTTGCTATATATTTCTCTCTAATTTCTGATCAAATTTCAGGCTTTGGTCCCTAGTTTTTGTTTATATTACCATTATAGAAATGGAGTTCCCATCTTCATTCACTTCAACAGAGAGAGCATACATTCACAGATTGTGTCAGGGCTATGGACTCATAACCAAAAGCAAAGGGTATATAATGAATAAAAATATACACTGTGTGGCATATTCAAACTATGTCACACACATGTCTTTGTCACAGTTAGTGTATAATTTCTTGTATTTTGTACCAACTAGATATTGTTTTTTCAGATGTGGTAGTAATCGTCATTTGACTGTGCGCAAGTCATATGGTGAACAGACAACTTCAATCAGTGGTATTCACTTGTTGCAATCATCTTATCAACAAATTGAACAGCTTTTGCAAAGATTTCCAATCACCAATAAGGAAAGGCAAGACCTCACTCCCAAGGTTGAGAAATCAACAATTCCTGGAAATGAAGCAAGTAATTCAAATTGTCTGATTCTTGTTTCCTAGACCTTTACCATTCAACGCTCCTATCTATTTCATATACCCTGTGCATCACCAAAACAAGAAAATGGTTTATGTGAAATGTACTGCCAATTATATATTTTAATTTAAAACCCTATCACATGTACATATACGTCCTTCAGCTCTTTTTTATGTAATATACACCAGGCTGTGCCAAAGTGGCAGTGCCATAGCCAGCATCAATATGTTGTGTGTGGCAAATTTTGTCGTTCCTACTACCATATATTAGATTTTGAAGTGATAAGTGACAACATTCAGTGATGTTCTTGTAACTCTGATGTATTGTAACTCTATTTTCTTGAGGTAAATCACCAAGAGATAATCACAAATTCAATGGAAGAATAAACACAGGCCCACCTTTGATCCCTCCTAGTCATCAGACCAATGACTTCACAGAATTTCGTCAAAATTTGCCGATAGCAGAATTAAAGGATAAAATTTTAAATGGTATTGACAGCAACCAGGTGTGTGCACATGAAACATCGGGAAAGAGGCTCCAGTGGGATTTCTAACATCACATTTACACATGCATTTCTTTATTTTTTTTCTCCAAGGTTCTTATAATATCAGGGGAAACTGGCTCAGGAAAGACAACACAGGTATGTCCATGAATATAATCCTTGTTGAACAACTAGAAAGTTTTTGTGGTAGCAAAGCCTGGGAATTAAGGAAATTAATGTATTTCTAGGTGCCCCAATACATAATAGAGAGCTGTTGTTCCACCTCCAAACCATGTCGCATTATATGCACACAGCCACGAAGGATATCAGCTATCTCAGTTGCCGAACGTGTGGCAGCTGAGAGGGGTGAAAGATGTGGCCAGACTGTTGGTTATCAGATTAGACTAGACAGCAGGTACTGTATTGTTGCTCCTTTCAACATACTTTCTTGTTGTAAAGATTGCTTTCAGGGAGAAAACCCAGTGGTGGTATGCAGTATGTATGCATGTGGTAGTAGATCTACTGATTGATCGAAGTGGTTGCTACGTAGCATGACACAGAACACATATTCCCCGGTACAGCCTAGTGCCATAGTGGTCAAGTTTTCAGTGGTAAACCTATTTTATTGTTCTCTAGGACGTCTCCAAAGACTGTCCTTACCTACTGCACAAATGGTATTTTACTTCGAACCCTGATATCCGGAGATGGAAACTTATCATCGGTTACACACGTTATTGTGGTAAGACTATTACTCTGTCGCGTTAGCGATGTAGCTACTTCTATTATAGAAAGTTGTGGTGGAGAAAATAATTTTCTTCTCGCGATCAGAACAACTCGCGATCAGAACATCTCGCAATCAGGACATGTAGAGTAGTTCCTTTCGACTGGTGAAAACTTTCTGCCTGTCGATCTTTTCATGCGCCCAGGCTGTATGAAAGTGTATTCACTCTCTTTCTTAGGACGAGATTCATGAACGAGATCGTTTCAGCGACTTTTTGTTAATATCACTTCGTGATCTGTTATCAACTGATCGAAATATCAAGATTATCCTAATGAGTGCAGCAATTGATATTAAATTATTCACCAGCTATTTTAATGGTTGTCCTGTCATTAATGGTAGGTTGTTTATAAATGGTTGAATTATGGTGAACATGCGACCTCATGAACCTAAAAATCCAGTAGGTCAGCTTCTAGATACAGAGCTAAACATACACAGATGCCAAAGACGCTCTCGTCACATTCATTCATTCTCGTTGAAAATTTGATTATATAAGGAATGCGTGTGTTTGATTTTTATCATTTTAAATTTCATTAAACATATTCGTTGACTTCGTTTGTTTAGTTCCTGGTCGTTGTTTTGATGTAAACACGTTCTTTCTCGAAGATGTTCTGAAGTTGTAAGTTTGTCTTAAAATATATGTAATCCTGATGTTATCTTGAAGCAAAACGAATTACGTTATCCATCAAGAAGTAGGTATCTTTGTGATAAAAAGTCTATGCAACCTTTTGTCCATAGCACTGGATACCAAAACAAAAGAATGTCAATATTAAGACAAAACAGTAGTTCTGGTATGTTTTGATAAAACTTTGTCATATTTGTGTGTTTCTAGACACTATCTCTTCCTACGTTGACAACAGATCAAAACAATTATTTATTTACTATTTCTTTAGAAGAACGAAAGACTCCCGAGAAAGAAAAACGGGTCAGAATTCAGGGTGTGTGTTTTCAGTAACTGGAATCCTTGTTTTTTAGTCGTCCAGGGGCCGGTTATATCAAGCCCGTTTAGCGTAAACGGTGGATAAGTCAAAATTAAATAACACTCTTACATCTCTCCTGAATGAGTCAACTTGAATATTATGCACTGAATATGTAGTTGTAAACAGTATCTTTGTATTAAGGTTAAAAACATTTAGTTTGCTTCTTGAATAAAACGATAGGCTTTCTTTCTATTTTGAACTTAACCACCGTTTAAGCAAAACGGGCTTGATACAACCGGCCCTAGTAGAAGTGGAGCTCAGTAACTACGATTAGCATGAATATTCAAGTCATACAATTCATATGCATTACATCCTTTAAGGCTCGTTTACACTTGCGATTTTTGCTTCGATTTTCTTCTTTTGATAGATGTGAACGAATAATTAGTTACGAATGCTCTGATGTATAAGAGCTCCTATTTCAATGTCAGTAACTCAATCACTCGTTCACATCAATCAAAAGAAGAAAGTCGCTCATAAAATCGCAGCAAAAATCGCAAGTGTCAAAGAGCCTTTAAAGATAAAATCTCTCATCGCAAAAATTTCACAGAACCCGAGGCAAAGATCTTACTTGACGCCCAGGAGAAAGAAAATATTAGACATAATGAGGACGATAACAAGAACCACGACTGTGATGGTAGTGATCATGATGTTGAAGATGATGTTAGTCTTGAAGAATTGGAAATAAAGGATAACTTGGAAGAAGAGGAGGTTTGCTAAAATGTTTAACTACCGCGTGTACGTTTCGTGGTTTAAGAACATTGCTTAATATTATTGTAATATGCGTACGTAGGGTTGTAATTTTCAAGAGCCAGATAATGAGGTACTTGATGTTACACAAGAAATGGACGCTGCGATCTCTGATGCATTCTTGAATGTATGTACTTTACGAATTGTAATTTCTGTTGTAGAACATATCAGGTTTGCTAATTCTAACCATTTTATCGCCATAGGGAAGTGAGGACTCGTATGCTCAGATTCTACACTTAATTATGAACGAAGGAATTGATGGTATTCTTAATTCGCGTTTAATGTACTTTTTTTGAGACCAAACCCTGAGAAATGCAACTCACAATGGATCTTTTACATAATAGACCAACTTTTGATATAGGCGACTAAAAGGGAATTTCCGAAAAGTACATTCTAAACTTACTTGAATTTGCCAAGTCTGGCTGCGAAGTATTGTGAAGTGCGGAAAGGCGATTTTGTATACTTTTTTACTACAGCCGGAAGTGTGTAACTGGTTTTGTTACACGCTTCCGGCTGTAGTAAAAAAGTGTACAAAACGATCTACTTTGCATGGCTATATTTTTCCATACTACTTGACATTTTGCAGCCAAACTTGGAAATTATACGAATTTTGGTATCGTGATTTATTCCCTTCTTGTTACCTGGATCGTAAGTTAATCTATTATGCAAAAGGTTCATTCGTGCTGCCGAAATTGAACTGAAACCAAAAGCCATGGCTTTTGCGCACATGTAACGTTGCTTGCGAGCGAATAGGCTAAAGTTTATTTTGTTTAATTATATTTAGTGAAATATTCATTTCAAAACTGCTTTCAAACGCTTCCTTGTAGTGGATTACCGCCATTCGGAGACCAAGGCGACCTCATTGATGGTTTGTGCTGGTCGTGGTTCACTTGATATGGTTGAACAACTGTTGAACTTAGGAGCTAATCCCTGCACGACAGAACCTAACAATTCTTGGTAAATTGAATTGATAATAAATAAAAAATACTTCATAGTTGGCTCATGTAGCTATATATTGCCAGAGGCCGTTTGTAGGGCAATTAACTTTTAACTATAGTTAGGAACACAGTTGGCCAATCAGCATCGTTCATTTCAGAGTTTAAAAAATGCAAAATGTAATCAAGAGTTTTGCACATAATATTGTACAGAGACAAGTTTTTTATCCATATGAAATGGATTTTTCTTCTAGGAATGCTTCTCTCTGGGCAAGGAATTGGAATCATGAGGAAGTTGCTCAATTCATTCAGTCATATGTGTAGGTTTGCCAAATGATGTATGTCTCGTTGTTACAAAACAGTGTATAGACGAAAAAAGAATGAAAAATTTGTTCTCTTTCTTAAATTCCAGATCTCAGCGGGCAAATCAAGTTGACGATGCTGTTCTTGAAGAACAATCAGAACAACTAAACAATGAGAGTAAAGAACTGTTGAGTCTTTACCATAAGACATTTAACGATGACAAGGTATCCACCTTACTTCACTGTTTACAAAATTTCCCCTGAAAGAAGTTACCTCTGCTCACCGTACCTAGTTGTTTGGCTCAATAGAAATTAAAAAAAATTAATTAAGAAAACTTAATATTTTTTTCGTCTTTTAAGATTGATTTATCTTTGATATTTAACCTTCTCAAGTACATATGCGGCTCTGGTACAAGTGGTAAGTTAACTGTTCTCTATTTAACAGGTTGGGCAGTTCACGTATTCTGTTCGCTTTATTCTGGTCATTTTTTCACTTTTTAGGCGCAGTTCTGGTGTTTTTGTCTGGATATGATGATATTATTACCCTCAGGGACCAACTAACTTCATCCAAAGAATTTGGGAACACAAAGTTGTAAGTGTGTTTGTCCTAAAAAAATTGTTGATGTGGGTTGTAAAAACATTCTTCACCACTTTTTAACTTTCCTTTCTGGGGTCGGTTATATAACTACATTTTGCATAGTTAAATCCTAGCTCACTCAGAGATACACGACTCTGATTGGCGAATTCTGTCCTTAACTACAATTAAAAGTTTACTAGTCTTTTATACAACTTGCACCTGCATAGTTTAACAATCATCATCTTCGTCGTACGGCGAGGCACGAAGAATACAAATACATTTTATATTTTCATTACTCAGGTTTCACATATGCTGTCTACACTCATCAATGCAGCCTTCGGAGCAAAGAAAAGTAAGTTTTATATATGACGATGACGATGCATGCATTAATTTATTTAAGAAAGCATTTCGAGTGTTGAAAATCTTCCGCGAAATAAATTTTTACGAAATACCTTAGTCATATATTTTTTATAGGCATTTCGAAAAATGTCAGAAGGCACAAGGAAAATTGTAAGCATGATACAAATACCAGTTCACAATCTGAAACACTTGAAACTTTTTGAAAACGTGATCTTTGATTCTAGATATTAGCAACGAACATCGCTGAAACAAGTGTGACAATTGATGATGTGGTTTATGTGATAGACAGTGCCAAGGTCAAGGAGGTAACGTTGTTTTTCATTCTCTTTATTCATTATATATAACCCATCTTCGTTCTCAAAACGTATACATACAGTCAACGTACTTTCTGAATTTGAGGGCTGTGATAACTGAATATACTGCTGTAGGGGGGCCAATAAGGTTGAATGATAAAAATAAATATTGTACTTTTTTTCACAGAAATCATTCGACGCCCTCTCCTCAGTCTCGTCACTGGAAACGGTGTGGATCTCAAAAGCAAGTGCTTTGCAACGTCGTGGAAGGTATCCTGTACTTTTCCAATAAAGACTGTAGTGTTCTCATGTTGGAACAAATGTGACATCGTCTTGTCGTCTTTCCATATCCAGGGCTGGTCGCTGTTCCCCTGGTGTGTGTTATCATCTCTGTAGCCGCGTCAGATATAACAGCTTTCAAGATTTTCAAATTCCAGAACTACTACGTTTTCCATTGCAGGTATATTAAACCTAAAGATCAAACCTAAAGATTCGTAATCCCCCTGTTAAGTCACAAGGAACTTAAATAGCATATGTGAAAACCCACGTAATGTATAATATGCGGAATTTCTACTTTGACGGACGCACTTACAATTTTGTCAACTGAAACAAATGTACATTGAAAATGATCAGTTAGGGAGTAAAAAGAAACATACTCATTGTAAGACCAGAGGGGTTGCAAGCAAGAAGTTTTTCTGAAGTGTACTTCCCTGAGATTCAGCAACTGATTAACTAAAAGCTAGGATTGCATGAGCTCTGATATAGAGACTGAAGTCATTGAACAAGAAGTCAGGACCCAAATGACCATCTTAATCCGGTATAACTTTCTCTATTGGTAGCTACAAGTATCTCAAGGTCTTGCTTTAGATGTAGTGTTATGTGGCATTGAAGTGTTTATTATTTTATGTTTTTCTCTAGGAATTATGTCTTCACACTAAGCGTCTTGCTGGTCCCAGTAGCTCGATTGCGGAATTCCTTTCCCGCGCCCCTGAACCTCCGCCTTATCTCGTGTTACGTAATGCAGTGGATACCTTGAAAGTAAGTTTAAAAATGGATACGACACTGAGCTATCTGTAAGAACTGGAGCATTATTCTTGACATAATTGTTTTACTATATGCTGGCAGAAAATGGACGCATTGGATCAATGGGAAGAGCTGACTGATTTAGGTAAGATATATTTAGGATCTTAGATCCTTGTGGTAACCCTGACTAAGTGAAGATTCTTACTGGACTTCTAAAAGTCGCTTATTAGAGAATTGATATTCGAATATGTAAGAGTCAGTTTGTAAATTTTGACTATCAGATAACAAACACCGCTTTTCAGGTCGACTTCTAGCTGAATTTCCTGTTGAGCCTCGTCTTGGAAAGATGATCTTATTCTCGGTTGTTTTAAAATGTGTGGATCCTGTTGTTGTCGTGTCGTGTGCTATGGCGTATAAAGACCCATGTAAGCAATTGTCTCGATTAAATCTTCCAGACATTGAACATGCCACAGGCGCAGTCTTTAATAGCTCTATGATTGACCCGTGCAGTTCATACAAATCATCACTTACCACATCACTCTTCTTTAGTCATCTTGCCAGTCGATTCAGTCGACAAGCGATCGTTAGCTGCATTAAAGAAACGTCTAGCTGGGCAGTCCTACAGTGATCAACTGGTCGTTCTCAAGATATTTAGAGTAGGGCTTTACTGCATCTATAATGAAACGTGGAACTGCATTTTCCCTTCGCATATGTCACGGCATCGCTGCTGAGTTTGGCTCTATCACAGGTACTGAAATATCCCTTTTAATTATATGCAGGGTTGGCAGAAAGCTCATACTGAGGGTTGGGATAAAAATTACTGCAAGAAAAATTTCTTGGCTCCAGGCACGATGGAGATGATGGCTGGAATGAGGTTCGTTGGAACATATTATAACTAAATAACATATTATATCCTCACTTTCGGAAAAGATTTTTTTCTTGAGCCTATATTTTTTGTATCACACATCGCAGAAATATCGTACCTACTTTCTGTTATTGATCAGTTCTGCATTGACTTTAGATCTCTTATACTTGGTCAACTCAAATCAATGGGTTTTATAAGACAACGTGGATCCAGTGATATGAGAGATCTTAACACAAACTCCGGAAACTGGGCAATAGTAAAGGTATATCCACTTCACGTTTGAAATAACAATAGTTGATGTTCGCGGGCCGGCATACATGTGTTTTTGGCCCGACTCTGAATTCTCGACTCTGAACTAAGATGTGTTCTGAGCTGGGCCAAAAACACATTTATGCCCAAGGACATCAACTGCATTACTATTATATTAAATTTAAAGGGCAATTTTTGTATAAAAAAATTATGCAATGGGTAAACACTCCAGTCATTCTTCTGATTGGCTTAGATCAGCACGCTAAAATATATTTCAGCCTGGCAAATTTATCATTTTAGCCCGCAAAATACACAGCAATGCCCGCCAAAGTTAATATAATATATTTTGTTTATTCTTCACTCCACATCACACAAATTGTGCATCACGTACATCTCACATCGTACTTTACCCTTCGCTCCTGGGTTGCGTCATGCATTAGAACTCTTCTTTTTTTTTCACTTTTACTCTGAAATCTTGCATTTCTATAGGCAGCCCTGTGTGCTGGACTGTATCCTAATCTTGTGTACGTCGACAAAAAAACAAATAAACTTGCAACTACGTAAGTATCAACAATAATTAGTAATGATGTTTAGAATCTCGTTTCCTTCGTATCTACCTTGTAATATGTCAGTAAAGATCTGTTTACACCCGCGATTAATCCTTGCTGCAATTTTATGTAGGATTTCCTTCTTTCGATAGATGTGAATGAGTGAATTAGTTACGGATGTTGAAATAAAAGCTCTTGTACATTAATCACACATTCACATCTACCAAAAGACGAAAATCGAACATCTAATCACATCTACCAAAGGAAAAAAATTAAGAACGTGTTCCATGGGGATCTATATGATAATTATTAGACCCAATCTCTCACTTCGATGGATCGTCTTTTCCCTCTAGAAAAGAAAAGAAAATTCGTTTACATCATTCAACAACATTAATGTCTATGGCGGAAAGTAAGATATCTTTGACAAAAGCTCATGCTGACGCTGTTGAAAAATTGCCGTCCGAATGGTTGTTTTATGAGGAAATGACAAGGTAAGTTATCAGGTGTATTAACACTGTTTTTCCACGTAACCTATTAAACTTTTCTTCTGTTTTTTAGGGCAGCCTATTTCGTCCACGTGAAATCATGTTCTGTTGTGTCCCCGCTAACTGTCGCATTATTTTCTGGTCCCTGTTTATCTTCGGACAAGATCGACAGTCGGCCCGAGGCCAGTCGCAGTAATCGCGCGGTCACTTATGAAGGCGTTCTTAGCGAGAGCAGTGACAGTGAGAGCGAAGGTCCTGGAAATGAGGAATCTATGAAAAACACGGTGTTGATGAAAATACACGACTTCGTGCAGTTTTCTGAGAAACCTGAGGTTAGCTTGACTGTCAAAAGATTACGATGGCTCAGAGGGTCAGTTTTGTTTTAGACAACGAGTACAATTCCGCGGAATTGCTCGTTTTTTTAAAATTTTTTGCCAAATTGGACTAGTCCCGGCGGCTAGCCAAATTTTGGCAAATTTTACTGTACCACCAGCAAATTGCGAAATGAATAAAATACATCGCACATTGATTACTTACAATTCTTTAGCTCGTTCTACTGGTACAATATTTACGCCACAAACTTCAAGCTCTCATTGTACGAAGACTCAGATCGCCCTCGCGTCCCTTGTCACAAGTCGATGAGGTACAAAATTTGCTTGTAATTTTGTTAACGTTTTTAGATTCGACATGGTAATCCTCTACATAACTAACTATAGTAAGACATAGCTGTACCACTGTCTATACCAGAGTATTCACTTTATTATGGCTCATTTTTTTGATAATTTCTTCTGGTTACTGTTATCAAATGGTTAAACAACAATGCTTGCATATGTTATTTTAGACGGTACTGCGAACAATTGTGAATGTTTTAACAATACAAGAAGAGGCTTTGGGAATAAATCAGCAGTTTCAGAAAACGCAGAGAACTTGGAAATCAGGTATAGACACTATAATATTTCATTTTTACTCTTTAAATATTCAACAATTATGTTGGTTAAAGTTATTAGCGATTGCATTGCTCCGCTCTCTTAATAGGGAATGTCGTTGGGAGGATAGACAGTAAGGTAATTATTGCAAAGGAAAATACGTGAACGATGTTTTACCCCAGTGCTCAAGAAATCGAAAAAAAACTACTGATGTGGTGATGTTATCTACAAAAGCTGTGCATAATAACAACTTATTTTATTCTTTTAGGCAGATGAAATTGATTTTGGCGGGAGAAATGAAAGGTACGTCTATTACATATCACCCACGATTGCGGAAAACCAATATTTCGATATATTTCACGTTGGTTTCCTGATTCAATATTTTTAGATAGTTTGACGGTCTTAGATAGGTGATATTTCTATATAACTAACATTTATTTCGTGTTTATTTTAGTCGAGGGAGGGGAAGAAATATCAGTAACAATACAAGCAAAGAGAAACGACGGCGAGAACCAGCACGTAAATAGCAATTGTTATTGTTTTCATAACAGTATACTGCATGAATAAATGAGATTTCTGACTTTAACTATTGACAGGTCTAGTGATAGTCTAACCAGTGAACGATAACTGCTAATTGCAAACGTCAAATCGCTTCAGTTCCCTTCTAATTCACCAGTCAAACGTAATGTCTGCTAATAGACAATCATATTGACTTCATTATGTATATACTTGTGGTATAACCCAGGCACTGACAGTGGCTTTCTTCATACTTCAGCACCATTTTATAATTTTAACCTATGAATTATAAATATTTTTTTTGTTACAGGGAGTTTAAATTTCGAAGCACCTTCTAAACCACAGGTTAGAAAACTTATGTTTAAATGCATGTGTTCAGATAAACCGCGTCAAATCTGACTGCCTTTAAATAATTCTACCCATAGGTGTTTTTCATTATTTTCAGTAGGCAAGAATATGTAACTGAATAAGAGTAACTTTACGAGCACCCAGCTAGGCCTTGAAAGGCCACGAAACAATCGCGCCTTGTAGTTTACTTACAGTTTGACATACCCCCAGCCCGCCCAATATATACACGTCAATCTAGGATGAAAAAGTTTCAGTGTTTCCAAAAAATTCCCTATAAAGATGTTTTTTAATCATCTACGTCCATTACCTCTGGTTCATTGCTATCTATTTTGTGATAGGATGAATCGGGTCAGAAAAAGGAATCACAGTACAGATATGACGGTTAGTTATACCGTAAATAGTGAATTCTCGCACTCGGAATTCAATTCTTGTCGCACTCGGATACTGTACTGCGCTGATATTCATGTAAAAAGCGCATTATAAGTGATTAAATTATTATTATCAATTTTAATCGTTTCTCTTAGTGCGGTATTTTATAATGAAGTGTAACAATCAAAGGAATGTTGATATTGCAATGTCAAAGGTAAAATGACCGCTCTGTGGATTTCATGAATTTTATGTCATCAAAAATGTACTAAAAATTCAATATTAATTATTCACTTGAAATTACATCGAGTTTTTTTGCATATTTGTAAGGGTATCTGGGCGACTACACAAGCCAATGAAAAGAAACTCAATAAGGCTTTCAAGGTTGGTTGTAAAATATTTCCATCAAGTTTCTCAAAAAAAATATCATGTGATTTATTACCTTTAAAATCCCGGTCTGAACAATTGTCTTTATTTATTGTTTAGGAAAGTAGAAAAGTCATTTTGATATTTTCTGTTCAAGGCAGTGGCCATTTTCAAGGTAAAATATTTTTTACAAAGCATTCTTAGTTTTCTCGTGATTAGGTAATTATTGAAAGGCTGAATTATTGATTACACGTGCAGGCTACGCGCACATGACGTCACTCATAAGTCGCGAAAAATGTCGTGAATTTGGCTCCAATCTTCTCACGGGCTCATTTACAATCACCTGGCTAAAGTGGTAAGGTTTTTTTGGGTCTTTATCGTACAGGGTACTCCAATGCTGCAAGATCCAGTGCCATCTTCTTTGCATAAAACATAAGAACAACAGTTGATTCAAACCACTTCGGGTAATTTTCTTAGTGGTGGATACTTGCACTTGAAAAAAATATTTGTAACTTCGAAGCAGCTCTCTAGTCATGGCCATTTCATAACCTCTTTTCACCTCCTTTGATTCAGTGATAATATTCCCTTCCAACATGTTCATCATCTTCTGAACCCATGGAACGACAACAAGAAAGTTCAAATAAGTCGTGATGGTCAGGTTAGCGTAGCCTTACTCTGATGTTACTTAGAGGCTTTCCAGCTTGTTCGTTGAAATATCTTCAAAAATCATGTTCCATTACCTCTTGCAGGAACTGGAGCCGAACGTTGGAGAAGCACTGTGTAAGGCGTGGTCCACAGTTGAATCCAATAAACCCCACATGTCTCGATATACCCAACCTTCCAAACAACCATCAGAACAGTCCCAGGTCCAACCCCCATCCCAATGGCATAGCATACCAACGTCAGGTGTACCCGTAACCCAATATCCACATTCGGCTCAGGCTCCCATACTCTTCGCAGCCCACCCAGCTTCAATGCCTATTCCCGTTCCAATCCCCGCGCATGGACACGGTCCAACTATGATGATTCCACAGCAGGCATATCCTCAACCTCACATGCAGGCGACTCTCACCTACTCTGCCCAGCCAATCGCAATGCAGCCCAGCGCAGGGTACCCTTCCAATCCGCCAATGGCTGTCGAGCCCCAACCTGCGCATATGGGAGTTATGCAGGTTATTGGGCCTGAAGATTATATGCAGAGTATGCAACCGAATTAAAAAGCAGAATAAAGAAAAATTATCATATAGGAATGTTCATAATAAAAGCTGGGAAGATGAACATAAATCTGTAGTAGCAAATATGCTAGCCAAAAGTTAGATAATTTAAATGCAGTCTGCCGCATTTACTACTGCTTACAAAGTAAACTTTCCCTATAATTACGTGACAACTTATTGTCGGTTATCCAGCTTTTGTTTTCAGGCGAGGTGCGGAGAATCTTTGAAAGATAATTTGACCTTTCTCAGTTGACGTTTCTTAGTTTATTCTTCAGAGCTTTATCGTCGTTGTTTCTTGTTGTTAGTCCTTGTTCGAGCCTTGTTGTGTTTAAGTTTCTGCGTTTGTTGTTGTGTTTAAGCTTTGCAATTGTCGAGTTCAAGAGGATTTAGAGGACTTTGTACACGTGATCAACCATAGCGCGGGATGGTCTATGGACTTTGAGATTGTGATTGCATCTGCAAATGCAGATATATTTTCCTTTTGACATTTCAATCAAAGAAATGTCTTTTCTTTAAAGTTGTATAGAGCTTTAAAAGTCCTTGAATTTAGAGTGAAATGACGCGTAAATAACGAGTGAAACGTAAATGACAGTAAAGATGTATTTGTAGTAGGTGGCGGAACATGTAGTTGCCATGTATAGTTTTGGGGGTTAAATTTTTCACAATGTTCCGAGTATGGTCTTCTAATATAACCTTCAGTCTCCTTGCCAACAGTAAGGTCTATTTATTTATGTCGCTAAGGACTTGTTGGTCGCTTTGCAACAGTTGTCAATGCTGTATGTATGTTGTAACGACGTTTTTGAATAAAGACAATAGAATCGAAAATTTTCTCTAAATTGTCTCGAACCGCCGCTGATCGTAGGTTACGGGCGCAGTTTTGCGGTTTTGCCACGCATTTAATACACCACCGATGGCGGGTTTTTCAGGCTTCACAGACGAAGAAATACAGCGTTTTAAAACCCAAGGAGAAAGCACGGGTTCTAATAGAAGTGAAAAACAAGAACCGATCAAAAAGGCTGCCATTAATCCCGCCGGCAAGCGCTCAAGAACGCGCGAAAAAATTCGTAGTAAATCGACGAATTCTAAACAGAATGACAGACCTCCAGAATCACGAAAGAATGAACCGAAAGAGGAAGTTGTGGCTGAAGGGAAGGAAGAACAGGGAGATGTTGAGGAAAAGAAAGTTGAAGAAACTTGTCGCGAAGTTCAGGTGGTCATGGAGCCTGAAAAGTAAGTTTTGTTGTAATGTTTAAGTTTTGATATAATATTTTTATAGAATTATAGTGACTGCCATCACGGTTTATAATAATAGAACTGAGCTGCTATTTACTGCTATAAATACAAACCTGGCTTGTACGTATTTTGCATTATTTAATACTTGGAATCTGAGCAACCAAAATAGGTACTTGTACTTTGTAGTTTATTAGAGTAAATCTACTGTAGCATTGTCTTTGCTTTATGATACCTGAGCTAAATATCTTCCAAATTCTTAGCATTCCTTGTGTGACATGATCATTTTTGTTTATGAAAGAGTTAAGAGTGACCTGATCATGAGGCAACTGCAACTAGGTGGAACATACAAGTGTGAAAATAAGCCATTTATACACAGTCATGGCCTGGTAGCCTTGTTTTAGTGTTACAACTCATTTTCACATTTATTGGTCAAAATTAAAAAATATTTTTCATGCATGTGTTGAAGAAGGATGTTTTGCATCTTTGCACATAGCCTGTGATAGTAAAACTTGAAATCCATCTTAGTTAAGGTGGTTCGAAATTTATAAGATAACATTGTGATGTAATTATCGAAAGGGTTTATTAAATATTAATTTTTTTTTTGTACCCGCTTTTTCGGGTTGGGAGAGATAAAATTGACCAACTGGGCATGCTTGGCAAGTGCCTGAAATGTTCCAAATGGTTTGGATTTCTTGGTGACCATTTTTGATTATAGAAGTTTTACAATATCATGTTTTGTATAGCATTTTACACACTTAATAAATTGCAGCCTTGTTTATACTTTCAACCTCAGGCACTTGCCATCTGTCTATCTATTACTTACTCTGTGGTGAGGTGGACTTATTATGATTGTCTAATGCGTTAGAATCAATACCCTTTCAAATATCATCAAGCCTAGGAATCTAATGTCCATAAATTATGAGTCAGTCAAATGACCATTCCCTTTGTAACTATACATGAAGGGGTAATTACCCCCCCTCCTAAGTTAAACAAATGGCTGTGTCAAAGTTGCAGTTGATAAGTGTTATAATATTGAAATAATTCATAGATAAAATGCTAGCCTTTTCAAGCCTTGTGACCATTTTACAGCAGGGTTGGAAATGTGATATGTATGAAATTACCTCTCTTGGCCTACAATTTGCCAGCATCATCATTGGTATTGTAACATGGGCATATGTTTGGAATGTATTAGGTTTAGACACTTTGATGTGTGTAATTTCTTTGTATGCTTGTCATTTATTTGTTTTTGCAACAATGACTTATTGGCGTCTTTCCTCAATCTTGTTGTGTAGAGTAAAAGAATTGGAACTTTCAAATATTGAGAAAATGCAACAGAAACAGAAAGAGATGGAAATGATTAACAAAAAGAAAGAGAAAATGTTACAAAGTGCCTTGAAAAAACGGTACGAAAAACCTGTAAAGTTGAGAGAGTTGCAAAACAGCTAGTGCTTTGCATTTTGTAGTAGCAGACAAAATAGTACAAAATAAATAAGAAATAGTAGAAAATAGTCCCTGCTACCCACACGATAACAACTGTTCAACTCTTGCTTCACAACTTTAATCATACAGCTCTCATCCTGGCTGGTTTAACCATCGTACGAGAGTTTGGAAACTTTCGTGCAAACTCTCCTAAACTCTCATCAACTCTCATTCTCGTTTGACCATCGCATCGAGAGTTTGGAAAACTCTCGTGTGAACTCTCGCTTCTCAACTCTCATCAACTATCATTCTCGTTTGACCAGGGCTTAATTAGGTTTTTTAATATATACATATTTTGCCATAACCTAAACGAAAATGTTGTAAATCATGTTATGATGTCATGAATTACAGTCGCGGCAATACAAGCGTTCCGAAAATTATCGAGAAAATTATCGTACGAAAATTATCGTAACAGCCTAGTCCCATGGCTTTCCGCCTGCGGGAAATACAGCTCGTGAAGTTACAAGCGGTGCAGGGGACCTGTTTCGGAAAATATCCGAACTACTGAGCTATACTATAATCGAGACCCTTCCCAGTTTCCCATGCCTTTACACTCATTCCCGGTCGACCTGCAAATCCGACGTAAATATCAGGCGGAAACGAAAAGCGAAAGGCCATAGAACTAGGCTGATCGAGTAATTCATTTGCTCAAGTTTATCAGTTAACGGCTTACGGATTTCATGAAATATTTGAAAAACTCCTTGAAAAACGAATTGACCAATCTCTAATCCTATTAGATAATGAAATAAATAGAAGCATATGGTTGGTCAATTCGAAACAGAAGTTTGGAGTTCAAGTATTTAAAGAACTCCTTAAGCCAACTGATAAATTTAAGCAAATGAATTACTCCATATTTTTCGGAACGCTTCTATTGCCGCGACTGTAAAATAACTAATGCTACAATGCTAGCAAACAAAGCTGTAATGACTAAATTTTCTTTGAATATAGTTATGCGAAAACCAAAAGAGAGACTGAAACACTTAAACTGGTTCAAAAAGAACTTAGTCGACTAGATAATTTGCTTTATACTGACGTTCAAATTTTGAGAGACAAAATTGACCATTCCTGTCGAGAATTTGATGCTGCAAGGTATGTTATTAGGTGCAATGTCAAACTGACAACTTTTGTAGAATGTGACAGACGTTTTTAACAAAACTCTGTGTTCTTAGAAAACGCTATGAAAGGGCAGAAGCAGAATTTATTAGTGCCAAAATGAACCTACATGAGAAGACAGAAACAAAAGATCAACTGACAGAACATTTGTGTTCAATTATCCAACAAAATGAGGAAAGAAAGGCCAAAAAACTGTCTGAACTTATGGAAAAACTTGAACTAGCTGAACAAGAAGTGAACGTGGAATTAGAAGAAAGTATTTCAGAGGATTTGAAGGAAAAATCTGCAAATCATAGTTTTGCGCAAATAGAAGATGAAGTTGTTGACACACAAGACAATAAAACATCCAAAACCGAGGAAACTGAAGAACAATCAGTTACAAATACTGAAAATTGTTCAAAACAAGATATTTGTATTGAAAACAATAATAATGAGAATACAAATCAGAAGCAGAAGACTGTTGAAGAGTGAAGGATAATTTTTTGGGAGGAATAATTTTTTTTCTTTGATTACAGAGCAGTGGAAGAGAAGTTTTCCACCCTCGTTCTATTAAACAAAAAGCCGAGTAGAAATGTTTGAAAAAGAGTGAATTTTTTATAATGCAAAGTACAATATTTTACCAGAGAAAGTGGGAATATAATACACCTTTTTGAAAGTCAGTTTGGGGAACCTTGCTCTTAATAAAAGATGTTGAATCACGAAAGTGAGGCAACCCAAACATCGCAATTAACTAGACCGACTGTTATATGTTGATCTGAATCATCTGATTGTGTCCTAAGTAGTAAATAACAAAAAACCAGATCGTTTGGCGAGGCTGTTTTTACATCATTGTATCTGAGGATGACTTTGAAATAAAGTAGGAAATTTTACAAACGCCTATTTATTTATTTTGAACTGTTTGCTCCATATGGTTTGGTCACCCTTCGTTGTCCGCCATTATGTTTTTATTTTGAATCAATCAAGTCAGTCATCAAAGCCATTGGCATTGAATCAAGACCGATCAAGACAAATCCGGATCCGATCGGGAAACTAATCTGGAATCGTGTTACTGGGGCACTTGCTCGCGGCCAGAAAGTGAAGCAAAAAGATGGCGGATTTTGAGCTTTGCTGACGCCACGCCACATGATTCACATGGTTTCACATGGTCCCCTGCCACTGATTAACACCAAGATGTCTCGCGTCTGATTAAAAAAGTGTAAATGCTAGCTTAGCAATTGAATAGAGGCATTCCCCCCCGAAATTTCAAAATGGAGCCGAACCATTTATATTATTATATACTAGCGCCTAAATACAGGAAAGGCACAGTTCATGTTCCACGTTCTTCATCGTGAGAAAGGCTAATTCTCTTGCATAACTGTGAAAGATGAATCAGGAGTTTCTTTTTCAATCAGCTGATAATGTAATGTTTCATTAATTTCATACTTCATGTAATTCACTATGAAATGAACTGTGCCTTTCCTGTATTCAAGCGCTCGTCATATAGGCGGCGGCCCAAAATTGCAACCTCGTACCTAGGGCCTTTACTCGTGGGGAGGAAAGACCCTGGTCGGGGCTGGTCACGTGAGCAATGAAAATTCTATCGCCACAGGGGGTGTGGCCACTGAGGTGTGGCAGAGTGTCGTATTACATGCTTCCACTTGTAGCGTTCTTACATTCGAAATCACTATTATGTCCTTGCTTCGACCATATCGCTTTTTACTGCGTCGCGCACTGCGCGAACGCAGTCTTAAATTGCCGTCGGTGTTTTTTTTTTTGTTTTTTTTTGTGTTTTTTACGTTTTCGACCCGGTCTACCTGGCCGCGCAGGCCAACTAAGATAGTCGTATTTTGAACTCGTTTGATTTCGTATCGAAATATTTTCGTGCTAAACACACTTCAAATAGTAATCTAAGCCTAGTAACCCCCACAAAAGAAATATTTTACTGAAACAAAAATTGAAAAAGTTTGTTGTCGCCGGGATTCGAACTCGGGTCGTGCGAACCAAAAGCAGGAAACTGCATGCACGATACACGTCATATAAAATAACACGTACACGAGTCGCTGTGCATGGCCGATACTAGCGCAGGAAATCTAGACGTCTGTCGTTCGAGAAAATACGTACAGGTAATCATATCATAATGCTGGATTCTCGACTTGTCTTGTTTGATATGCTCACTCTGCATACACTAGCACACACTGATCATGGTAAACCTACACTAAAACGGGCTTACAGACAACGATCACATGAATCATGAAAGCCTTGTACGCCATGAAAGCCTTGTATGCTATGAAAGCCTTGTATGCTATGAAAGCCTTGTATGCCATTCTATGCCATTTTTCAATCAAACCGCACTTTCCTTTCAAGGGTAAAAACGGCCAGACCGATCCTATTGAATTTCAGTACAAACTGATTCCCAGAGTACATGATTCCAAACTAAGCCTTATTCACGTATATCGTTAGCTACATATGCCTAGCTGGTGCTAGGCAGTTTTACCCGTATATTCTGTACAAAGTGCTCTATTTACTAGAAAACCTAAGAAAGAAACATTTTTCTAAAGGAAAAAATATTGACAGGAAATGGGGCACAGTTGCATGCAACGACTGGCGCGACGCAGTAACCGCCAGAATAGGCGTCTTGATTGTTAACAAACGAGTTATTCTCAAACCGAAGCATGTTTTTTTGTCTGGAAAGTGCCTATTTAGAGAAGAATGTAATGTATGCATTGCAGAAGGGATATATAAAGTCCTTAAATTTTCATCTTCTGCCCATGTTGGTGTTCGCGAGATACAAGTTGCGCGAGAAATAATATGCTTCTTGGAGAGAAATATTAAAATTGCTCTGTAACATCATTTCTATTCTCGTTTCGCCCTTAAATTAAACTATTCAATGAATGACCAAATATTTGGCCTAAACGTGAGCAGAATCCAAGCGTGTGATAGATGAAGAGAAATTGCATAGTTTACTGGTAAGTGGTATATTATCGTATATAAAACTGTACATTTTGATATTAAATATAACCCTGTTGCACCCAACAGTAAGTTTACTAAATCAGTCTCCAGACGGAAGAAACGAAAATATTTTAAAACGACTAGTGGCTTACCTGAATGATTCTCTTCCGATAAAACATTTATTACAACGCCAGTAGATCAAGAAACCACTTCTTCGCTTAATTAGTAAAACAGGGAAAGCCCGGAAACGAAGAAACAATTTTAACTTATTATTTTTTTCGAGAATGTCGCCTCCGAAACAGTAGTTCTCGACAAGTCACAGTTGATAATATTTAATCATAAAAGAAATTATACAAAATCACAGTTCTCAACGTTGTCTCACTCACGATCACTCTCGCTCTACCTCCGTCTCGTTACACCTTATCTAATAAGTGATTGCAATTATATCTCTAACAAGACGCCAATTCTGGCGGTTACTGCGTCGCGCCAGTCGTTGCATGCAACTGTGCCCCATTTCCTGTCAATATTTATTCCTTTAGAAAAATGTTTCTTTCTTAGGGTTTCTAGTAAATAGAGCACTTCGTACAGAATATAGGGGTAAAACTGCATTATTGGTGCTAGGCATATGTAGCTAACGATATACCTGAATAAGGCAGCTGAGTTTGAAATCATGTACTCTGGGAATCAGTTTGCACTGAAATTCAATAGGATCGGTCTGGCCGTTTTTACCCTTGAAAGGAAGGTGCGGTTTGATTGTCATAGAATGGCATACAAGGCTTTCATAGCATACAAGGCTTTCATGGCGTACAAGACTTTCATGATTCATGTGATCGTTGTCTGTAAACCCGTTTTAGTGTAGGTTTACCATGATCAGTGTGTGCTAGTGTATGCAGAGTGAGCATATCAAACAAGACAAGACGAGAATCCAGCATTATGATTACCTGTACGTATTTTCTCGAACGACAGACGTCTAGATTTCCTGCGCTAGTATCGGCCATGCAAAGCGACTCGTGTACGTGTTATTTTATATGACGTGTATCGTGCATGCAGTTTCCTGCTTTTGGTTCGCACGACCCGAGTTCGAATCCCGGCGACAACAAACTTTTTCAATTTTTGTTTCAGTAAAATATTTTTTTGTGGGGGTTACTAGGCTTAGATTACTATTTGAAGTGTGTTTAGCACGAAAATATTTCGATACGAAATCAAACGAGTTCAAAATACGAGTATCTTAGTTGGCCTGCGCGGCCAGGAAGACCGGGTCGAAAACGTAAAAAACACAAAACAAAAAAAACAAAACAAAACACCGACGGCAATTTAAGACTGCGTTCGCGCAGTGCGCGACGCAGTAATTACTTACGTCATGCACGATCCTTGAATAATATGGCCTTAAATGGTAATAATAGTAACTTTGCTTATAATAATGTACTTATCTATCCTGTCAGTCTTCGACATTTTAAAAACGAAAATTTACGAAAAAATTTTTCACTGAAAACCACAAGTATTTTTTATCAAAAACCAGGAGGGAGATGACTCAATTTTTGTCTTTGGATCGCGGTATGTCAGCGGTGACTACCCAGGCCATTTAGGACCATGTGGCGTCAGCAAAGCCTAAAATCCGCCATCTTTTTTGCTTCACTTGATGATGGCGAGCACTCCCTCCAGGAATTATAGTATAGCTCAATGTCGCGCTCCCTTTTTTGACTGATGTTTCCGCTACCAATGCCTCCTCTAGTGTTATTTATAATCTCTATGACGAAGAGGACGTCTAAATTTATCCCGGAAGTTAAATTACTTAAATAACCGGATGCACGTCATTTTTCGCCATCTTTCATTATGCATAAGGCACAGAGGAACTAATAATTCATCATGATAAGATCTATTCACAGTTACGCAATCTTATTTTGTAAATTGTAACTTGTATGGTACTGACTGCACAGAATCCGCCGACCACCTTTATACTCTGGACGTAATGGCTGCAGAATTTGATTGGTTCAATCATATGGAAGAGGTTATGAAAAATCGTGGAGAGACTACTACCCAGAAAGAGCTAAAAGACGTTTATTCATCTTGGAGTACAACATATGAAAAGGTATGAGTATGAGTCGAAATAGCTCCAGCAACAACAGACCAACGCTACAGACATCATCAGTCTCCGTGTTAAACCGATATGTCATGGTACAAAACATGCTTTGTAGCATTTAGAAACTATACTGAAACTAAAACTAATACCCTCAACTATATACTTGAGTCTCCGGCACCGTTCTCGTCGGCCAAACGTAATTTGTGTCTATTATGTCTGCTTTTGTGTTTGATGCAAGCCAACAGCATTTATATATTATAATCTTATTAAAAGCACGCGCTACGGTATGCACTAATAGTTACTCCAATACACTAACAGTCAGTGTATTTTCCACTTTCAGAGCATAGTAGGTGACCATGAGTACAAAGGTCCTACTGTCGCAGCCGAACTGTTGACACAAAAATTGAAAGAATTTGGATTTAGCAATGACGCTCGCATTATGGATCTTGGCTGTGGTACCGGCCTAGTTGGGGAACAGCTGCAGAAGCGTGGCTACAAAAATATCGATGGCATAGATTTAACTCCAGCATTGCTGGAAATTGCCAAAGCCAAAGGAATATATGGCTCTTTGAGGCAGGGAACCATGGGCTCACCACAGTGCAAGGAATTGGGTGTTGAAGCCAATCAGTATGACGCCGCCATCTGTGTTGGAGTGTTGACACTTGCGCACGTGAAAAATGAAGGCTTGGATGATATTGTACACGTGGTAAAACCAGGAGGATTGGCGTGCTTTGGCATCCGGGAGTTTGCTTTCACTGATCCGCAAGGTGGTTACCAGCAAAAAATTGAGCAACTTTGCAAAGAGGGGAAATGGAAATTGCTTGTGAAGCATCACGAGTCGGCCTACCTCAAGGACGGCGGTGCTATATTATTTGTATACCAAATTTTATAAGATAATGAAATGTCTAACTTCTCTATTTTCAAGGCATTCTATATTTTTAGCACGGTTCATTATAATTACGTAAACTACTTAGTGCTACTATCACATAGGATAATATCTCATAGGATAATCATTGTGTAACCCAGTGTGTGATTGGTTGTGTTATTTCTGTACGGTTTATTTAAATAAAAGCTGATTCAAAACGTGTATACTAATAATGTATCTCCACATTTACAATTACATGATTTACTGTACTCCACAATATATAAATTTATTTGAAACTTACAGAGGCCTTTAGAAGGGGATAGCCTCTTTTGCGCGGGTCGCGGGTCAATCAAAACTGGCGCAGACTGAATTAGGGAGACGGAAGTTGAAGGGGAGTCTGCGAGCAGGCTAGGAATGTGAGTGATACAGCAGAACAGTAAGGACACTGTGATTATGGTGGTGCCGTGGTGGGCGATACACTAAAAGGCATCAAAGCGTCAAGCGTTGGATCTTCTCAATTTGTTGAAGAAAAAGAAAAAGGACGTAAAGATCAGATCACATTTGAGAATCGTCAATGGGAACAGTAACTAGCATTTGAAAGAAAAGTCGATGAAATTTCGACTGCAAAATATGAAAACTCGTGAGTCAAAACCTGAAACTGATTTGAAATTCTGAACAGTAAACTTCCCAAATTTAAAATCGCCAAATTCAACGGTGACGCGAGCAAGAGGCTCATGCCTCATCTTCTGAAATCTTAGGCGAAGATCGAGAAATCTGACCTTGTGACAACAACATATTTCGCCTTTCTGAAAGAAATGGTAAAACAGCGGATGCGGACTGAGGTGGATTGAAAAATATTTTCAAGTAAGGATTACGAGTAAAAAAGAAAAAAGAAAGTAAAAAAGAAAATCTAGTCTATGCAGCTGTAACACACACGTCATATATTTAACGCCTATATCCTATATCCTTGTAATGAATCCCAGAATACACTGAGATTCCTATTTGAATACTAGACGTTAGATCGCAAGGGAAGTGCTGCCTTGAAGACAGGGCGGTATGAATTATAATTATAACTAGCAGTAATCACAGATTAGTGATGTGCGTTCGGAAAGTGTGTGTTGATTTCGGTTAACGATCATTAACAAAAATGTTAACATTATAACGTCACAGGCATATGTGATTCAAAAGGTTACCCGTAAAATGAGTGATTTAACAACAGCGATGGCTTTTATGCCTTAATTAACAACAAAATTTCAAAATGAAGCGAGCACATGATCTCCAGTTACTATGGCGACTAATCAGAACGAGGCAAATCTGACATCGTAAATCTCGATATGACACGGCTAAGAAGCGTTCTCCTTCGTCGAACGCAACTAAAGAAGACGTGTGTAATGGCGCGAAATATACTAGTATTTGAAAAGTGTGTGTGACCGTATCTATCTACGTGACAGTTTTGTCTCCAAAGAGTGGTGGTGCACAGCTTTTGCTAATTTTCCGATGCGCGATTCGATTTCGCTCGCATGATACGGCAATTCCTCCAAGAGGAACAAATAAACCGTTCTTTTCATGCTGTTCGATTAAGTTTAGATTGAATTGGGGTAAGAATGTATTGAATACATGTAGATTCTGGTCCTATTTTAATAATATCGCTGCTATTTCGCCGTTTAACAAGATGATGTGGTCGTGTATGGGCGCGTTGACACGTCGCAGCTTGCACAGGATTGAAGATTTAATATAACTATATAAGCGCGAATTCCAAAGGCAAAGTGTAAGACAAAGTGAATGTATCATGCGGTTTATTTACATTTTTGAGCTATTGAACTTCCATACTTTTTAAAGTACGATGCGCTTCTGAATTTCGCGATCGAACAACATTTAGGTTTGCAAGGCATCTAAATGAATATGAACTGTATTGTTTATGTTCAGAAGCTTTATATTGAAGACTGGCACGTGCGCTGCTCGCGGGAGTTAACGCCAGAACCAGCGTCTTGTTTAATTGAGGGTCACCATATTGCAAATAATAAATGTTCTCAAAAGCTGAGACCATTTCTGGCACATCAGTTAAAAGCAAATAGCTTTTATTAATAGAATGGTGCTTATAAAAGAATAGAGGTTATTTCCAGCACACAGCATATGTCATTCAATAATACTGAATCCCATGCATTAACATTTGTAATATGATCATACACTATTGCAGTCAAGGTCATAGCTAGACATTGTTTACCAGCATTTTGTCTAAATTTTTTTGTATCACTCTGGCTAAAATCAGCACAGATTGTTTTACTTGGGTCAACCACATCATACACTGTGGGTCCAGGATTTCCTTCGACATCATTTGACATCTCAACAACAGTGCAACGTACACAATGTAGAAAGATATTTGAGTGAACGACACTATCATTTGACTAAAACGTTTAATAATAATAGCAGTGGCACAATGGCTTGCGATTTTTGTTGTTTTAATGGGTATTTGTACAGTCATATTTGATCAAAACGAAGCAATGTCGGATGGACTAATAAAAATTGTTGACAAAACGAAGATCAAAAGGCCCTTGTCTTTCAAATTGGATTTTTTTATGCTTAAAAATGCAGTTTTTCTCATTAAAAAGTGCAAAAACACTTGCCGGAATTTCGCGCATGCGCATTCAAACATGGAGACAAGAAATCGCAGGAGTGAACGGTCTGTTTAGTTTGTGTCAAGACCATATATAGAGATAATAAATAACACAAGAGGGGGCATTGAGGAGAAATTGGAGAGCGCGTTAATGGTGGGCGGCAAATCCAAGTCCCGGATTTCACTCATTCACGATGTCCGAGATGTCCAAAATTAGTCGTTTTAAACAGTCGGTTTTTTATTTCTAAATAGGGTTTTCCTTTTAAAATGTCATTTCAGGATGTCTAAAGGTAGTAAAACCAGTTCAAAAAACACTGTTTTTCCTCAAAAACTGGCGAAGCGACGGCCTAAATAACGAATATATAAGTTTTTTAATACAAACTTTAGTTGTTGTTAACACCACGTTAACAACGTTGTTATTGTTGGGGGCAAATTCAAATCCCGGATGCTAAGCTAAGCACCTACTTATAAGCACTGCTCGTACTGACTGCACAGAATCCACTGACCACCTTTATACTAGTTATACTCTGGACGTAATGGCTGCAGAATTTGATTGGTTTAATCATATAGATCAGGTTATGAGAAATCATGGAGAGACTACAACCCAGAAAGAGCTAAAAGACGCTTATTCATCTTGGAGTACAACATATGAAAAGGTACGAGTCACAATCACTGATCAGAATAGCTCCAGCAACAACAGGCCAATCACTACAGGCATCATCAGTCTCTGTGTTACACATATGTCATATGGAACAAAACATGCCTTGTAGCATTTAGAAACTATGCTGAAACTAAAACTAAAACCTGATTTTAAGTTTTTCTGTTTTAAGCGAGATCATGTAAGCTTTCCCTTAGCCGCAACTCTTTATACTTAGACTTTGAATTTGGTGAACAAAAAGGTTTATAAATGACCACAAAATATGTCTTGAACTGAATTAAAGCTTTGCAGACGGTAAAAGCAATGATTGTCTAAATTAACCCTTGGCTATATAATAAATGTTATGATAAAGCGTTGTTGTATATTATCAACTGTACCAATTTAATCGGATATAAGACGTTGAAAACATTGTGTTTACGTTTAGGGACAATTCTATAAAGCCTAATTCGAGGTAGCGCTCACTGGGTCCTGAAATGGAGACGTTCTATATAGGACATAATAATCGACGTTTTGCCGTTATAAACAGAATGTAGATCACGTCTAAAACTCCCATAGATATTTAATAATCCATTTTTATTTTCAATGACGCATTGTATTGATAGCTGCCGTTGTCGTATTCCCGTCCTACATGCTTTATAAGGTCCCTACTCACTAATTTTTTTTTCCTTACTAATTACGTCACAACGGCATCACATATCAGCAGTAAAAATTCGCAAGCACAAACTAACTTTGAGGCAAAATCTATGCGTGTTCCCATTATTCGATTTTGATGAACGATATACCAAATTGATCAGGAAAGTTTGAATTATTCGATTAAGAAAAAAATAGGTTCCCAAAATTTCGTTTCAATAGTTAACATTCACCGAAAGCGTTAAACGAACGTAAATTCAGTTATATAAATTTCTAACTTATGAAGTTGAATTCTGATTGGCAGCATTTGTAACATATGTAAATGTTCATAAGCACATATCGTTTATACTGTAAAATGTGCAAATTCTGAAGAATTTATTGTGCTTCAATTCGCTATTATCAATTTCGGATCGAACGTAGCTATGTCGGTACCTGTACACGCCTAATCTATAGATCATTAGATTTCCTAACTTATCGTGTCGTACATGTCAAGTTGTTCATAATCGGTGCAGAGTTTAAAAATATGAAACGTTTCTAGGCAAAGCCACTAGAGTCACAAGGGAATAACATTAGTTATTTGTGCAGCCCCGACAACGTAATAAAGAGCAATAAAACTTTCTAGTATCAAGCTATATAAAACTCGTTTTATACCTTAACCCCCTGTGAAATATCGATTTGTTATCGCTACATGTACAGTGTAGTAATATCATTTGATTCACGATCAGATTTAAGAATTCTAATTTCTAAAATATTCAGTACTTTCGGGAACAGAAATATTTTCGTGATATATTCAAGCAAGTATACTATGATTTAAAACTGGGATACATTCGCACAGAACTACATGCACGACGATCTTAGAAAGTTTGTGAGTAATCTATTATATTCCGTTTCCCCGAGTTGTGAAATATAAAATTTGTGACATGCCACAGGTCCAGAGTTAAAACACCTCATGCAAGCAAATTCCATGTTCTCGTTCCGTTCCCAAGCAAGCAAGCGTTCAGTTCTCCAAGCTGGCAACTTTCGTGCGAATAAATTAAGCTGAACGTTATATTAAACATTTGTCCAATAAGAACTTGCTATTCTACGGTTTCAGCGCTGTTAGCCAGTGAGAAACTGTATCAGTTTAGCGATTGTTTCGTTCAGTAATGAGACTTTGCGTTCCTTTAACGCCTTCGGTGAATGTTAACTATAGTAGCACTTTAAGGAAAATGGTTGTTCTTGCTAACACTATTTTGGAACGGAAGATGAAATTCTCCCTTGTGGAGGAAAGAGAACGGAAACTTGAAATTGTATGTGCGAAAAAGGATTCACCAGTTATTATAAATACAGAGAGCTAAATTGTAGAAGGAGAGAATGTCAATAGATTGTGAATAGATTATGATTAGGATCGAGAATTTAATGTAAACCTGCTGATCAGATCTAGATTCAATTGAAGGTTAAATAAACGAAAATTCTAATTCACCCAGCACCGCAACGGCCCGTCCGAAGGTTTCCTTGTTTTGTGACTGGTAGCGTACCAGTCACAAAACAAGTACGATTGCCCAGACTTGAAGTGGCTAAGTTCACAGGTGAAGTGCATAAATAGCAAGGTTTTTGGGATCGGTTTTCAATTGCTATACACGAAAACGGTAATCGAGGTAGACAAGTTAAGCGAGGTAGACACGTTTTTGTACTTACGTGGACTGCTATTAGAACCAGCACGATCCAAGGTTCCGCTCTTTAAAAACGGTATGGAAAAACAGCAACTGTATAGTGAACGAGATGTTACAAAGGGTCAAAGCTGCGAAGATTGTACGATTTTGTAGAGAGCAAATTTATATCGTCAAATGCCCTGAAACTGAAAGTCGATCAGCGATCTTATGCCAAATTTGTTGTGCCCTCGCTGTTAGAGAAATTTCCAGATTCGTCGAGAATCGTAATGACGAGGGGGGAAGAACACCATGAATGGGAAAGTACCAGCGATTCAGCGAAACAGGCACAAGAGTTGTCCTACAGACGGCAGAAGAGCATGCTCTAGACAAATGTAGGCGTAGTCTGAGCGGGGAGAGTTCAGTGTCTGTGAGGAAAGCGGTGGCCGCGCGGGAGAGGAGGAAGCTCACAAGTGGCCCAGGGTGCCAATTAGCGCGCGCACAGGTGAGGGACTGTGAAAGAGTCAGAGCCAGAGATACTTGATGAGTAATTGCGGACTAACCACTGAGGGACTAACCTGACTAAACTAACCTCGTTCCCAGGGCCTTTTACCTTGATTCTGGGTTGGGGTAAAAGGTCTTGGGATCTGCCAGCCGCTTCTGACTTCTGATTTGTCAAATGATTTTTCCTAATTTATGTGTAGTTTGCGGAATATTTTTATTCCGAAATAGTACAATTCCAGTATGCTTTAATGCGACAATATTATCCGTTCTACGTGACGCCGCCATTTTGAAAATATTATGATAAATTATAAGCAAAAGGATATTATGCAAAATTTTGATAATAACAAATTATGCTTATTCAAAATACCCACGAAATGTGGGTATTTTGATCGGCCGATCCTAGGGCTTTTCTTCTTCCCCTCTCGCCCCCATCCCCAACCCCCCATATGAAGTCCCAAAACGCCCTGGGAACGAGGTTGATATGGGTTGATTGCGGACCAAAAAAGAGGTTGAAAGCGGGAGTTGTGGAAAAGGTTTCCAGGGGAAATCAATCAATCGCTGCTCATTATAACCAAGCTAGCAGTAATTAGAAAAGACAAACAAGTTATAAGACAACCTATATATCTATGTACCATTTACAAGTACCTCCATGGGTATGCAAAACGATTCAACAAAATTGACAAGCCTTCGAAATTTCCCGCGGTTTTGCGTCAATAATCGTAATCATTTGAGAGCAACGACGGCGACGACAGGACGTTAACGGCCGTCTTCTCAAAGTAAATGCCGGCCTCCACTTGCACGTACTGTTAGTGCGGATAATTTGGCGCATGCTTAGTGATCGAATCTGTTCGCTAATGTCTGCCGTTGCGGCTAATTTTTTGTACGGATGACAGTGGAATTGTAATCTACTTTAAAGGCGGTCATCAACGCGCACGCCGTACGTGCGATTTTGCGTACGTATACGCATGCGTGCAGGTGAAGGCCGGTGAATCGCCGTTAACGTTCTCGTCAGCCAAACGTAAGATCTATAATTATGTTAATGAGGCTATAAGTCTGCTTTAGTGTTCAACTTTTAACAAAAGCACGCGCTACGGATATACACTAATAGTTAATCCAATACAGTCTATTTCCACTTTCAGAGTATGGTAGGAGCCCATGAGTACAAAGGTCATACTGTCGCAGCCGAACTGTTGGCACAAAAATTGAAAGAATTTGGATTTAGCAATGACGCTCGCATTGTAGATCTTGGCTGTGGTACCGGCTTAGTTGGGGAACAGCTGCAGAAGCGTGGCTACAAAAATATTGATGGCATAGATTTAACTCCAGCATTGCTGGAACTTGCCAAAGCCAAAGGAATATATCGCTCTTTGAGGCAGGGAACCATGGGTTCACCACAGTGCAAGGAATTGGGCGTTGAAGCCAATCAGTATGACGCCGCCATCTGTGTTGGAGTGTTCGCACTTGCGCACGTGAAAAAAGAAGGCTTGGATGATATTGTACACGTAGTAAAATCAGGAGGATTGGTGTGCTTTAGCATCCGGGATTTTGCTTTTACTGATCCGCAAGGTGGTTACCAGGAAAAAATTGAGCAACTTTGCAAAGAGGGGAAATGGAAATTGCTCGTGAAGCATCACGAGTCGGCCTACTTTAAGGACGGCGGTGCAATATTATTTGTATACCAAATTTTATAAGATAATCAAATGTCTAACTTCTCTATTTTCAAATTTCAACACATTCCATATTTTAAAACGGCTGATAATGTTTCATGGAAGAATCATTGTGTAATCAAGTATGTTGAAACTATAATACAGAGGCATATCATATTTTTAATTATTTTGGGAATTTTGGAGAGGGGAAGTCTATTTTGCATGAGCAAGATTTGAGCAAGAGGCTCATGCCTCATCTTCTGGAATCTTACGCGAAGATCTGACCTTGTGACAAAAACAAAATTCGCTTTTCTGAAATGTTAAAACAGGGGATGCAGACTGAGATGGATGGAAAAATATTTTCAAGTAAGGATTACAAGTAAAAAAGAAAAAAAAATCATTCTTAATCCACAGTCTGTGCAGCTGTAACACAGACGTCATATATTTTACGTCTATATTTTTATCCCTGCAGTGAATCCCAGAATACACTGAGATTCATATTTTATTTACTGCAACGTTCACAGCGCAGTGAGCGCAGGGGTAAAGATAATCTCAACTTTGTCTCTTTGAGACTTTGACTTTGTGGCTTCAAATTTCCCAAATAGCAAAGAAAGAGAAAGACTGGTGCGGAGAAAAATTGACCAATGAGGAAGCGTTATTTATCGATGAAGAAGGCGCCATGTTTTAAAATTTTTGCTAACTCGATAAATAAGAAACACAAATATTGGCAGCATTCTTGGTCATTCTTCGCAGTTTTTAGTATTATTATCGTTTTTAATGTTTTTAGGAATATACCTTGATCATTTTTTGACGGGTATTAAGGTTATTAAGGTGTGATATAGTCAAAATATTCTATCGTGCGTTTATATGTTTGTGATTACTCGGTGTTTGAAAGATCAAAGAAACATCTAGCATTTTCAGGTAAATATAGACTTCAATAGACGAGTGATAATTGAAGGAAACGTGTCATAGATATAGAGGTTAAAAGAAAGCTAAAGATTATTTTTCTTGTCTCTATCATGCTGAAAATATCTTAATGGTTTGCATTTGTTTACATTGCCTTGGCAAAGAGATTCTACCGTTGTCAATTTATACAGGGCGTTCCCTGTCTCTGTCGTGAAAATAAAGTGGAAGAAAGTAAACCTGCCAAAAACTCTAACCTAAAAGTATCGTACAGTAACACGAAACAAGAATAATATACCTGCACAAAGTGCCCAGGATAAATTAAAAACGAAATTTTACCTTGCCAAAGAAACAAATTTTTAGTGGTAATTAATTTTTTTATATTCGATTGAGCACCAAATACAAGTCTGCTTAATGATTTCAACATTTTCAATCTATCTTGGTGCTTTAACTGATATATTTTACATGTCAAATGGAGAATGCTGCAATTTAGCAGGTTGGGATTTCGTTCTACCAGCTGTAATGTTTAATGCCTGCAAACTTGAAACTGTTTTTTCAGTTTGAAGCTACAGCATACACTAATTTTCTTTCCACTAATGAACCAGTTTAATATGTACAGTGTTAAACACATCTAATAGAAAGTGCATAATGTTTAATATTTGAAATCTTGAACTCATTCAATGGTACAATTGTTGTGATTCATGATAATATTCTTGTAAGTTTCCATGGTGACATCAATAAGTAACTAAGCTTGTAGGGACAGGTACCACATATAAAGTATTTAATACTGCAAAGCTTTCGGTCTGTTAACTGATGAAGGCCCGGATTAACGGACCGAAAGCTTTGCTGTATACCTGTATTAAATACTTTATATGTGGTGTACCTACAAGCTAATTTACTTACCTGTTGTGATTCAATTACAATGTTTTTGAATTTAATATAACTATAGTATTTGGGAATTTCCAGGTTTAAATTGAGATATATATATATAAGTATAAGTATAACTGTTAGTACAGTATGTCAATAGTGGTTAACGCAATGTTTGTATTTGCAGAGGTGTGGTTTAGTGATGTGTTGCAATGAAAAGGGAGACTGGAAGAAGTAAGGGCAGCACATCTATTCATGGCGATGTTAAGAAGAAAAAAGAGCGTGGTGTACCAACTGCTGTTGAGGTACAATATGTAGTTTAGTATTTAGTTTAATTTCAAACCAACCAAGAAGCACCTGACATTGCATGCCCACTGTGAAAATAATTAAAGAGAAGGAAAATTAAAATTCATCTGACCTCAAATTGAAGGCATTTTAGAAACCATTAGTGAGATACAATGAAGAGCCGATCAGAATAGAGTCAGTTATTGCTGCAGTGTCTGTTTTCATGAGGAGATATATATCATAAAGTAAATTAATCAAGTCACTTTTCTTTTTCCTCAATATAATTCAGCCTGAAATTAGCAAAAATTCATAGATCAGTGTATATAAGTCCAAAAAAATGGCTTACCATCCTTTGAAATTTGATACCTTGTGATAAAATTTGTATAAAGGAGTCTTAAATTAAGATGAAATGTAACTATTAAAATTTTAATGGTATTAAATTGTTTAACTTTGTTGAATATGGCCTTACAACTTAGCAGCGATCTTGGGAATTGATGTTTATGTTCTAGTTTTTTATAACTGTTGGCTAACTGTTGATTATACTGGCTCTTTTTTATTTAACCCATCCTTTTGAAGCATTTTCTCTGCATATATATTGAGTGTAGACTGGGTATTTTGTGAAGGTTAAACATTGCACTTTTTGAATCTGTAGGAAAGGATAAGGCAAAGTCATAGACGATTAGTTGATGCTTCAAGCAAGTCCAATGTAAGAAATTCATCTTATTGAGCACTGTTGGGCAAAGCGATGTTATACGTCAGACGTTAACGTGTTATCAAGATGATCAGATATCCGTCGAAATTTTATTTTCAGAACCAGTCGACATTAAAACCAGGAAAACCCAAACGTCATTTTATTCCACCGCCTGCACGAACCTCGCCAGGCAAGAAGACTATTGCTTGGGAGGTATGCAGTCTCATGTTCTTTTTTGCTTGTTGATTGAACTACATCTTACCTGATAACAAGCATGCCATGGCCAGTCGTTTCCACGCTTGAATTCATACTCTAATTCGATGTTTTTTATAAACAATTTTCACAATTTCCTATTACTGAAATTGTGCCTAATAGTTTGTAAAAACATTTTAACTTTTATTACTATCCTTTGTTCAATATTTTGGAGTTTTATTTCATTGAAATATTGGAAATCGAATGCATTATATTGAAATTAAAAGTTTTAGTTTTAAATCAATTGTTAATGTTATTTAAGGGAAACACTCACAGACTGGAAATTGCTCCGACTAACTTAACAAGTACAAGACGATCTCTAAAAGTTGATGATCTTGACACCTCAGAGGTACCAGCAATTTGTATTCTATATCCTTGCCAACGAGTGGTTGTGTGTGCTTGGTCATGAGTTAACTCTTGAAAACCTGACCCAGCCTCTACACTGGCGGGCGACATATCTACATAACATAAAACCAGGCTGTGTCTGTTACAAACTACCGCAAGAGGGTCAACGGTTGAAGTTAGAAATAAGATAAAAATTTTGAATTGGGGTCAGTGAGTGTTTGGATGAAGGATCAATATTGTATTCTGTTGTTATTGCTCGTGAATAGGAGGAAGGAACGCGTGATAAATTAAGAGTATATGAAAGAACAATTGGAAATCTAATGGATGAACTGGGAACATTAAGACACGAGGTAGGAGTGAGGTATAACTAGCGGGACAAGCACCTTCCTACGCAGTATTTCCTATGTTTCATCAGAATGTACGCTTTCAATGCAAGACTATGTTAAGTTCCCTTCGAAAATTCCTTGTGGAAGGTTAAGTTATTTCTCACCAAATAGTTGCAAGTGATTTGCGTCACAGAACGTTTGTCAATTCAGGTTAGTAAACATGATAGTTCACGATCCACGCAGAAAAAGAATGAACAGTTGAATGCAAGTAAAAAACTTATTGAAGAACAAGAGGAGGAAATAATGGTAATTATTCTATATTTATAGGTACAAAATTTATAGTGTTGATTGCAAGTCACGTATACTTCAGGTCCGCCAATATATGCTATATATCTTGTAGAAAACCTTCCCAAACAGTGTATGATTTTACACTTGTTACCACTAGACATTTAAATAACCCACTCATTGCCCTCGTGCACTCTCATTATATCCTAGCTACAGTAGTGCACAGTTATTCCCCCTGAGTACTCTCATTGCCCACGCGTGCACTCTCATTATCCTGGTCCACAGTTATTACCCCCGAACACTCGTATTGCCCTCGTGCACTAGCTCTCATTGGGCCCTCGTGCACTTTTATCATCCCAGTCCATGCACAGACCACACTTATTACCCTCTGAGCACTCTCATACCCCTCGTGTACTCTTATTATCCCAGTTCCCTCTCATTGCCCTCTGAGCACTCTCATAGCCTTCGTGCAGTCTTATTATCCCAGTTCCCTCTCATTACCCTCTGAGCACTCTCATATACCCCTCGTGCACTCTTATTATCCCAGTTCCCTCTCATATTACCCTCTGAGCACTCTCGTACCCCTCGTGCACTCTTATTATCCCAGTTCCCTCTCATATTACCCTCTGAGCACTGCCATTGCCCTCGTGCACGCTTCATTACGATCAACGTGGAAAATGTAAGGTTTTTTCCGTTTTTATCGAAATCTACGACGCGGACGTGACATAAAAACTGCTATTAGTGTCAGGAAACCAGTATTAATTTGTTTTATATACGGTTCCGTCTTTCTTTATCAAAAGGAGTTTATAATTCCCAACCCTGTTGTGAACTGTGGAAATTAGAGCTGTATTACTTCACTTCCGCGTCGTATTTGCTGGATCTTAAACTCACTATAATGATGCAAACTAAAACGTTCCTTTAATGCGTGTTATTTAGGATTATCGTGTGGAATTACGTAATACACTGAACGTGAACAAAGAACTGAAGAGTTCAGTGGAAAGATTAAGAGATGATGCGAATAAATCCAGGTAGAAAATCATTTCATCAATTTTGGGAATATAATGCATTTCTTTCTCACTTAATGTGTAGAACAGAGAAAGGATTTTCTTTGATAGATCGGAGGTAGAAATTGTTGCCCATGAGCGAGATGTATTGGTCAAGAAACTTGTTGAAGCCGAGATGGACGCAAAATCTACCAGTCATATGGTTTTAAAGCTGAAGGACACGGTTAATAAGCTGAATGAGGTTAATATTAAACTGTTGTTGTGTTTGTCCACAATAATACTTCTTCACAAGTGTTAATCTATATATTTCTCGCCCAAAACTGTTGATGTAAGAGCCACGTTGTGGGAAACACTCACCATACTTGTTCGCTCGATGCAAAGTAAAAAAGGCATTAATTTTCACTAACCAATGAGGTTGCTGTATTTCTAATTTTAGCATGAACAAATTCCTTTCGTGGGAGACAGGCATTATTGATAATTTTGTAGGATCGTCGGATGTCTTCCGCTGATGTTGTAAACTTGATCAGACAAAAAGAAGGACTTTTAAGAAAACTTTCAGATTTTGAAGTCACCAATAAAGCTCTCAGGAAGCTACTGAAAGACCAAAGTCAGTACGAGGTGTGGGTTGATTTGTATTAAAGGAACCTTCCGCTGAAGGAGTCTAATAAACTCGCCTCGCACGTATTTTCCCACTTGCATGGATTTGGTAATCCTTGGCGGGAGAACCATTTTATTATTGGTTTTATAACTATAACTACCTAGTGAAAAAAGTTTAAAGCCTTTTTAAAATCTCACGCGCAAAGGGAATTACAAATTCCTCCTACCCAGCTTCCTTGAAAGGATTTGCATGTCAAATACTCGACAATAACCAAGAATGAGTGTACTTCACCGTATAAATCTAGGCGCACACTAGAGCTATTTGCTTAGCCAAATGTCACGTGTGCACTGTATATGGCGTAAGGAGAAAGAACTCTCGTACGTGCGGGTGCACTTAAAAACGACTTCAGTCATTCGTGTCACGCAGAGTACTTGATCATCCTGTTTCCCGCAGAGTAACGGAGAAAGACTAAAAGAACACCATGATATCTTATTACAACGACTAGCAGAAACCAATGAAGAAAATAAGGTGGAATGAATTTTTCTGATTTTGATCAATTGGATCAAACTAATGCATCTTTAAAGGGACACTCGTATTACTTCAGAGGTACAGTAGCCTTGTTAAATCTCGCCTTGGTTTTTGCTGTGCTTTAGAATCTCCTGTTTAAATTGCACGAGAGGGATAAAGAAATTGAGGCTTTGTTGGCGGAAGTGAAAGCAGACAAGGTTTGAGTTGACTTGTGGCTTCTCTGAAATACTCTTGAATTAAAACATCTCTCAGGACTACATATCTTATTCTACATCTTCATACATATATCTATATTATGGCATCGATGGTTATAGAATCAGGCTGTTGCGTTTGACGAACTCAAGAAAACCATGGAAGTAACACGTGCTCACTTGCAGAAAGAACTTCGCACACGTGAAATGGAATGCGAGAGATTGAACGTGCAAATGAAGGTATATTGTGATGTGTTTTTTGTTTCTATGGAACAGAATACAATACTTCGAAATTATTGTATCCCAGTACTGTACTAGGTTTGGTACACGCATGCATGGTATTTACATGTGCATGTTTGCACCTTTTCACATTGTCCGGCTGTGTTGTCAATTGCATGGCGCCGAATTGAGCACGGTTATTGAAACTGTAATTTGCAGGAATTCCCCTTATATTCGGGGGAATTGTTTCAGGGCAGCCCCAGGATTATATTGTTCTGTATTAATTGTGTGGTGTATGTATTTTAGGTGGAAGGACTGCGTTTATTTTGCGCAGCCAAGTATTGTACATGCATGCAGTTTATCACGGATTTTCTAGTTATGAAGTAAAATTACATTTCTATCAATGCTAGGAAACTAACCAACAGTGTGAACATGAAAGAATGGAAGCCGAACACATGAGAGGCTTGGTCGAAGCATTGAGAGTAAGTTTTTTTTTCATACATTTTTTTCCTACATCCTAGCGAAACAATGAAATAAAAGGTGCATGTATCTTGCCTGGCAAAAACTAATGAGCTATAATTCTGAATCACAAAGGATCAATTATGTCCGCTTTCCACTAGGCGAATTTATTCGCGCGACGATGTGATTGACTTGCGAAAAAATTCACCGCAAAAAGTAGAATCGCTTCCTACTTTTTATCTATTCCCGCGAATAAATTCGCCTGTTGGAGCACGGGCTTTAAATCTTTTTCATATAAAAAAATATTGTAAACAACTCAAGCTGGTTAAGGAGTTTTTACCGAAATAATATCCGACGAATTCTTAAACTATATTTTTTGTCAATTTAATTTATTACGCTACTATGGTTTCACGATCCATGCAAGAGTTCAATTTTAAGACTCTCGGTGAAATATTTAAAATTTCCTTAAAATCATGCTCATTGTGTAGCGAAATAAAGTCAGATTTAACTAGTATAGTTATAGTGAATTTATATTTCTTCTATGAGGGTTCCAGTCATTTCAGTTACCATCTCCGCAATATCGTCTTCATCCAGTGCCATGATAGAAGCATCCTCTATTTCTCGCCCTTCACTCTCTTGCATTATTAGGCTGTGACGTACCTCGCTTGCACCAGCCTCTCTTACAGGGGGTACGAGCAAAGCTGGGTTTTCCAATGCCGTGAAAGGCATTTCATCACCATTCATATTCGGCTCTCTACTTTCTTGCAATGGCAGATCACGAGGAATATCGTGGACTAGAGTATCAGAATCATCACCATAGGTTCCGGCATCGGAATCCATATCAGAGTCTTCACATAGTACAACCATCTCACTGCTTTCAGCATTCGTTAACCCATTTTCTGAAAGGAAACTATCTGGGTCGACATCGGAATCAGTATCCATATTAGAGAATGGTTCTGGTGGTGAAAATTGTGGCATGTTGGTGATTGGAGACTGTGCATTTGGGATTGGAGTGTTTTCTTCACTTTCCACCTCTTCATTTTTGTCATGAATCTCATGTTCACTTGGTGGCAGGCTGCTATCTTCCTCACGTATTGCATCCTCTTCACTTGTTGCATCCTCTTCACTCGTTACACTTCTCTCATGTATTTCATCTCGTGATTCATCCTCCATGTCCTCGCTTATTCGTCTGTGTTACCTGTTACAAGACAATGAAATGGCTAAAGTTCTCCTCCAAAGATCTATTTTAAGGCCGGCGCACACTAGAGCTATGTGCTTAGCAAAAAGTCATTCATAACCATTGGCGTAAGCCAGTTGCTCTCGTGTGCGGGCGACTTTTTCGGCGACTTTGGTCATTCGTGCCACTTACGGCAAATATCTAGCATGTTTGATAATTTCTGCCTGGCGTGCCGAAATCTTTCCGTGTGCGGCAAAATGAAAGCTATCTGCTTATGGATTGTCTTAACAGCGCATGCGTAATATACGAAAGTAAACATCCAAGATAGCGGTGCGAACAAAGCAAAACGAATTGGTGGCTGAGGCCAGCCTCGTCCCCGGCGCGTGTTTTATTTAAATTGGAAGACAAACTGGTTGATCTTTAGTAAGAATACAGTTGTTTATATGATGCGAACTCTGCAGATTTCAGAAACAGAGAGAAACGGGAATGCGCTTTGCAGAAATAGCTAGTGAGCTTTCTCAAACAGGTAATATAATTAATAGCACTTGGATAACGGTGTTTAGTCCAGCCCGACGCAACAGCAACAAAAATAACAACACCTCTTCGTCTTCACTTTCATCCATAATTTTGTTTTTGCAATCTGTACGCCATCTTGGATGTTTAGTTTCGTATATTACGCATGCGCTGTTAAGACAATCCATAAGCTGATAGCTTTCAGTTTGCCGCACACGGAAAGATTTCGGCACGCGAGGCAGAAATTATCAAACCAGCTAGACTTTTTGCCGTAAGTGGCACGAATGACCAAAGTCGCCGGAAAAGTCGCCCGCACACGAGAGCAACTGGCTTACGCCAATGGCCACAAATGACTTTTTGCTAAGCACATAGCTCCAGTGTGCGCCGGCCTTTAGTGAATACTAGGAACTCCAATCCTATATATCAATGCTGTCTGACGTGATCAACAGAAATATTTAGTAAATGCATACAGGGGCCAGTTGTTCAAAGCTAGATTAGCGCTAACCCTGGATTAAATTTTAATCCAGTGGTTTAGTTTATGTATTTCATCTTGTGATTCATCCTCCATGTCCTCGCTTATTCGTCTGTGTTAACTGTTACAAGACAATATGAAATGGCTAAAGTTCTTTTCCAAAAATCTATTTTAGTGAGTACTAGGAACTCCAATCCTATATATCAATGCTGTTTAAAGTGATCAACAGAAATATTTAGTAAATGCATACAGGGGCCAGTTGTTCAAAGCTAGATTAGCGCTAATCCTGGATTAAATTTTATATCTTTCTTGAATGAGTCAACTTGGATATTATGCACTGAATACAAGTTGTAAACAGTATATCTTTGTATTAAGGTTAAAAACATTTAGTTTGCTTGTTGAGTAAAACAATTGACTTGCTTTCTATTTTGAACTTAACCACCGTTTAAGCTAAACGGGCTTGATACAACCGGCCGCCCTGTGCTATAGAAAATTCACATTTTATATGGAATTATCATCACGAGTTTTTTCTCTAATTTCTACGTAAGACTGCCTGTTTCAATAATGATTAAGATGTGATCAGAACATGTCTATATATTACTTTGCCGTTTATAAAACGAATACATATACAACGAATACATATACAACGCTTCGAGCAACTGCATTATAACTGTTAGAATCTTCCAAGCTAACAAATACTGCGGCCTTGCTCAAAGTTCTCGTGTTTTGGAAATTCCTTGAGACTATTCTAATCACAATGACTTTCAACAACGTCTTTTTATTTGCGTACATATGCATACATGTCCATGACTATGTATAGTTTCAGTTCGCTGAAACAAGTCTTTACATAAAAAATAGTTCTCGTTTAGAAGCTATCGTGCTTGACAAATTTTATGAAATAAATTAAAATGAATTATTAATTTATCTAGTAACATGTAATAGGATATACCATTCATAAACGCTCATTGCCAAACAAGGCATGTCTAAGATAAAGAACAAGTAAGAAGTAATAAAACATTACTTACAGAAAAACTGTTTCGCGCGGGTAACTGATACTACAGGGTGAGTAAAAAAACTGACACCTTTGAAGTTCAAATTCCCATGACATACAAACCCACGTGTAACATCAACAGGACGTGGTTAATGAATGCAAAAATATAATTTGAGGTGTCAGTTTTTTTTAGACAGACATACATATATTTCACTCATTCAATTATACATAAATGTAAAACGTATGGCAGGCCCCTAATTTCAACACAGTCTCTCCTGAGGTATTGATCCATATCATTACAAGACTCCTTTAGTAATTTAATCTCATTTTCAGATTCCAAAACTTGTGCTTTAAGACTCTTATTCTCAGCCATCAGTATCTTTCTTTCTTCATCGTTTGCTTTCAATAATCTAACAATTTCATCGTATTTTTCGCTAGTGAATTTAATGTTTTTCATAACATCATCAATTTGCTTTGTTAGCGGTTTTAGAGCTTCTTGAAATTTTTCTTCAATTAACGCTACTATCTTTTCATATGTAATAGGCATATTTATAACACAATAACAAGACAATATTAAACAACTTTCAACAATATATTAGCGAAAAATAACTGATATATTCTCGTCTAATTGCAAAATTTTTGGAGAATAACAAATAGTCGCCATCTTGTCATCATATGCGAGTAACTCGGTTACGATAATCCTGTATAGCTCTATAATATAAAAGAAAACATACTCCGAAAATAAACATCTTGTAAACTCAATATATGAGCTGTTAAAAAACAAGACACAATATTCAAGGTGATATTTCGACTATTTACAAGCATGCTACTACTGATCTTTATACAAATTTGACAGGAAACAACGATGACGTAAATCAGTGAGTTAACAAGAAATACGAGAACATGGCCTCACGAGATATTTACATGCATATAGTGATACAGTCTAAGGAAAACTATAAGTTCCTTTGATGCCTTTAAGCCGCTATTGAGTTCTGGCTTTTTAAACTTTATATGGAGTGCCTCGAGGAACAACAACAGATTAGAATTTGGGTGTTTTGAGAGACTGGAGTATTTTTGTATTGTTAGGTACGAGTTCAGCGTAAGAGTAAAGGGAGTCAGAATCATTAAGCTTGTCAAAACGTTGCTCATGTTAAGTAGGTAGTGTGCGTCGTCACAGTCCATTAAGTGTTTCGAAACTGCGCTTTTTAGTGGATCCAAATGTTCTGAAAGCCTCGTTCGAAATTTCGCTCAGTTTTTCCAATATCGGTAAAACTAGATTGTTCCGCGACAAATCCAAATAAGTTCAAAATGGGAAGCAAGCGTGCCGTTTTATTCAAGAAGCAAACAAAATGTTTTTGACCTTACTACGCATTTCACTGATACGTGAACTTCGATTTTTTTTTCGTTTGCGAACACCGTTCGACGTTCGACATTCGACGAAGGCCTGGTTACATTTTATGTAAAGAAGATCAATGATCGCGAAGCACTTTGGTGTTCTTTTATTAAATATGAAATGTCTTAATTCTTATATATATGAATTATGCAGTATGTATAAAGAAACATATTTGTTTTACTAAACAATGAAAGCGTTTGATGATGATCTTCGTTGGAGAGTAATCTACCACCAGTATCTTTTGGGTTCTTCTGCTCAACTTACCGCTAATTCTTTGTTCGTAAGCAAAAGTTTCGTGTATAAGATCAGAGCGATTTATAAACGGAATGGAAATGTTACTAGGGCTATTAGGAGAGGAAAACAACGGCTTTTATCGGGTAAGTGGTAAAAACAGTTAAAAATTTTTATATAATATAATATTCACGGTTTATAGATCTTTCCGGAAATTACGTCACAACGAATTCATGAGTTTGAGTCAGTGGTTTGAGTATAGACAATCCAAAAGACAGATTCTTTTGGATTGTCTATGGTTTGAGAGGCATTGCAAAATGGATTGCTTGCTGGGTTTCCACACTGCTATGAGAAAATCACACCACTATGGAGGGAGGGGTTAAATAATAATAACATTTCAAAAGTTTTTTGTCTCCTGTTTTTCAATTCCATCACCATATGAGGACAGCCATGGATATGCAAATGATTCTGGAAATTTTGATTGTTTAGGCCATCAGCCTCATTTCCATGTTGTTGGAACTTATAATTACAAGGATGCCTACTACTTTGCATTTCACTAATTTGTTGTTTTAAATAACTTGAGACGAAGAACATTAGAAAAGAATATATTAACTATTCCCCCTCCCCTGGATAGAGTCAAACTCTTCTAAGGAAATTTCCTTAGAAGCGAGAATGCAGATGTGTTTCTTTACTGAATATTAATTTAAAATTTTTTTGTAGCAAGAGAAAATGAAATTTTAAAATCAATGGTAATGACCAAGCCTGAACTCTACTTAGATGAATATAAAGATTGGCTTAAAGAAATTACAGGAAAGCAAGTTAGCATCTCCACCATATGCAGATCAATAATTAGGCTTGGTTTTACTTACAAAAAGGTAAAAATGGCAGTTAGCTTATAAAAGGAATTGTGCAATACAATGAATTAGAGATGAATGAAGATTGCATTGCCACTTTGTTTTCACTTTATCACTTGTTGGCTGTTGCTCATACTCATAGCATGGTCATATCAGAGAACAAATGGAGCCTTTACAGCATTCATTACAAAAAATTGCAAATAACTGTTTTCAAGTGATAATTTTGATTATGCTTACTACTTTTTACCAGTCTTCCACTTATGCTTTACTTATATATTGCATGGCCTTAGATTAACTGCATTAACTACATTAACTGCCAGTTGATTTATGCTTGTTATGGTTTTCCTTCATATGTTGATAATCAAATTCAATTTTGCTGTAGTTAACAGTCATTGCTAAGCAGCGAAACGAGTTCAAAAGGGCTGCTTTTTCACGGTCTTTGGCAACTATATCAAGAAATATGCTTCTATTTGTTGATGAAACTACAAAGGACAAAAAAAGACTTCAGGTTAAATTTTGACACACTGTATACCAAATCGGGGATTACTTCTTTACATGCTACATTTCACCCTAATAATATATTTTATAGAGATTCATGGGACATTTCTTTCCTGGCCATCTAAATACAATGGTTGGTAATTTTGTTAGAGAGGATCGATATAGTGTTGTAGCAGCTCTTGATATCAATGGAATTGTGGCTACTCATACTGTTCCAACAGCTTTTAACACAGCATCTTTCAACTTCTTTATGGAATATTTTGTTTGCCCTTATGTTGGAAGATTTGCTTTAAATGAACCTCGATCTGTGGTGATATTGGATAACTGTAGGATACACGATTCCAACAAAATGATAAGTCTTGTGAGGGACAGAGGAGGCATAGTCTTGTTTCTACCGTAAGTAATACACTAATGCTTAATATATGTACATGTAGCTTTGGATTAAACTGTATGTATTCCTATATCTCTTTATACATTTTAATATAGACCCTATTCACCAGATTTTAATCCTATTGAGTTGGTTTTCAATGTGGCCAAGACTTATCTAAAGCGTAACAGACATTTGGTATCCATCAATCCAAAGTATTGTTTGGCAATGGCCATAAATGATGTAAGCATTAAAGATGGATGTAAAGAGTGGAATACAAGTGTATATTACAATTTCTTCTGCATGTTTATATTTTTCAATTTTAATTTAGTTAAGATAAATTTTTTTTCATTTAAGGTAATTGAACATGGCTCGGAAGAGTTCTTTACAAAATGTGGATATGTGCAATAAATGCTTATTAATGGCAAACTTAACCAATTTGTGTTAAATTTTAGGTAGTCTAATTTTTGTTGAAAACCAAAGGAAAGTGCTTGGTCAGGTTTTTAATCCCATTGATCCTCAGTGCAACTTATAATAACACAACAATATAATATAATTTAAGGTAAATAACTAGATTTACACAGTCCAGATTTAATCTGTATGTAAAAGACATGTTTGCCTTTACATCACTTCAGTGTTTCAGTCAAACTTTACATACTATTACCAAGATAACCTAAACACAACTTACAACAAAATATCAACTACAGTAATCATAATATTCTTGAGCAAAGCCATTTACTAGATAACTCTAAATACATATTAAAAACAGAAAGAAAAATTTAAGTAAGTATATATTTTGGTAAGACCTCTTTTAATGCAGGTTATTAGGAGTTATTTAGAGCATATAGGCCCTATTGGAGTTTTATGGCTGATTTAATTGCATTACATAACTGTATGCTATTTTCAGATGTTCATCTTTTTCTTGGAAACCATAGCAAGAATTTTTGCCCTATGTAATGCATTGTTGATTCCAATAGCATTTAGACCTTCATCACTTAGAAATGCTAAGACCGCACCATCAATCTCATTATCTTGGATGCATTGTTTGTACTGATCCATGTTCATTTGGCAAAACATGTCTGAAACCTGTTCGACTGTCAACTGCAGTAAACCTAAAATTGTAAGTTGAATGAACCAATGTACACCATTTGTAAATCTTTGTACTTATACATGAGAGTATTATATGGTGTACATGGTTACATTTACTTTGACATTTAATGTGTATTATAAGTGTATTTATTAAATCTATCAATCTGACATATAACCAGTTTCTTCCTTTTTGAAAGTACTTAGCTGTTGCTCAAACCATTGAGTAAAACTAAGCTTGTTATATTGGTCTAAATTTTGTTTCTGTGTTTTACATGGGCTACAGGGACTATTGCTGCAAGATGAACAATATTGTGGTGACCAGTTGTTATATTTCAGTTGATGGTAATTAGGAGATGGTAATTGTGGTGAAAACTGACCTGCAAGCCCAATGTTTTCTTTAGATAATTCATCTTTTGATTCTACCTGAACTGACATTCCATTAGGTGTACAGGATTTAAACATATTTGAAACACTGTTCTCAGTTCGTGTAAATGTTGGTGACTGGGCATTTGAAGTCAACACAGACATCAGCATTGATTGCATCATTTTCTGGTGTTCTCTTTCAGCTTTTCTTTCTTCAAATCTTGCTTTTTCCTCCATTTGTCTTCTATTCTCTTCCTTTTCTCTCTGTAGTTGTTCTTTACGCCTTTCTTCTTCTCTGTGGAATTCATGCTGCATCATTATTGCAGCCAACACATCACTAGGTCCTTTTGCCCTTTCAATACCGCTTAATCGTTTAGGGACAGGCTGTACCTGCACAATGTCTAGGTGCTTGCTCCAATCAGGCTCCTCGCTAACTCCGGAAACCCTCCCGTCTATAATTAGATCAGTCCACAAGCTTAGATGGGGTATTCCATAACGATCAAGTGTGCCAGCTTTTTCCAGGGTTTTTCGTAATTCTACATGAACTTTGTTCCATCTATCATTTGTATCTTTTAATTTATCTTCTGGTCCATTTGCGAGAAAGTTCATGTATGCTTCTTCATCAGCAATGTCGTCTAGATCATCATCACTACATTCAGAGCTAACCACCTTTTTGTGTTTAGACGTTTGCAAACCTCCAGGCAAAATACTTCGTTTCACACCTTGCTTGGCTGGTTTTGGTCTATTGGCATCTAAAATATATATAAATTATACATATCTATAGTTATAAATGATGTCCTGGATGCATCACAAATGCAACTTGTGAGATGACTGTAGCTCAAAACTGGAGCTATTACACTATTTATTCATTATTAAAAGTTGATCATCTAGCAAAAAAAAAGGAAAGTTCCTAAAGTTTTAAAAATAGATATTGAAATCACAATTGTCAAGATGTTAAATCACATATGATTTCATTGACATGCAAAACTCCAAGAATCCAATAGTGTTAAATAACACTACAGTAAACCCTATTGCCTCAGGCTTACCAAAGCTTATTTTACCTGCAAGTGTCACAACAGCTAATCGCATATTTTCTACATTTCCAGAATGTGAATTTATGTATACATCTTTTGCTGTCTGAAAATCTGATTCACTGTTCAGGGTATGACATTGCTTTCCTCGCTTTGGTAGCCAATACAATCCAGCTTTTATACAAACATCTGAAATTTCCTCCCTTAAACGGCGTTTTACATATTTAAGTCCTTCATGTTGTGGAACATTGTGAATTACATTGACTGGACCTTCTGCAACACTTGAACATTTTTTCACACCAGCTGTCACATATATGTTATATGTACAATTTATTTCTTTAGCCACTGGGATATTGCTGCTACAAGAATTTGGACTCTTACTAGGAGCTGCTGCATGAAATCTGGGTGAAGATCGCAATGGTGTTGCATGCCCTGCAAAACACAAGAGTAAACTATTAGGGTTAGGGTCTTTTTGCAAGCGACACAGATGTAGTCATTTCATTTTAATACTCTAAATTTGTGGGTTCACCAGTTATTATTTAATGAGAATATAATTTTTTATAAAAATATTAAGCCAATTAACATTTATAATAAAACAACTCATTTATAATCATTTATAACAACACATTTATAACATTTATAACATCAATCATTTATAACAACACATCACAACACATAACAACACTCATTTATAACAACACATTTATAATAAAACAACTCATGTTTTCTATTAAAATAATAATGTATACCCATATTATTGGCAGGTAAAAGATTAAAAGTTGTGCCCTGCCAAAACAATAGAAATCACTAAACTGTTTTTTGACCTGAACTGAGAAGCAAATTAAATTAGGAACACAATCAACACAAAGCCAATGTCAATGAACAATCCAATCCCTGATGTATATTTTATCAACTGCAATATTCAAGTTTCCTACCTTTTTGGTGCCAATCACAGGCGAGTTTAATGCGGGATGTAGAAAGGCGGCCGTTCTTTTGCCTTGGTGGATACTCTAGCATTACCTGTTGTATGCCAGATTCGCCAGTTATTGCTATCAGAGATAAACTGCGCGAATTTTTGTTGACGAAGTATAATTTATTCAATATAACTTCATCATAGGGATACATCTCTGTCTCGGCAATAGTTTCACGTATACACTGTTTCCAATCTAACAACTTTTCACTGTCAGGCAGAGATATGACAACAGGTGATCCAACAGCTCTTCCTTTGCTAGTTTTGCAATAAAGTAATGCTTGTATACCTCCAGTTTCGCAGCTTTCTGTTTCGTTTGTTTCTGAATCTGAGTGATTTTCCAAACGAGTATAATCATCCATACCGTGATTAAAATATTTTGCAATCAACAACGTAAAAATGGTAAAATACGTAAAACTAAAGATTAAAAAACCATGAAAAGAAACAAAGTATAAACACGTGCGAAAAGCGCAAAAATATGTAACCAGGCCTTCGTCGAATGTCGAACGTCGAACGGTGTTCGCAAACGAAAAAAAAAATCGAAGTTCACGTATCAGTGAAATGCGTAGTAATACAAAGATACTGTTTACAACTACAAATTCAGTGCATAATATTCAAGTTGACTCATTCAAGAGAGTTGTAAGAGTGTTATTTAATTTTGACTTATCCACCGTTTAAGCTAAACGGGCTTGATACAACCGGCCCCTGGCTTTTTCAACTTTATATGCAGTGCTTCGAGGAACAATAACAGATTAGAATTTGTGTGTTTTGAGAGACTGGAGTATTTTCGCTGGAGCTTTTTAATGAGCTATTTTACTAAAAATTCACCTTGTTTACCAAAGAAAGGAATCCTTCACCAGATTTTTAGCCTGGTGTCTTTGGAAGGATGAATTTTCAGTAAAAAAACTCATTAAAAAGCTCCAGCGCAACTTAACAGAACCGGTTAAATTTATTGTTATATATCAAACCAAAAAGATTTCTTATTTCCTTCCTAAAAAGGATAAAATTCCGGATTTGTCGCGGAACAATCTAGTTTACAAATTTACTTGTCCGGGCTGCAATATGTCGTATATTGGAAAAACTGAGCGAAATTTGGCAACGAGGCTTTAAGAACATTTGGATCCACTAAAAAGCGGCTCTGTAATAGAATGTCTTTTGACCCGTTGCAGTTTTAAAAAGTGGGATATGAAGACTCTGTTTATTGCGTCCAGATATTTGTTCTCTGCATGGAGACCAATTGTTTAGTTAGATATTCTGGTGCACAGCCTGTCCTACATTTAAAAGCAAGTGTGGCATCTCGTATATATAATTGTTTTTCTATGGGAAGCCAGCGCAGATTCTTGAGTGTGTGCGTTGTATGATCGAATTTCCTTACTCCACTAATTTACGTACATTTCTGGCCGAGGTGCCTGACCAGACAGAAGAACAATACAATGCCTTGCTAAATACAAGCATATTAATAATAGTTACTAGTAAGTTCTTACTAAAAACGTGCTTTGCGCGATTTATCTGGATTAATTTAGATATACAAGATGCAACTGTCGCTTAAATATGCATGATCATCGGACGACTGCCAAACACCATAAGCTTAATTTTTTCGAGGTTTGGTATAGCAAGCAGTTATCAAAACACCAGTTACAGACTTTCTTTAGGTCATTATTTATGCTATTCTCAGCTTCCTCCGAAGCTGTCATCGCAAAAGACGAGAGTAACCTGGTATCATCTACATATCCTACTGCAGCACAGCAGTCACAAGCTGTAGGGAGATCATTGACATAAATGTTAAATAGCATCGCTCCAAGGACACTTCCCTGTGGTACACCAAAGTTAACTGGTAGCGCTTCGGAGAGTGTTGAATTGATCCGGACTACCTGGGACCTACAGGAGAAGTAACTTCTGAACCACGATATTGCTGATTCTGAGAGGCCAATGTTCCTAAGTTTATTTAGTAAGATATGGTGATAAAGACTCTCAAAGACCTTGCATGCCCTTGCTCATATCCAAATATACTATTCCCGTAACTCGCTTCTAGTCAATAGCCCTCAGAATTGCGTCGGAAGTTTCAGTAGAGTGCCACTTTATTCCCACTCTGGTTAATGGCAAGTCTTTGTTTCGTCACCACATACGATGTGAGTTGATCTGGAGCTACTCTTTCGCAAACCTTTGACAAAATTGGTAATAACGAGATTGGTCTGTTGTTTGACGCCCGCTCATAATCACCATTCTTTAGAATAGGGCATACCTCTGCAATTTTCCACGCAGATGGAAAGTTGCATTGATTGAAAGAGGTATTTATATTGGACGTCAATGTTAGTATAGTGGCTTTGGCAGAATCTTTGGCTACTCGAGATATTAATTCATCCACGCCAGGAGCTTTATTATCGCCAAAGAATTAATAACTTTTTCAATCTCATCGCATTGAATATTATGAAAAGCAAACATCTCTGTAATTGGATATGGAGGCGTTAATGAAACTGGTGTTTTAGGTATATAATTGCATTATTTCCCTAAGGAAGCAATTTTATCAACTGTAGTTTTGCCTACTGATGTAAAGTACTGATTAAATTTGTTTGCTACGGTTTGATCATCTTCACTGTAGCTCCTCATAGTAGCTGACCTTTTTGGGATTGTTTTTGAAAGAGTAGCTCCAGATCAACTCACATCGTATGTGGTGACGAAACAAAGACTTGCCATTAACCAGAGTGGGAATAAAGTGGCACTCTACTGAAACTTCCTTAATTTAAGCCCCGTTTACACTACACTCAATTTATTGGCACGGCACGGCTAAAATGGGTACCCGTGCCCAATTTTACTAGTGCTCAGACTACCAAAACAAAGGCCGGGCACGGATGAAATGGGCACGGGTACCCATTTTAGCTGTGCCGTGCCAATAAATCGAGTGTAATGTAAACGGGGCTATAATCAACCGACGCAATTCTGAGGGCTATTGACCAGAAGCGAGTTACAGGAATAGTATACCATTTGTATATGAGCAAGGCCTTTGAGAGTCTTAATCATGACATCTTACTAAATAAACTTAGGAACATTGGCCTCTCAGAATCAGCAATATCGTGGTTCAGAAGTTACTTCTCCTGTAGGTCCCAGGTAGTCCGGATCAATTCAACACTCTCCGAAGCGCTACCAGTTAACTTTGGTGTACCACAGGGAAGTGTCCTTGGAGCGATGCTATTTAACATTTATGTCAATGATCTCCCTACAGCTTGTGACTGCTGTGCTGCAGTAGGATATGTAGATGATACCAGGTTACTCTCGTCTTTTGCGATGACAGCTTCGGAGGAAGCTGAGAATAGCATAAATAATGACCTAAAGAAAGTCTGTAACTGGTGTTTTGATAACTGCTTGCTATACCAAACCTCGAAAAAATTAAGCTTATGGTGTTTGGCAGTCGTCCGATGATCATGCATATTTAAGCGACAGTTGCATCTTGTATATCTAAATTAATCCAGATAAATCGCGCAAAGCACGTTTTTAGTAAGAACTTACTAGTAACTATTATTAATATGCTTGTATTTAGCAAGGCATTGTATTGTTCTTCTGTCTGGTCAGGCACCTCGGCCAGAAATGTACGTAAATTAGTGGAGTAAGGAAATTCGATCATACAACGCACACACTCAAGAATCTGCGCTGGCTTCCCATAGAAAAACAATTATATATACGAGATGCCACACTTGCTTTTAAATGTAGGACAGGCTGTGCACCAGAATATCTAACTAAACAATTGGTCTCCATGCAGAGAACAAATATCTGGACGCAATAAACAGAGTCTTCATATCCCACTTTTTAAAACTGCAACGGGTCAAAAGACATTCTATTACAGAGCCGCTTTTTAGTGGATCCAAATGTTCTTAAAGCCTCGTTGCCAAATTTCGCTCAGTTTTTCCAATATACGACATATTGCAGCCCGGACAAGTAAATTTGTAAACTAGATTGTTCCGCGACAAATCCGGAATTTTATCCTTTTTAGGAAGGAAATAAGAAATCTTTTTGGTTTGATATATAACAATAAATTTAACCGGTTCTGTTAAGTTGCGCTGGAGCTTTTTAATGAGTTTTTTTACTAAAAATTCATTCTTCCAAAGACACCAGGCTAAAAATCTGGTGAAGGATTCCTTTCTTTGGTAAACAAGGTGAATTTTTAGTAAAATAGCTCATTAAAAAGCTCCAGCACAACTTAACAGAACCGGTTAAATTTATTGTTATATATGAAAGCCAAAAAGATTTCTTATTTCCTTCCTAAAAAGGATAAAATTCCGGATTTGTCGCGGAACAATCTAGTTTTACCGATATTGGAAAAACTGAGCGAAATTTCGAACGAGGCTTTCAGAACATTTGGATCCACTAAAAAGCGCAGTTTCGAAACACTTAATGGACTGTGACGACGCACACTACCTACTTAACATGAGCAACGTTTTGACAAGCTTAATGATTCTGACTCCATTTACTCTTACGCTGAACTCGTACCTAACAATACAAAAATACTCCAGTCTCTCAAAACACCCAAATTCTAATCTGTTGTTGTTCCTCGAGGCACTGCATATAAAGTTGAAAAAGCCAGAACTCAATAGCGGCTTAAAGGCATCAAAGGAACTTATAGTTTTCCTTAGACTGTATCACTATATGCATGTAAATATCTCGTGAGGCCATGTTCTCGTATTTCTTATTAACTCGCTGATTTACGTCATCGTTACTTCCTGACAAATTTGTATAAAGATTGTAGCATGCTTGTAAATAGTTAGGTTCTACAATGACTTTGAAATAGAGTCAAAATATCACCTTGAATATTGTGTCTTGTTTTTTAACAACTCATATCTTGAGTTTACAAGATATTTATTTTCGGAGTATGTTTTCTCTTATATTTCGCAAAATTGTCTGCTGGAAAAGGTTTTTATTGCTCTATAATCTTCGCAGTTTTGGGGGTGCTGTCGTCATGCGACGCACGAAATATTTGAACCCTGTCTCTAACCGATACCCTTTTCTAACCGTAAATTCGAAATCCGTAACACAACGATATAACCAATTTTTATTGTTTTTCGTGTTAAGGGGGCTTGACACAAATGCGTTGACATTTAGTAGCACCAAAACATAAGCAGCACAGCACTGTTCTTAAGTAATTTATTTGTCCAGTGATGGTTTTTTGACAGTTGCATACTCCTTCGGAAAAACAAATCTCAAGTGCATAAATTTTTCTGCTTCCTTTCACAATACAAGATAAACAAATCCTCTGTGTATGAATGCAAATCTTTTTCATCCTAGATTTAATCATTTTTTTTCTTTCTTATATAGGAGAAAAGTCAAAGAGAAAAAGATGCGTTAAAAAAGGCTGCAAGGTTTGTTCTTGGAAACTTACCATTCTAATATATTTATTTGTATATACAGTTTCATATAACATTCTACAAATTGTGTTTCGAAGAACATAGTTATCTACAAATTAAAACTCACATGAAGAATATTGCGTATCTCTTTAGATTGCAAAAAGACCGTGCCGCTGACCTGGAAAGAAACGTGGACTCACTAAAGCAGATATTGGTAAGTATATATCATAACTCCTGGGAACTTCTACATCTCTTCTTAAAACTGTTTCTATAGCTAGAGATCGAGGAAAGGTTATACTAGCTTCTACATCTCTCCTTAACTGTTTCTATAGCTAGAGATTGAGGAAAGGTTATACTAGCTTCTACATCTCTTCTTAAAACTGTTTCTATAGCTAGAGATCGAGGAAAGGTTATACTAGCTTCTACATCTCTCCTTAACTGTTTCTATAGCTAGAGATCGAGGAAAGGTTATACTAGCTTCTACATCTCTCCTTAACTGTTTCTATAGCTAGAGATTGAGGAAAGGTTATACTAGCTTCTACATCTCTTCTTAAAACTGTTTCTATAGCTAGAGATCGAGGAAAGGTTATACTAGCTTCTACATCTCTCCTTAACTGTTTCTATAGCTAGAGATCGAGGAAAGGTTATACTAGCTTCTACATCTCTCCTTAACTGTTTCTATAGCTAGAGATCGAGGAAAGGTTATACTAGCTTCTACATCTCTCCTTAACTGTTTCTATAGCTAGAGATTGAGGAAAGGTTATACTAGCTTCTACATCTCTCCTTAACTGTTTCTATAGCTAGAGATTGAGGAAAGGTTATACTAGCTTCTACATCTCTCCTTAACTGTTTCTATAGCTAGAGATTGAGGAAAGGTTATACTAGCTTCTACATCTCTCCTTAACTGTTTCTATAGCTAGAGATCGAGGAAAGGTTATACTAGCTTCTACATCTCTCCTTAACTGTTTCTATAGCTAGAGATCGAGGAAAGGTTATACTAGCTTCTACATCTCTCCTTAACTGTTTCTATAGCTAGAGATCGAGGAAAGGTTATACTAGCTTCTACATCTCTCCTTAACTGTTTCTATAGCTAGAGATTGAGGAAAGGTTATACTAGCTTCTACATCTCTCCTTAACTGTTTCTATAGCTAGAGATCGAGGAAAGGTTATACTAGCTTCTACATCTCTCCTTAACTGTTTCTATAGCTAGAGATTGAGGAAAGGTTATACTAGCTTCTACATCTCTCCTTAACTGTTTCTATAGCTAGAGATTGAGGAAAGGTTATACTAGCTTCTACATCTCTCCTTAACTGTTTCTATAGCTAGAGATCGAGGAAAGGTTATACTAGCTTCTACATCTCTCCTTAACTGTTTCTATAGCTAGAGATCGAGGAAAGGTTATACTAGCTTCTACATCTCTCCTTAACTGTTTCTATAGCTAGAGATCGAGGAAAGGTTATACTAGCTTCTACATCTCTCCTTAACTGTTTCTATAGCTAGAGATCGAGGAAAGGTTATACTAGCTTCTACATCTCTCCTTAACTGTTTCTATAGCTAGAGATTGAGGAAAGGTTATACTAGCTTCTACATCTCTCCTTAACTGTTTCTATAGCTAGAGATCGAGGAAAGGTTATACTAGCTTCTACATCTCTCCTTAACTGTTTCTATAGCTAGAGATTGAGGAAAGGTTATACTAGCTTCTACATCTCTCCTTAACTGTTTCTATAGCTAGAGATCGAGGAAAGGTTATACTAGCTTCTACATCTCTCCTTAACTGTTTCTATAGCTAGAGATTGAGGAAAGGTTATACTAGCTTCTACATCTCTCCTTAACTGTTTCTATAGCTAGAGATCGAGGAAAGGTTATACTAGCTTCTACATCTCTCCTTAACTGTTTCTATAGCTAGAGATCGAGGAAAGGTTATACTAGCTTCTACATCTCTCCTTAACTGTTTCTATAGCTAGAGATCGAGGAAAGGTTATACTACCTTCTACATCTCTCCTTAACTGTTTCTATAGCTAGAGATTGAGGAAAGGTTATACTAGCTTCTACATCTCTCCTTAACTGTTTCTATAGCTAGAGATCGAGGAAAGGTTATACTACCTTCTACATCTCTCCTTAACTGTTTCTATAGCTAGAGATTGAGGAAAGGTTATACTAGCTTCTACATCTCTCCTTAACTGTTTCTATAGCTAGAGATCGAGGAAAGGTTATACTAGCTTCTACATCTCTCCTTAACTGTTTCTATAGCTAGAGATCGAGGAAAGGTTATACTAGCTTCTACATCTCTCCTTAACTGTTTCTATAGCTAGAGATTGAGGAAAGGTTATACTAGCTTCTACATCTCTCCTTAACTGTTTCTATAGCTAGAGATTGAGGAAAGGTTATACTAGCTTCTACATCTCTCCTTAACTGTTTCTATAGCTAGAGATCGAGGAAAGGTTATACTAGCTTCTACATCTCTCCTTAACTGTTTCTATAGCTAGAGATTGAGGAAAGGTTATACTAGCTTCTACATCTCTCCTTAACTGTTTCTATAGCTAGAGATTGAGGAAAGGTTATACTAGCTTCTACATCTCTCCTTAACTGTTTCTATAGCTAGAGATTGAGGAAAGGTTATACTAGCTTCTACATCTCTCCTTAACTGTTTCTATAGCTAGAGATTGAGGAAAGGTTATACTAGCTTTTACATCTCTCCTTAACTGTTTCTATAGCTAGAGATTGAGGAAAGGTTATACTAGCTTTTACATCTCTCCTTAACTGTTTCTATAGCTAGAGATCGAGGAAAGGTTATACTAGCTTCTACATCTCTCCTTAACTGTTTCTATAGCTAGAGATCGAGGAAAGGTTATACTAGCTTCTACATCTCTCCTTAACTGTTTCTATAGCTAGAGATTGAGGAAAGGTTATACTAGCTTCTACATCTCTTCTTAAAACTGTTTCTATAGCTAGAGATCGAGGAAAGGTTATACTAGCTTCTACATCTCTCTTAACTGTTTCTATAGCTAGAGATCGAGGAAAGGTTATACTAGCTTCTACATCTCTCCTTAACTGTTTCTATAGCTAGAGATCGAGGAAAGGTTATACTAGCTTCTACATCTCTCCTTAACTGTTTCTATAGCTAGAGATTGAGGAAAGGTTATACTAGCTTCTACATCTCTCCTTAACTGTTTCTATAGCTAGAGATCGAGGAAAGGTTATACTACCTTCTACATCTCTCCTTAACTGTTTCTATAGCTAGAGATTGAGGAAAGGTTATACTAGCTTCTACATCTCTCCTTAACTGTTTCTATAGCTAGAGATCGAGGAAAGGTTATACTAGCTTCTACATCTCTCCTTAACTGTTTCTATAGCTAGAGATCGAGGAAAGGTTATACTAGCTTCTACATCTCTCCTTAACTGTTTCTATAGCTAGAGATTGAGGAAAGGTTATACTAGCTTCTACATCTCTCCTTAACTGTTTCTATAGCTAGAGATCGAGGAAAGGTTATACCTTCTACATCTCTCCTTAACTGTTTCTATAGCTAGAGATTGAGGAAAGGTTATACTAGCTTCTACATCTCTCCTTAACTGTTTCTATAGCTAGAGATCGAGGAAAGGTTATACTAGCTTCTACATCTCTCCTTAACTGTTTCTATAGCTAGAGATCGAGGAAAGGTTATACGCTTCTACATCTCTCCTTAACTGTTTCTATAGCTAGAGATTGAGGAAAGGTTATACTAGCTTCTACATCTCTCCTTAACTGTTTCTATAGCTAGAGATTGAGGAAAGGTTATACTAGCTTCTACATCTCTCCTTAACTGTTTCTATAGCTAGAGATCGAGGAAAGGTTATACTAGCTTCTACATCTCTCCTTAACTGTTTCTATAGCTAGAGATTGAGGAAATGGTAAACCCTTCCAATATTCACTGTTGACACTATTTGGTTTATTTCATTATTTAAAAGTCACGTGTCTAAAATTGGCTCGAAAAAGGTTGTGAACAAATACTCTTGTCCGTGATTTTTTCCTTCATGCTATAATATGTAGGGGGGGGGGGGTTTCTTGGTATACGTATTACGTAAAAAAGCTATGAATAAAGTGTTCTTACTGGATGGTTATAGTTCTAAGTAGTTATTTCAGTCGGTCAAATTTATTTCCAGGACAAGGAATTGGCCGAAGCTAAACACAATGTGGATGCCTTAAAAGATAGAGAAACAAAGTTTAAGAAGGAAAAGACATCTTATGAAGCAAGAATTGACAAACTCCAGAGGTATTTATATCACTTCTCTCTCTCTCTCACTCTCTCTCTCTGCATGCTGACCAGTGAAATGCTGACTTACATTTATACAGATGTAATCTGTATAAATGATTATAAAACATTATTACTCCACCTAATGTACATGTATGAATTGATAGCCTAACTTCTGTTTTTCAATATAATTATCTGCAAATGTTGTTTTATTTAGTCGTGTTGGTGAGCTTGAGCAAATAGTTGAACATACTGATAACGCTGCAAAGGTATTTAATGCATGGTGTAGGTATATATTTGGGAAGATTTCATTTCTCGATAAGCTGAGTTTTTCGTCTTTTAAACAGCAAAGCAAGGAAGCTCTTCAAACAAAACTACAAACTCGAATCCAAGAGATAACATCACTACGAGCTGAGAACGAAAGACTAAAAGTAAATTTAACATTGTTCAACATGGTTCAAAGTTAATTCCAAGTTTCATTCATGTTCTTATCTTTATAGATCGAAGTGGAAAGTTTTGAGGAACGATTAAAAGCTGAGGAAGAAAGGAATTTTGCTAAGGTATACATATACTTATTATCATTTATAGACCTTGAGTGACGGCGGGGCATTCGGCGAAATATTTCCCGAAATGATGATATTTGCCGAGGAAAATATCATTACTGAGAGAAATATTTCGCCAAACCCCCGAGCGGATGGTCTATACCGAAAAATATTGTGAGCTTGTAGAATAGCCAAACAACATACAGGTACAAAGTTTCGTAAAAGTATTGACGTGTGTTGATTCTGCCATATTCAAAAATCGAATATCCCGCTCAAGTGTGGTATTTGAGTGAATACCATGCCCCGGGGATACCATGCCCCGGGGAAAGCACCCAGGGTACGAGTAGTCCGGGGCAGGGTGGTATTCGCTCAAAAATTCTATGGTCATGTGGTATAAAGCAAGTTCTGTGATTGGACAAGTTTATTGTGAGGTATAATATTATATTACCGTTCCTCTGTTTTTGCGCCAAATTTAGTTGAAGACATCCAAAACGAGGTGTGCAAACTTGAATGAAAACACATTGATATACCGTAATAATAATATTAGATGCTTTTAATGACTAGACTAGTTCAGCTCAGGGAGAAACGGAAAAACTACAGGAGAAAGTCGTACAACTAGAGAATGAACTTAGTCAAACTAAAATTGAGGTAAAAAAGTAACATGTTGAATTCATGGCAGTTTAGTGATGCAGAAGTTGAACTACATGATTGTTTGCGTAGGAGAGTCATATCCAGACGAGAATAGCTGAGTTCATATGCCGTATTAATCATTATGAAAATATGTTGTCAAATGCGAATTTTAAGGTATAGATTAGCACTTGTCATTTTAATGTTGATAACCTGATGGGTGTTGTTGTGATTAGGAGGTGCATGTGATATTACTTTGGTTATATTTTAGTTGTATATAGTATGATAAAGCGTGATGAGTTATTGTATATTGTTGTAGTGATCTTAGTATATGATGTTATGCATTATGGTGCGATATGGTATTGCTCAGTGCATGGATGGTATATTGTAGTTATAGTATTGTTAGTATACGATGTGGTATATACGGAAGGTGCTATTGCCTTTTAGTATAGATTGGTACACGCGTTTCACTTTCGTATGTCTCCATCATACATTGCGTTCCTAGAGTGAGTTAGCTTGTGAAGAAATAGCTCAGTTGAAGGCAACAGTCAGTCAATATGAAAATCAGTTAGCTGAACAGAAAGTGAAGGTAAATTACTAGTTAGCATTAGAGGATTAGACGCAAGGCATCTGCACGAAGGAATCTACATGACTCATTATAAATTTGACTGACACTGAGAGACTAAGATTATGATGTATTTGCAAAATTATGGCTAAATACAAGAAAATACTTGTGAGACATTCTAGTCTTAGTAGCTATTGTATCGTCATGGATAAAATGTCATTATTGATGTGTATCGACGTTACCCTCCTAGGAAAGTGAGAGTAGATCAGTAATATCAGAACTTCAGGACAGTTTGAACAAGCAGCAGAATGATCAGATTGTAGAGCGACTCTCGGTGAGTGAAAAAAAGATTAAAGAATTTAGAGTAGTTTAGACTGGATCAACCTCGTGAAGCTTCGTGATTTTATGATTTGATCAAATTCAGTTTGGTAGCGGCACTGCTGGCACTCAGACAGAAAATGAATTAGAGATGAAGATTAGAGAGGCAGAAAGCAGGTTTTCACTTCAACAAATGGAGGTATAGATATCGCAGATTTTTCATCAGCATTTTGTAGCCTAGATACAGTTTTTCCCATTCTTAGAGCATTACCTAATTATAGTGATAGGTAAGAAAACAGATTAAAAAGTTGATTTTAGAAATGCAGTTGGTTTTAGAAACATAACGAGCATGGTTTTATGTGAAGAATCAGAATTTCTGAGAGTTGATTTACCGCCCTAGGCCATAAAATCCAGGTCCTATGACAAAAATTGGTCCTCATTTTCCGGGCAAAGCCTCGCTGAAGTTCGTTTACCCTACGATAGTCTAGCATGCCTTGTCTGATAATGCGGCTCCATAGTTCTTGTACTATTTATGGAAAGGTTAATGCATGAATATCCTGTGTATAAGATTTTAAAAATGTAAGACTTTCCCTGCTTGGTTTCGTAGTTCAATGAATTCGTAGTAACCAACTGTGCCCTTCTCCAGGCTATCGGATCGAAAATCCACTCAATCTCACGTTGTAAGAAGCAGTTGCGTGGCGGTCATCGTAATGCGCGTAGGTTTTGCTGAGCAAGGTGAAATACTTACTTCAAGTTCTTGGGCATTCTTCGTTTTATAGATTGATAAATATCGTCGTGAGGTTGAAGAAGCTCGTATGATTGTCCAAGAAAAGAACGATCTTTTAGAAAGAGTGAAACAAGAAGGACATCTGGAAACAGAAAAGGTTTGTTTTCTTTAGCAAGATACTGCAGAAATGTTTCATCGGAGTATAAAAATTGTGTTAAAAGATTTATTGATTAAGTTGAGAGGGTGTTCCTATCCCCAGCAACTCAGACTTAGAGGGTGTTCCTCAGTGTACCCAGCAAGTTAGAGGGCGTTCCTGTTCCCAGCAACTCAAAGAATGTTTCTGTCCCCTTCACCTCAGAGGGTATTCCTATCCCCAGAAACTCAGACGGTGTTTCTTAGTGTCCCGAGCAACTCTGACTCAAAGGGTGTTCCTTAGTGTCCCCATGGAACACCTTCCTATCCCGGGGCATCATTGACTTAGAGGGTGTTCCTGTCCCAAGCAACTTAGAGAGTGTTCCTATCTCCTATCAAGTCTAAAGAGCATTGTGGTGGTAAGAGTGAAACAATGTCTTACACTCGGAACATATGCTTTCTATCTCAAGGTTAGGATAGGTTTACAACAACGTATTGCAGAACTGGAGCCAGTGTCTGAACTATTCAAGGTGAGTCAGCTCTGTGTTTTGTTATTATTTTATTTTTGGACATGAAAAAAGGGGCGACTTTTCAGACCCTATATCACATTGTTGTACTAGCGGTTCCTACTGATCTAAATGCTTATTGCATGCTATATCTACTGTAAACTATTCCTTTCTTAAAATAAGTTTCAAAATAAGCAAAATAATGATTTGTCTTTTCTTACTTTGATATTTTTAGGCGTCTGAACGTCGTCTTCAGGATTCTCAGGACATGATGTTAGACTACGAACGCAGAGCAAGTGATCACAAACAATTGATTTCGGAATTAACGCAAAAGGTGAAAATTATGAAATAAAAAATCGTCATAAGATTTCAGTCGCACTTAAAACCTGTTAGATTAAGTCTTCTAGTCTCTTCCACTCAGTCTTGTCAGTATTCTCATTGTTGGTAAACCCTCGTTCAACATTCTTAGGTTGAAATGCAAAGTGACCAATTGGAGGAAATACGGGAGAAATGGCGCAATTCTCAAGAGTACAACAAAGAGAACGACAAAAGATATGATTCACTTGAAAGGTAAAACATTTCTCCCTGCAGTTATGTTACGTTGAATATATTTCGTTTATCTCCAAAACCCTTGAACCATGTGTCCTAAATTATCTCGTTATGGCCGTAATACTCCTCACGATCACCTTGATAGACACCATGCATTGCTGGTTTTCACTGCGCTAACTAGTTGCTGCATGTGCTCACGTTTTCTGTTCCAGTTGTCACTTTCAAACACCTGGAATATCTCTAGAAAAGCACGCACCATCTTTGACCACCTCTAAAAAACCTTCATTCACTATAACCCCTCGGAAAAGATGTGATTGGGACAGTGATGTAGTTTACCGTCTAGAAAAGTATATTATTTATCTCAACATCACATTTTACCTGGTATCCGAGTGTCTAAGATTATGACGTTTTGCGAAAATTGTGGCTTAATCCAAGATAATCTTTGTATTGTGGTGAGAAAATGGGATTAAGAAAATGATGAATTTTCTGTAGGTTAACATCACATATGATGTCGAAAACCTACTTTATTTTTCCTAGATCAAATAAATAGCCATGACTGTCGTTCACTTAACTTCCGTTATTTCTTTTACTGCAGAAAGTACGAACAGCTGAGTCATGAAAATCGAGATCTTATAGCATCTGTAAGCAGAGGGGAAGAGGCATTGAAGCAAACACAAGTAATTAAACAGTATAGAATGAGTTGAGTTTTTTTCGGTAAAAGACAGCGTTAGTAGCCAACTTTCGCTTTTTTAACTATTGACAGGAAAAACTTGATGATAAAAAGGAAGTGATTGCAAAGTTGACGTATCAACTCGAGGCGGCTCTCGCTGATGCTAGAAGACAAGCCGAAAGTCAACGTGAGAAGAATATTGCTAAGGTATAATAAAATCAAATAAAAACATTTAGCTTTTAACAAATCATCGGAATTAAATCCAAGTCACGTTCTAGTCCCGTTGTATTACTGTAGCTCTACACTACATGCTTAGCATTTTGCGTTTTCTAGATTGTATACAAAGTATTATTTGACTAAAAAGTTTCGGGGAGTTTTTAGTTAAAATTGTCGACGTATTGCAATTTGCACCTCTCTCACGTAAAAAGGGGTTAACATGTAACCTTCGCTATCTGTGATATTAGCCCTGGCTAATACTGTGATGGGTAAAACAATGAGAAATGCAAGATTTGTTGACGATCTCTTTCAGGAAAGATCATCTCAGGCTCGTATCGCTGACTTGGAAGCTCAGTTAAGTCGAGCGACTGCAAACGTTGCCCAAATGAAGAGAGAAAAAGATGAGGTAGTTTATTTCTCACAATTTTTGTTTGTTTTGTCTTACGATGTGTGTTGTTTTGTTTGTTTGTTTGTTTGTTAGGATCTGTTTTCCGTTGTCGTATAGCTATAATTAAAGAAAACAGTAATTGTCTTTGTCCCTCTTAATAACAACAGAATGTACTCGAACATTTGCATGTTCTCTTTTTGTATTTGAAATGCAACCTTTTCCTATAGTTTTCAGATATTCAGCTATACTGTCGCACAGTAATCGCTATTATCTTACGGTAATCGCTATATTGTCGTATGGTAATTTCGCTATATCGTCGTACGGTATTCGTTATATTGTCGTACGGTAATCGCTATATTGTCGTATGGTAGTCGCTATATTGTCGTACGCTAATCGCTATATTGTCGTATGGTAATTTCGCTATATTGTCGCACGGTATTCGTTATATTGTCGTACGGTAATCGCTATATTGTCGTATGGTAGTCGCTATAGTGTCGTACGGAAATCGCTATATTGTCGTATGGTAATATGGTCGTATGGTAATTTCGCTATATTGTCGTATAATAACGTGAAATTTGTATTTAAGGTTGAACGACGTTTCACCTCCCGTCTCAGTGACATGCGTGATCGGTTAGATCAAGCGAACACGACCACACGTAGTATGCAAAACTATGTTTCCTTCCTCAAGTCCTCCTATAGTACAGTATTTGATGATATGGACGATGGCCGCTGACCACTTCAGCTCATTGATTGCGACCCCAACTGCTTGAAATCGTTTCCTTTGTTTACCCAAAATCCTTTTCAGGCATTACGATGTACGACGGGTTTAATTCTCCCCAGTACAGTTACTGGTTTATATCGTCGACTCGAGCTAAATTTGGAATGTGCATGCAAAATGGGAATTTAGAGAATCAAAAATATTCCAGTGTTAATTCATAAGTGCATTCATAATTATGTTCGTATTTCGCCTCCATCCATTTCATTAAGAAACACACAATAGAAATTCCGAAGCAACATACCACGATAAAAAATAGGACCAGAGTGAACTAAGGGTTTAAAGATAGCATTGTGTTTGTAGGGTAATATTGCATGGGTTTGGTTGGGACTTATTTTTTATACATCTATTTATAAACGTTTTAGACAATCTAGTATTTTTATATAGCTATAGTGATTCTTCCAATTTTTACAGTGATCTATCAAGGCATATGATGTTGTAATATAGTTTAAACGCTTAATTTAGAGCTAGAATATATAACCTTAATTTTGTTTTATATGTGAAAATATTTGTCTGCCTCCTGACCATAGTAAATATTTTTGATTATTAAGCCTACCCATGGTTTACACCTGACTGTCATGTTTTTGCACAATATAATATTTTTATTTTATTCCCAGTATAGTTTAAAAACAACTATTGTCTTTTTTACACTAACGGTTGATGTTATTTAACGTTGTTTCCTATACCCCTATATTTACACTTAATAATTATTACACCTACAAACTATAGTGAAAGTTAAACGTATATGTAGATTTCCCCAACAGACCAAATCCTACTAAATCCTGGCTCGAAGATATTGTTGCGCAGTTTCCTTGTTGAAAAGCTATCATGACTAGCGTTTAAACAAGGCTTCTTGTCAAGGAAAACTTGTCAATTTTTTCGCGCACACACGAGCAAATAAAACTTGTCAAGGAAAACTTGCCCGTCGTCTTATGAGTATGTGCATTGTTAATTGAAATTAATTTCACTCAATCATTAAAATTCCCTAAAAGGCATTTTATCAGTTTATGGTCCGGTTTGAAAAGGCATGTTATCTCAGGACGACAACAAGCCGTTGGTGTGTGGGTAGGATACATTAGGTCAGTTTTAAATGATTATCCTGCAATCTACTCTATTGAATGTGACCCCCTTGCGCCGTGGCCCAGCCTGCGTGATGATTTGGTCCCTATGAAAATTTCATTTATTTTGATTGTTTTTACTACGGTCAATGAACGCCGGAATATTAGTATAACGGGACTAAATCATTAGGCTCTGGCTACGCTACCGCTTGCCCGTGCATGTAACATAAATACTACTTTGTGCCGTTCATTATTATTAGCCATGGTTCCAGCATTGCTGACATGATGTGTTCTGTAAAGTCTAGGCATCTTTCAGTGGATTAATTTAGATCTCTTGATGTTGTCGTGTGTGGCGGAGTGTCTTCTCAAGTCAACTTTTCTATAAAAAGCTCTAGAACATATCGTGCAAACGAAGGGTTTATGTCCGCTGTGTTTTCTACTGTGAGTGATGAGGTTTGATGACTGACTGAACGCCTTGCCGCATTCTCGACAAACATGCGGTTTTTCACCTGTGTGAATGTAAGTGTGTTTTTTCATGTCACTCTTTTGATGAAACCGCTTACCACAATATTCACAGGGAAACGGGCGCGTGTCCGAGTGTATCAACATGTGAGTGGAAAGTGTGGACGACCGCTTAAACGTTTTATTGCATTGCTTGCACGAGAACAACTTTTCATTTGTGTGTACGCTGACGTGTTGTTCCAGGCTCACACTATGCCCAAAGGTTTTCCCGCATGCCTCACACTCAAAGGGACGCCTGCCCGAGTGTGAACGCCTGACGTGAACTTCCAAGCCATGTGGCGTGTTGAAGCCTTTGTAACATTTCACACACTTGTAAGAAAGGTCACTCATCTTAGTTTTCTCAGAAAATTTGTGCACTTCTCGGATCTCAGATATGCTGCGATATTTCGGTTTTTTCACGTAGTCCAAGAGAAGCGGGGTCCTGGAACTCGGCCAATGACTCGCAGTCTCGGGGAAGGTATTGTATATTTCCTTCAGAAAGGGCGGGAAAAAGTTTGGAAAGCGAAGGTTGTTACGATTTGATAAGTAACTTGTACCTGAAAGATAAAAAATAACTTCTTATTAACCAAGCGCGAGGTCTTTACCAGAATTATTGGATATTTGCTAGCATTGCTGACATCATGTCTAGTGCTCTAGTGGATTAATTTTAGATCTCTTTAGTTGTCATGGGTGCCGGAGTGTCTTCTCAAGTCAACTTTTTGTTAGAGCCCCATAGCTTATAATATATTTCCATATATCTAACGAAGAAAAACCTTTCACTTGTAGTTCGTTTTGCCAGCTTCGATGATCACGTTAAATTATTTAGGCAATCGGGTAGTTGTAACACTCCTGTTAATTTAATATATTCAAAAGATCGAAAACTTTTCAGAGGACATATTTTGGGACACCTAGACCTAGTCAGATCTCGTAAAAAATAATCGCACGACTATATCCTACAGTCTGCATCAGAGTGGGCAAATCGCGGGGTACAAGGTTGCAAAAAACCTGCCTATTATGCAGACCAGTCCATATAGTACGAATAGTATATTTCTCGAAAGAAAAAGAAAAGCTACAGATTTTTAAAAATAGTTCATAAGCTTTTAATGGATTACGTTGTGTGTCACGTCTATAACATGGTTTTTGTCAATTGTCAGTTAAATTATTCCGTTTTGACTATTTTTGTACCCCACCAACCGCTGAGTAGAACGCACCTGTGTGTACATTAACTGTCATTACAGTTTGGTAATTTTGACAGCTCAAAAAATCTTTATAACCCGCTTTGCAGATGTCATTTCGACATCATTTGATGGATGAAGATTAATGACTCATAAAAGTTGTTTGGTCTTATTCTTCTTTGATCCACAAATTGAGAGTTTCTAGTCCCCAGCGTGTCAATTAAATCTCCGATTGAAAATTTCATTTAGGAAATATAAACATTTAAAATTCAGTTTCTGGTGCGAAAATAATGAAAAAAACTTTCCGCGTTAGTAGATTATTTGATGCACCGTTCAGCCTGCGGTATATTCCAAGGATGGATGCGTGCATTCAGGCACGCAGTATATGTCATAAATCACAAATTTTTAAAAAAATGGCTACCGGTCAGTGTTTTTTTTTCGATTGTCGCGGAGAAAAAGCGTTAGAAAGTCTAATCCCTAGCTTATTAATTTATTTTGATGTATTTTCTGGGGAAGATATTGACTTGTATTTTTTTAAATAAAAGACTGAAGCGGTCACGTCTTATTTAAAATAAGTACATGTAAATTATAAGCCACTCTGAATATTAAGCCCCCGTAATGGAGTAAGCATAGGCGTGATATGGTGTGAACTAAAATGTGTGTCATTTGTACGTTTTATCGATGTGTGTATGTATGCGTTTTTAAACAGGCAAGGAGCTTTCTTAATTCAAATCGTCCTTAACCAAGTCAATATGTGGTTTCTAAATTTTTTTTATGGGTATACTTAACGCAGACTGTGCTTCTTCAATTACAACTGCATGATCATAATGGCGGATTATTCATTATTTTGTGGTGTTTAGTTTCCATTTGTAGAAATTATGGGCACGTGTGCACAAGTCAGTATTATTTTGTTTGGTCTTTCAATAATCTCAATGTTTTGCTATCGGATGTTTTGCTATTTTTGCAGCTATTTTCTTGCCGAGGCGTCGTTTTCAGAAAAGCACTTGAAATCCGGCTGCTGGGATAATTGTCGCAGGCCTTGATCGCCATTAACCACTCGAAACCCCGTGAAAATATTTACTTTGTTCAGCCTTTGATAACAAGAAAAGGTCCCGCTAATGTTAGGAAACTGAGTGCCGCGTGGGCTTGATATATTTAAGCTTCATGTCGTTAGAAATCTAACAAAGCATCCCTTGCAATGTTTGTACTTTCATCCGCAAAACGTGCTTGGGAAAGAGCGTAGGTGTTTACTGGAACCTAGTCTTCGTCATCTCTAGCTGAAAATTCTACCCTCGTCTTCTTTCGTACAATAAAGGCAAAAATAGATATAAATTCATCTTTTATATGAGCCAATCTATGATTGGGTGATTCGCGTTTTTTTAAAACCAAAAATCAAAGTCATGCATGATTATCAAACATGTCATGAAAGTTGGAATGATGATACTGAACATGTCTCGTTTCACGAAGATGACCTTCATCGTGATCGGTTAGATTCCAAGTTGAAGCGATTCCCAGTTCCCATGCACCTGATCCAACATTATATATAGTTAACTGAAGTAAGGCGTAATATAATTATGGAGATATTCTTTTATATGTGCATCTTATATTTGCCCGTTTTCTTAACCTGAATATGCCAAAGAAGAGCAATGGCAACCAGGCTTATTTTAGGCTGTTTTCAACGTGTGTAATATTAGATATAAATATTAGCTACCCACTTATTTAAGTAATTTCACATTGAATATATAAACTTGGGTCTGTCTAGCTCAGGAAATTACTTGTTCGGTTTAAATGGTGAAGGGTTACTGCATGATGTTTTATACAGTACTATACACTCGGATGGAACTCAATATTCATGTCATGTGGCTCATGTCAGTGCTCTTTCCCTGTTTACAGATTTTCTCTATGGACATAAATATTGTACCAAAAATATTAAACTTAATTTAAAATGAACCTTACTACATCAACGTCGCTGTCCCTGAGGCATTACAAGGGTACTTTCCTTGCCAGGGTACTTTCCTTGGCTGTGTTACTCGAAAGATACGTTGGAGAATATCGTAAAAATATAATAGACCATTCATTATTGAGCCAGTGGGCACGTGCCATAAAATGTACAAGATTTATGTATATCGCATAATATATAGTAATTAGTGGGTAAAGTTCTCTTGGCTCGATTAACGTTAACCAATGCACTTGGTGCAAAGTTTCATAGAATGAACCATCAGTATTTCTATATTATGCATAATAAGGTGTCTTCACTACGCATCGAAGACGAAGTACTCTATTTTATGAGTTCATTCATTGTGTACTTTAACAAAGCCGCTGTAATTTATCAGCCATTCGTTTTTGCCTTTTACCGTTTAAGGTGTGAGCTGTGACTGAATTTTGTTCTCATGTATATATACTTGGCAGCGGCGACAATCATTTCAGCTAAAAATTTCAAAGAAAGTTGCAAAGCGAGTTCTTTGATTCAAAATCTCTCGTTGTAATTTCATTGTTTTTACTTCGGCGACATAATTATCCTTGTTGTTGTTTTAGGAGTAGGAAGTTATGCAAACGCTATTTCATAAATTTTCAAACAAAATTTTCAATAATGCTCGCTAAATTTAAAGTGTCTAAAAGTAAAAGGTTCAGTATTACATCAAATATAGATATCAGTTTCAAACTGTTAATCTAGATCTATTTCTTACAGCCAATAGAGGTGTTATGTTATTCAAGTATAAACTGACCCGCTGCAAGGCAAACCCGAAACACTCTCCTATCAAGACAAACAAATGACGAGCAATGCCAATGTCATTTAGCGAGTATTATAGTCGACATGCAGAAATAAAAAGAATTGATTTATTGATACAAAGCTAGGAAGAAGAGTTTTTTGCAGTTAAATAATTCTTTAGACCTATTACGATCCTAACCGAAAAAAACCTTCACAAGAAACGTTTAAATACGGGTATCTAAACTGGGCAAAGCCAAAGCCAAAGGCAAAGAAATAATATTTGTCACAGTTTTTGTGATTATATATGCATGTGATTTACAATGTCAATACAATATATTGGCTACATGTATAATACATGTCTATTAGACTCAGAAATAATGGAAAGTATTTGGGTAGAGTTTTCAGACAGTTTTTTCAATTATCTACATTGATTACTACACAATAATGGCAGGTCAAAATTTGATTAACTCGACTGACATGCTATATTCCAGCGCTTATAACTTCAATTTGTATTCTCATTTAGTATGCTGTTAATATTTCTCTTCCGAAATCGCCAGTAAACGTAATTGCTGGCTCTTGGCTTGGGCTTAATCCTTTTGTCGCTATACCTTTTCAATCATAGCTTGTTTAAACGGTATAGGTTGGGTTATATCGTTATATCTCGCTGTTTTCTTGTTGTAAACTTTATCGATATGATTTAATTGCGCGTATAAATATTCACAAAAGTCAAAGCAAGACTGAAATTGTTTGCGCAGAAAATTTGTTTCTTCCTCCTTGTGTATATATAGCTACAATAACATAAATTTATGTGCAAGTGTATTAGTCCTGAACATCGGAAAGACAAATAACTTTAGCCAGATGCTGATCCGGTATAAATTAACACAGATTTCGTGATAAGATTTGAGAAAATAGAGAAAATTTAAGATTGTTATTGGATTAAATATAGTGTTTCGTATAAGGCTGTTCAGTTGGCGAGTTATATATAATAATTGTGCTCACCTATGAATTGTTAGAATTTAAGATAAGGGATTTATATTACTTTATTTTGAGGTCCAAAGCCTAAAAGTATCAGTGGCATTTATTTAGAGTTGTCTAATTTTATGCAAATATTGAGTTTGTAATCAGATTCGTGTCTACGACTACATTTTCGCAGTTTTCATAATGAGTTTGAGGAAAAATACTCACAACCAGAAGTTATTCATGGAGGCCACATGATGTTATGACGCATTTGAAGGGGTTAACATGCGCATAAAATATCCAGTCTGCTTTATTTGCAAATCGCGAACGTGTCTTTTCACTGGGTTGAACAACAGCCACCGGTAGATCACTACAGGAGACCAGTAGAAATCTGACAGCTTTGGGCGGGAACAACAATTTATGGAAAACTAAAGCAATTTATTACTGTGGATCTTCTAAAATTAAAAACCTATACAACTTAGCACGTCCGTTAAGATGAGTATCGTGTTTTAATGCAATATGTTCTATGTTCTAAATCGCGAGTATTTTGAACTTTAAGATATACATACATGCATGCGTAATCTATTTCTTTGCAAACGCGCGCTGTTTCATCGCACTCCTGTTAATTTTTCCCAAACCCACGCGCAAGAAACGTTCTATCTAAACGGCTTATTTTTAATTTTGCATTCATAAACCTCGTTTACAAACGTCTTTTAAGAAATAGAAAAGTGTTTTAAGCATAGAAATTTTAAACCATACATAAAGAAATTAGCGATTATATATATGCACAGCCACAAGGATTAAAAACTCGCAATGGGAGGCTTCAGATATTTAGACTGAACACAAATCTCAAAAAATCAGTATTAATTACACACGGAGTTAAATCCATTAAGATCTTTATCTCGTATTTTAGAAGCTTACCGTTATTCGAAACGGAATTAGTGCATTTTATGGATGAAAATTCAGTGAATGCAGATTTTTGGTAAGCTCCGGTAGCGTGTTGTGGCTGACTACGACGTAAGTGGTCCGGCACGCTATCTTGAGTGACTTCCATGTTGCTTTGTTCCTCATCTGCTTCGCCGCTTTCTAATCTTGCCTTCAACTCCCCGTCTTAAAACAAAAACATTTAAAAATAAATTCCCACCCGTAGAATTACGCCAAAAGGCCAATGGATTATACTTGTATAATATGCCGAAGTAGAAATCAAAATGGTAGTTAATCTATAGCTTCTCTGATTTGTTAATAATAACAATAACGTTCATTTTCAAACGTGAACGAATATTGCATATGCGTTGCCGCCTTTTAAGTCAGTATGATGAATTTTACATTTATATTCATTGAGATAAGCGCATTCAGTTAATAGTATGTGGACAGCATCGCTGATGATTTATAAGTTTAAGAATTGAAAACGATATATTTATACACTTAGTACTTTTACTTCTACGTTGAATACACACTGGTTATATGCACCGAGCATTAACTACTTTCGAGATTTTTTCATATATGTTTTGCTATACCGGGCGAAATCTTAATTCCAAGTCTACATTCAAATTGATCCGTTTAGGAAAACACACGGTTAATTTATCATTTTATGGCCTTGGTTTGACGAATGCAAGGATTATAAACTCAATATCCGATCAACAAACGATTTGTAACAGAATCTCGACTTTTCATCTGACGCCGGTAAAATTAAATTTTTGGGCGTTGATTTCGTGGCTTGGGACTTGAAACTTGAAATGAATCTGTATACTGCAAAATAAATCAAGTCTTACCATGATTTAAAGTTCCATGAAGCGCGCTTTGGGCAACGGTATGACTTCTTTTAGCAGTTTTGACTAAAAATGATTTCGGCATGGTTAGATCGACCTCTTGACTCGAAGATATGAAAATTCTGTTCTCAACCGTGAAGCGTTTTGGCGTTTTATGCCTGAGCGTTATGACATTTCGAAATGCTTGCGCGCTAACCTTCGAGACGTCATATTCTGACAGTTGAGCAGGTCGTTGCCAGGGAAACCACGGGTGGAGAGGCTCGCGCATGCGTAAATGTGATCTATAACAGGTGCTCACGATTTTGTGTTATTGGCTTTCGCCACAGTTTTTATTGTCTTTGCATAATGTCCCACCTTTACATTGTGAAATCTCGTTTTATTAAAACTGTGATTTATATTAATCAATACACCGTAGGAGAATATGTACTAATGATAAAATGAAAAAATTGCAGGCGAAAAAGACACGCACGCGAACATTTAGTGGGCACACGTCCCAAAATAGCCGAAGACGCGTTTTGCATTGTGCTCAAGTGGTTCGCCCAATAAAGACAATTTAGCTTCACCGCTTTATGAGGAATTCATATGAACGCATTTGAGTCAAGTACCTGACTGTCATAGCTTTGAAGTTTTAATATTGTTTGTATGAGAAAGTTCAAGGGTTTTATTTTTCAATGTCATGCACATCCACTAAAACATCTGCTCCCTTGGATATATGTCGTCTTAATATAATATTTTTATTAAATATGTGACTAAGTCATTACTGTATTATATGCGACATAGGTCTATAACCTCACTATATATAGGCACGCACTTAAAGTTAGCCATGGTAGAAATACATGAATAATATTTAACAAATTCCATTTAATTTCAGAAACAACATAAGTATACATGACAAATGAAGCATGATTTTCTCTCCATTAAGACGCAAGGCAAGAAATGTTTCTTTTCATTTCAACCCGTATATCCTGCAAGCAGTGCCTTAGTCGTAAAACGTCTCAGTTTCACTGCATGTTTATCGTGGTCACATTTCGCTTTGAAAAACCCATTCCAAATCCAAATGATCAAGTTCATTCCCAGGTGAGTCCGGTCCGGTTTATTGACAGGATTGCGGTAGAACTACGTTTTTGTCAAGGCCGTAGATATACATATATGCGTCCTATGACCTCATTCATGGCGTAATCGTGTATAACATTTAACTGATTTTCGACACAAACGTTCGGCATTTTTGCCGATAATTTGACGCACTAATGTTCTTCTCTCGGTTGAAAATATTTTGAAACCCGAATGGACGTATTTTGAAAAATATCTATTCGCATCAAGGCCAATGGACATTTTGACAAAATTTCTCTAGAATAAACTATAAGCATACAGTCATACAGAAGTATTGGGATAGCGGATAATTTGTTCATGGAAAAGGGGTAGCCCTAGTAAACTAAATGTTTCCTCTTTCACTCGACTGACTTGGTATTTCAGGATCTTCTGAAATAATTTCGATATTGAGCTGACTGCATGTATTGCCTGCCTGATCAATGTAAAGCCTTACGGCAAATATATTACAAGGTTACGATTTTTCCGTTCTGATTTTGATTGAAAACTGTGTCAAGACAGCGAATATAAAATCGTAGCGGTTCGTCGCGTTTCCCCCTTAAAAAAACGGTACACAATTCAACGATGTCATTGTCTCAAAATACTGTGCTTAATTGTTATTCTTTTGAAATGTGAAATAAATTACGAGGCACGGCATTGATTGGCTGAACGATCACACAACTAAAATTTGTTCAGCCGATTAAAATCGAGACGTCTGAATGTCGCAGTGTGTTCATCAAGAACAATAGTATTATTGTTGCTGCCTATTGAAGTTTGTAGGTGTATTTCCTTGTAGGAAGACAATGTCGTTTTCCGCCGTATAAGTTACCTCAAAATCTGTTGTTGCATTAATTCAGAGAATAGTGCGACGGAAGAGACTAAAAGAGTCAGTGGCGTTGCATTTAATCGGCTAAATCAGGGCAAATTGAAGTTATATATAAGTTGAATAGAGAATGTCAACTTTCTTTATATTTACAGGATGAAAGCAATTATAAATGGAGGAAATTAATATACATACTTACATATGTGTAATTTACCGACTCTTTCTTTATCACTGATGTTCCAGTGAATCCATGCTGGTGTAATTATTTTCGCCTAAGGTAATGGACAATTCAAATTCACGTTAACAAGAGGTAAAAAAGACGTTTAAGTTTTTTTTTCAAAATTTCAATAATTGATAATTGCGAGCCTGATGTGCAACTAAATTATAGAACCGCTCTATTAAATTTCTGTTCACACAAATCATAAATCATATATGCACATGCTTTAAACCCATGCATGCAACTGACCATATCAATTAAATGACAATAGTAAAATGAACAACAATGAACCTACAGAACAAACACGACGTGCCGGACATGACAAACTTATATACGTTCTATCCTGTTATCGGACGCTGTGATAAGGAAATAAATGAGCACTAAATACGAGACATTAAAAAACACTTTCCTCGAAATAATCTTTTTGAACCAAAGCAAGCACAAGCTGTATTGTTAGGATGACAACACAACTACCAGGATCGTGTTATTTACTCTTTTCAATACTTCAAAGTGTCAAAGTTATTTTACGTTTCGTTGAATCTCGGGTAACCGCGGGCTCATGTGAACTGAGCCACATTTTTTTCGCAAATCATTTGCGAACTTTTTCTTATTCGCCACTGCTTTGTTCTTCGTGTATGTCAGTCTGCAATTAACCTGCATGCTATATCAGCAGTATTCTCGTTCATTCCAAAACGCTTTTAACGTTAATAATGAAATAAATATTATGACAAAAAAAAAACTTCTCCGCAACGTTTTGACCTCAGGGCCTTAATTCAGGAAAGTTAGAAAATGACTAACATTCCTGCTATCGGTCGAAACGTCGAGAAGTGCTTTTTATTTTGTCTTCAGTATTTTTAGGCAGTTGTTATACCACATTTGACGCGAATTCGTTTGAAGACGCTGCATGCATAAGCGTCATAAATGTACACAATATAGCTACAGTACACATTATATTATCATTTGCTGACTCAGATTCGCTCAGTTTTATATATTTCGAATAACTTGACAAAGTGATGATTTTCCATTTTTGGCGTACTGATAATAAAAAGATGCTTTTCTTCGATATTTGCAGGTGCAAGGGGGAACATTAAAATCTCATTTTATCATCACTTGAATACTCTCTGTTCTATTGGTTGGAAATTAATTAATTTTGCAACTGAGCTTTTGTCTTTTTTGATTCCCGTGGATAAGAGCAATTCTGATTTAAAGTTGAAAATTAAATTTTTAGATAGAATTTAAGATATTGAATTTTTTTTCTTTTTTGATTTTCGGATAATGCAACTATTTTAATTAAGTTGTTTGAGTGATAATGAAGTCGGTTGATTTTATATTTAAAATGTTATTATTTAGGAAAAAAATTGTATCTTGGCTATCCTTTGCGTGAGCTTAATCAGTACCAACTGCAGCGGTAATTTTTAGTACCTTATCAATCGGCGTTTATTATGAATGCAAGTGAGGTGCGAGTCAGCTTGAACGAGTTTGAATGTGAAAAAAAAACATTAGGCTTAAACATGGAGGATTTTTATTGAACCCTATAGTAGATCAAACATACAGACCCCTAACATAGGTCGACACACTCCCTGCCAAGACCCACAGGCATTCACAAATATACCCACTGATCCCCTCATACTTCCTTGATATATTAAATGACGCAGCTCACCCTGACGCAACATGCAGTGACTAATTCTGACAAGAGCCCTACCAATGGGCAGCCTGATATATTAACAAGGACGAAACACGAACTTGTCAACAGGAAGAAAACATGCCTTATCTTCAAGAACTAGCCTGCAATAACCGGCTCTTACGCAATTATGACCAGTGGTGAAGATACATAATATCTTAAAATGTCTATTCTTGTATAAACATGAATATATTTAATACCAAATGCATAGTTTAATAAGCTTTACAAAAGCAAACAAATAAGATTTGGTTGGTGTTTTCATACTGGATCATTTGGCTTTGTTGTAAAAAATGAATTTTATAATTAAGTGTAGAATATGATATATGCAGTATGACTAAATAAATTACTAAAATGTTAAGGCAACATGCAAGTATGTTAGAATTAAAAAATCCATGAATTATATAGTTGCAAAAACCGAATATAACATTAGAAGATTCTCTTAGTCTTATTCATTTTGTCTTGGTTCAGATATGATATTGCATGTATATGCATATAAGGTCGTTTTTTTAATAATACAAGTTCTTTCCATGATACTTATCACTGATAAAAGCAGGTAGTATACATACCTTTCAACTTAATTTAAATAAAAATTGATATTTTTAAAGTCGGAGTATGTTTTTACACCTGTCATTAGCCTAGGAACTCCGATGCTTAAAACAAGTCCATTCTTTATTTGTATCGCACTGAGCTAGAGCTATCCTAAATATCTAAAGCTTACTTGCAATATTAGTCCTGTTCTTCGCTATGCCACGTTCTTTTTTAGTAAGTCGAAGTAATGTGGTCTTGCCAAAGGAAATCCAAAGAGAAAGTATCAAAGTCGAGAGTATTTGCTTCAAAGGTAATTTTCAAAGTATATAATGATCTTTCAACTCAGAATGGAAATATAGAGTGGTTGAAATCGTTGGAATAAATTCACATTGAATAGCTATGTTCATTAGGTTTTGGAGGGAACCTTTAGAACGTTTAATATGTCCTACATGCATGTTGGTTCAACACAATCTAATATTAAATTCTCTGCAATATTGTTAGTTCATTTGGACCTTTTTTCTTGCAACAGCATTGGAAGATTGGAGGCTGTTTAAACTCAGTTTTGATTTAGCGCAAAATTTCCCTTATGCATGCATGTGGACTGTTTGGATTGAATAATTTTGTTTAAATTTGTAAAGCTCGTTCTAAAAACATATACGAAAAGAGCACTGCAACTTGCAATCTTTTTTTTAATACAGATCACAAGGAAGACAGGCAGAGCAAGTTCGTGGCTCTAGATAGAGAATTTATCACAAAAGAGACAAACGTGCAAACAGATAATGCAAAACTCTCTAACTTTTCATTATCGACACCTTTCATTGCGGACAAGGCGTCGCGTAATACAAGTAACAATGCAAATGTTACTTCTGTTGACAAAAAGAAGAAAACTGTTCCACAACTAACTAGCAAGAAGTCCAGAATATTTGAAGATTTACCAAAATTATTTGAATCGAAAGTATCAGAAGAGCCAGAAAGAATTCCTGAGAGTTCCAATGATGTTCATACCGCACCCTTAAAACTTCAAGAAGGTAAGTCAAATTACATGTGTTAGCGGACGCATATATTCAAGAGTTTAGGAAGACAGTTTAGGAATAATCCTTCCAACAATATTGCTCACACCTCATGCACACACCCCACACAAATTTCTAGTTCGTATAGTTAATCACCGTACATATACCATGCACAGGAAGCTTCTAATAATTTTTCTTTTGGCTTATACAAGTACCTTGAGCAAGGTCATTGTTAGTAATTAGTTGTTAGTGTTGTTGTTGTTTTCTACTCCTAGGGCTGTTGAAAATTAGAATATTACTAATATTTGAACGTTTACAACGAATTGTAATGTTTTTATACCCTTCTTTCAGTACAATCATGTTTCATTATTTATAGCTCCTTTAACTATTGCACATGCAGGTTCTAGGTTCCGCTTAATTTCGGCATATTTTCTGCTTCATAACAGTTTTGAAGTTTGTCAGCTCACCTAACTGATGTACTTATGCCTACTTAAACGCGTCCCTAATATGGATAATTATTTGTTACATGTAGCTACATGGGTTTACATAAATTACTGGCATAAAATTTTTTCCAAGCATCATGCATATTGTATCTGCAGTGAATTTTGCACATCATCTGCTCTATGTTACCGAATCATATGGACGGAAAAATAACAAGATAACAAACTGAGATTAGATAATAAATTAGGGCGTGTCATTGATTAAGATCTTTGCTTTTGAACTTGTAGTCAAGAAATCTGATCAAACCTGTTGGTATACCACTTCAAAGACTCGCCTCCATACATAAATACTAATGATTTCTTTCATACAGCTCTGACAGCTCTCATGGATGAAATTATATTAAAATGTTTCATCGTAACCATTATTTGTCTATATTGATTTCACTTTCAATACTAATATCAGGTTTCAAAAGAACAAAACTAAGGTTCAATATATCATAAAGTTAGGAAACGATCACGCATGAAATATGCATACCCGACGCTAAACCTATTGATTCTGAAAGTTTACAATTTTGATGTCCAAGCACGTCTTACATCTTTTGTGCTAGGTTCGAAATTCGAATGTTCGAAAGAACTTTTTCGCTTATTCATCAACACTAAATATCAAGTTTTTTATTCGGAATGCTTCCTTCATTCTGACGTTATTGTGTGCTTTACGGCGCCTACAATATCCTTTATGACATTTGGCCACCAGCAGAAGAGTTTCCGTTTTTGATAAGTTTGCTTTTGCCACCAGTCAGGGTATTTTTAAAATTCAGCATTGTGTTAAAGTCGTGGCAAATTAGCAAGATCATGCGCTGGTCTTCAAAGACTACATTGAACGGAATTACAATATTATTTTCATACCATATCAGCTATATGATTGTAGTGAATCAGCATGCAATTCGATCGATCGATTTCAACAATGCATGAATGTCATTAGAACATTGTCACGATATTATAGTCATATTCGGGAGGCTAAAGGAAGGACTTAACTGGCGCATGTTTTGCGAAAGCTTTAACAGAGATATTGATGATAATAAGTTTTTTTTTGAGGAGTTCGTCGTAGAAAGAACAGGAAGATAAAAAACACAAGAGGCAATCTCGGCGGCTACATGCAATTACTTTATATTCCATGAAAACTATTCATATATATCTTCACAATTTCTCCAAACATACAAGCTATAGGCAGCTCAGTTTCTCTCAGTTTCTCCACTCTAACAACATTTCTATATATATATCCGTCTCTTTTTATTCGTTTCTTCAAGACTTTTGTGAATTTCCACATAATCTCGTATTTCTGGTATAACGTTTTTTATATAATCCAATGTTTATTTTAACAGATATATTTTACCAGAACTACCCCGGAACGTCTGCCGCATCCCCTCAACCTTACGTCTATCAGCCTTCGTACCCGCGAACCTATTGGAGTTATGGCTACCGGCCTGAAAACCTACTAAGATCATATGAAACTCACCATCCTTGGTTAGAGTACGTGCAGGCTCAGCAAGCAATAATACGCAAGCGCTCATTGGCTATACATCAACCAATGTGGCACGAGAATGAATCCTTAATAGCCAAACACAAACCAGTGGAAAACCAGAACGAAACACGAGTCGTCTCCCAATCAAGTGGAAAAACATCGACAGACCAAAAAACACGGCTGAAACCTAAATTAAAGACTTTGCACACTTGCTCCATTTGCCAGAAAATCTTTACCCAAGCTGTTAGTCTTAAACAACACATGATTGTACACTCCACTGCAAAGCCATACATCTGTCAGCATTGTTCAAAATCCTTTAAACGCTCGTCAACTCTGTCAACACATTTGCTCATTCACACTGGAGAACGTCCTTTCGCCTGCGAATTTTGTGGTAAGCGCTTCCATCAAAAATCTGATATGAAAAAGCACACTTTTGTTCATACCGGACAAAAACCTCATCGTTGCACGCAGTGTGGGAAGTGCTTCAGCCAATCATCGAATCTCATTACTCACTGCAAAAAGCACGTCGGTTTTCAGCCGTTCTCGTGCGAGATTTGTGGCGCTTCTTTTATTAAGAAGATCGAGTTACGCAGGCATCGCTATAGGCACGAGTTCAAGGATAATCACAAGATCTGAACATCGAAATTTAGCGGAGTAGGGCAGATCTAGATCATATTTGAACAGTCCATTATCCATGTTAAAATTGCGCGACTTAATTGTAACAGATAACACCTTTTTTTGCAACCGGCAGATTTTATCTTCCACTGAAAACAACGCTCATCAAACACATATTTACTGTTAACATTTTTACATATATCTTTATATCAATATAATTCTCAAATTTCTATTTTAATTCTGATACAATTTAAGAATTTTTTTGGAGTATTATATGCCGTGAACGCGCCAATATATATATAACTTCATCTTCTATTCTGTCAAAACTATAGTTATTTTGTTTTAGTTTAAAAAATATAATGTCAGCTAGTTTATTAATGTTTATTGAGTGTTAAGATTTACAAATCGCTTTCGGGGAATTGAATCAGTAATTGAAATTCTAAATTGCGTATACACGTCTCCCCAAACATCTTAACAGAATTCGGTAAATCTTGGTAACAAAGCTCGTCTTATGGCCTAGTTTCAACGCGGTTTGCCCTGACAGCCGAAATATTTTACCTCGACATACGCGCCTAGTTTAGTTTGTTCTATATTTTCGATTAATTTATCTTAGGTGTAAGGTTCTGATATGAATGAAAAGTAAGATATTTTTACAGACAGAGCACAATTTGAAAAGGTTTACTTATAGTGTTATATAGCTACTACAGCATGGAGTTTACTGTTGTACTATATTGTAATCATACAATAGAAATATCACAACGGAGATTTATTGACAGAATTAACACAAAACAAACTTTATATACCCGCGTACAATCCATAACTGTATAATGTAAATCTACGGTAGACAATTTTGCGTTTATTTCGTGTGTTTTTAGCATTTTCACTTTGTTTTTCGCTTATTCTTGCGTGGTTTGTGTTTCTTGTTTTTAGAATCGATAATTTGTTGAGCATGCATTTTGATGGCTTGTCTTGAAAGAACATCTTCGTCATCACCGCTTTCTTCATCATCTGAAACGTTCAACAAAATATTCGTGTCAATATATCAAAATATTCGTGTTTTTGAGCAATGCAATGTCACGCTATTTCGGATGGCAAAATTTTGGACTCTTGTCGGCCATAATGAAGTTCATACCTTCATAATTTGCGCCACTCAGATCCTTGCTCTTTGGCAACTGAATACGAGTGTTATATTGAGGTATCTTACTTTCCATCGTAACACGGAACTGCAAATGTAAAAGTGCATACAATAAGATGTAAAAACAACATCAGGTATTTGAGGTGTGAAAAAATCCAATACCCTGCATGGACAATTACTTTACTGCTTACCTCAGTATCTTCCTTTAAAATATCTTCAATATCTTTTCCTCCAAGATCATCCATTAGTTTCAACAACTTCTGTTCGCATTGACCCAAAAGGTCTAACACGTATTCATCTGATGTTGGAGATAGTTGTGCCTGAGGGACATGACCTTTTGGCTAAACGAAATAATATTATACCGTAAGCGTTAATACTACAAAACTAGTAAATGAGGATAAAATGATAACCAGGCATTAAAGCAATTTACTTGAAAAATAAAACCTGATGGAAAGTGTCATTGAATGCGAGCAGGTTCAACGTACACCATAATGATTTTGACAGGCAGTTTTGTACCGGTATTGCGTGTCTTTCAATTGAAGTGTTTTAGAAAATCATTACTTGCACTTACAGCTTTAAGATGTTGTAGTTTATCCGCTAGATGTTCCACCCCAGCTTTGACGTTGATCAATGTTTTAGATGTTCGTTCTTGGCGAACACGGGAGTCTTCGAGCCTGTTGAACGATGAAATATAAATATTGAAGTTAAACCAGCCTCTCAACATGTTTCACTGAAGAAATGAATATTCCGTACTTTCTCTCCTCGTCAAGAAGACGTTGCTGGAATTCCTCCAGCATTCTTTGACCGCTACAGATGAAAACAAAAAAAAATTAAATAATTAGAATCTGACGTCGTCTACATGTTGGTTCTAATCAATCGTTTTGAATTTAGTCATTTTTTCCAATCAGTCATAGTTAATAGATAAGTATATATTTTTAGTTTACCTGGATAACTTAGCTTCGCCTGAATATTTCATATCCTCAAATTCACGCTGCAACTTTTCCTGAAATTCGAGGAAAATGCATCAAAACCAATCCCGTCAAAAATTAATATTTTAACGATAGTTTTTTACCTTCTCTTCTTTAAGACGAATCAACATTTTTTCATTATCGTTTTTCAGTTGTTCCAAATGTTTTTGGGTATCTCCTTGCGAGAGAAATCGCTGAACAACTTCCTAGAGATGAGAACAGAAAAAGCTGTAAGAACTGTTTTGAAAAGAAATGCAAAAGACTTTTGCGTTTATTCCATTTTCCGGGTACTTCTCAGTGTTATGAACAAACTTGACAACCTGCTTTGGTTTTTGTATCCTTATGCCAAGCCTGCAAACAATTTGTTGCAGAATTTTCAGAAATGATCAAATTTACTCAACTTACTCGAATATCAGAGACACCAGTCGCGTCTTTTATCTTCATCATAGCACCTTCATAAGTCGTGATCTTTCGTTCTTGCTCCTCTCCTGATAAAACAGGTTTTTGATCTAAACAAATTGGAAAAAAATTAAACTCATGCCCATACCGTTGCAGTGAAATAGCGAGGTGAATGCACCACGTTTGGCAAAATCGAGGGAAAGCCAAATGAAACATTAAACATACCAGACAGATCATCTTGTTGTAAAGATCCTCTTTGGAGCTAAAGAAAGATGAGGTTTTGAATCCTGCAAATTGACTTTAAAAATAGCATAACTGAAAGGATATTGACTATTCAAAGGCATGCATGTCCTAGCTGACTACACTAGCAACAGAGTTTTCGATTATAACTTTAGGAAACTTAAAGTCAGATTATTCATTAATACTTACGCGTTTCTCAACTTTTTCAGCATGTTCTTTCTTCTCTTCAGCTTGTCGTTTATACTCAGCCAAAGCGGCTTCTCTTTCTCGTTTTGACTCATAGACACTCTGCTCCAAGCGTGTGAGTTCAGATTTAGCTGTATCCCGAGCTATCTGTGCATCATTGTTCATAGCTTTCAGCTCACGAAGTTCATCTTTCTGAGCTTTAATTGCCTCTTCCAAATCTTTTAACATGTTTGGCCATTTTAATTGCTCCTAAACAATTCAAATTGGCAACACAATTAAACACCTTACAGTTGATTTCATAAAACTTTGGCTGCTCCAGTTGCGAACTATGTTTTGAAACTGTCAAGTGGGCGGGGAAGTTGTCAATTCCGTTTTGTAATTCGCAACGAAGTTCCGAAGCTCAAATTGAACTTCGGAATTTCAAATCGAACTTTGCGGGCAATTTGACTAAATCGCTATAAAATGGCTACTATAAATCACCAGGGCAAAGCAATTTCAATGCAGTAAAGAAATATATTGTAATTGCATTGCCCTGGTATTTTCTAGTAGCCATTTTATAAAAACTGAGTCAAATTGCCCGCAAAGTTCAATTTGAAATTCCAGAGTTCGATTTGAACTTCGGAACTTCGTTGCAAATTACAAAACGGAATTGACAACTTCCCCGCCCACTTGACAGTTTCAAAACATAGTTCGCAACTGGAGCAGCCAAAGTTTTATGAAATCAACTGGTAAGACTACATGGTGTTTACAGAACTTGATAAATACAGGACAGACATTTTTTCTCTGTATTTGTGGAATTCTTGTCAGTTATATTGCAGATAGTAATATCACTGTAGAGCAAAATATTATACAATCCTTACCTCTCTCAAGCATTCAATAATCTGTTGATATGTTGTTGTTATTCTTGTTGCTTCATTGCACTTTAAGTTCATTTTGTCCAATCTATTCTCAAGCACCCTCAGTGTCTACACCAAAGATATCAATTAGACATTAATTAATGCTTCAGAAAAAAAAAATTAAGAAGTTGGTTTTCTGTACCTGGGCATCAGGTGATTCTCCAATGTCAGTTTTCTGAATTTCTTCTGTCTCTCTTGTCATCTGGTCAACCTGTTTCTGCATCTGCTCCAGCCTCTTTTGTTTGTTTTTGCGTTGATGTCTGATCGCATTCAGTTTGTTCACTGACTCACAAACCTGTTGATCCAATTTTTCAATTGCAATCTGTAAAAAGAACATAAAATTTAAGATCACTCTTGGCACACTTCTACACTGAGTTTGTCTTAGGGCAAAGAGACAGTTTTGATAACATTTCATACAAAAAACCCAAATATGCTGTAGAAATTCCAAACCCAGTACATAATAGTATAAATATTTACACACAAATATTATTTGATGTCACATGGTTGTAATGGTGAGCAGATAATTTTGTTGAAAACAATTACCCTGCCAGGCAGTCCTTTCATAGCACAATGTCGCTGTGGATCTCTCTCCTTAAATGCATCATCAATCACTTTTTCATCCCCCTGAGATAAAATATTCAGAATAAAATAATATAACTAGTAAGCAAAACCTAGTGAGTTACAATTCTCAGGTCATCAACAGCAGAATATATTAATGCATGTTTCATGTAAGCTACTACTGTTTAACATATCATAATGAACGTTCAACATACAGCTTTGCTTTTGGCCAACTGTGTTCGATATTCTTTGCTCTGTTGTCTCATTTTTGTCAAGACTTCTTTGTTTGTTTTGATCTTCCATTGTGCTGTTTCTTTATATGCTTTAGTGTCACCTCCTGAAATGAAAATGGGTACTTTTAAGTACAATGTTTGCACTGATCAGACTAGAATAAATCGTTTAAAAAACAAGCTAATGTGCATGTAGACCAATTTTATATACTTGAGATAATATTTAACTATGTCTTTGCCTGTTCCATAACATTAGATGACCTTCTAAAGAATGAGACAGTTCTATAAAAGTCCTTAAAGCTTTGCATTCAACAATAATATCAAATGGTTATAATTAATGCAGAAGATAGCTAGTTTAAGTTTGGTCAACATATACCTACCCAGCAGAGCAACTTTTTTTCTTAACTCTTCAATTTCCTCCGTCAGAACAGCTGGTCTTTGACTCATCTTCAAATCAATTTAGCAATTCACAAGAAAATATTCCGAAGTATTAAAAATATCTACAAAAACCTTTCGAATCATTCAAGTTTCAAGTAAAAATGGACGAAGTTGTTGACGATTGCGTGCCCGTCGCTAGGCAACGGTTCACGGTTGTTATGGGAACATCGTCATCATCGCCTTTCAGAAGCAGTCGACTAATTTTGCGGAAAACGCGCGCGAGGAAAAAACGGCGTATTTTATATACCAATTGCATCCACTGAGCTATATAATGCTTATACATTATATATAGGAACACCAAGTTTACCTCACGCTTGGCATTTCGAAGAAAATAGATCAGAATGGCTCTTTGATATAGCCGAACATTTTAATTACCTACCCAAGTTTTGATACTTCGACATACGTTTACCGGAAAATGTCGACGAGACATTCCAAATTATAGTCTGTGACCTTTTTTTTGCATACCGAGGGGGGTAAATCTAGATTTGAAGATTTGATTACGTCTTTTAATAAAAACTATCAAATCTAAAGCTGATAATCTTTTGACGTACAGTGGTCAATATTACCTTTCTATAACTGCATAGCTGCTCATCGCATGCTTCAGCTGAATACGAAGTTACTTAATTGGTCAGAAAGCGACCATACAGGATTACAAAGAATACTTGTGAAAGATGTAAAAAAGGCACTTTTGAGTTTTGACGACAATATATTTATGATACCTAAAGAACTATACTTAAATACTTTTTGTTCTGTCATCGGTAAATATTTTGCGAAGCTATTACGTCAAACACTGAAGTTATCTTTCTACTTAGAAACAGCTAATTAAGCTAATTAACATGATGTATACCCAGAAAGTCCATGTATGATTGCCAGGGAATAAGTAAGTTACAGATTGGAAATTAAATTAAATGCCTAAATTAAATTATTTTTTCGTAATAAATTATTGTATAAAACTTGGTAATCTACGCCATCTTAAATCAAAATTTCTTACATGATGCCAGGGATGCCGGGACGTCGAAAAGCACCAAAATTGGCTGTAGTACTTTCGTTAAGTATATGAATTAAGGTCATTTTCCATCTATTTTACAAATAGATTTTGATTTTTAAATCACTGATCAAACAAGATGAAAGCGAACGAGAATCGATTTTGATGAAAGAGCATTGCATCCACATGCACAACTGCACACATGCATAACATGAAAGTTCTCGTTTTCCGTTCATGTTTATTTGACCAGAGATTAGGAATAATCTATACTAACTGATTTACTAAATAAAAACAAATGTCTGAATAACTGTTCCTCTCTCCAAAAGAGAGAACGAGAGCTCCTTAATTCCCTTTGTCCCGGTGTCCCTGATCAGGCTAGTTAAGATTTAGAAGGCAAAATACGGTTGACCAAATCCACCGGCACGGGAAATATGATAGTAGAATTTTTCTCAGCCGATATTGTGTTGAGTGTTTGAAGGTAACGTAGTTGTAAGGCCGATGGTGATTCAGACATGACTTCTGAAGCTTCTTTCAACGACCGTGCAGCTTCACGTTCGCCATTTGCAGCAATGACCTAGGGAAAGAGAGCATGAGGCGTATGTTAAAATAGAAAGATCACGCCTGATGCGTGGCTACTGATGCACTCATCCCTGATCAGTCTGTGAGTTACTTTCATGATGATTTTCAAATTTTATTCGTGTGTAAACTTCACTGAGAAGTTGATAAATGCCCAAGATGTGTTGTTTGAGTTATCGTTTCTCTATACTTGTCCTGCATGCATTTTATGAGAATATTTATAGCCAACTTCGTTCCGATCCAGGCAACTTCCGTCTGAAAACTAGTTTTTTCTCGGTGGTAACTTGAAAACTGCATCGATTATATAGATTGAAGCTCTAAGAATTACCTTAGCTCTAGCCTCTCTGGAGGCCTCTGCCTCTGCGGCCATAGCTCGTTGTAGTTGAACGGGAAGACGGATGTCTTTACTAAAAACAATGATTGAAAATTTGTCAGTTTATTTCAAGACTAGCTTCTGGAGAATCTTCTCTTTTCGAAAACTTGTGTTTACTTACATTTCAACTCTTTCAACCTTCACACCCCACGGATCTGTTGCCTCATCCAGGATCATCTGTGAAAAAGGAGTTTTGTTTTTCATTTTGATAGTAAGTATTGGATCATCTCGTAGTTTAATCCACAAGATTCGGTCCTTTAAAAGGCGGCAAATTTCATGGTCTAATCTTGTTCTTAAACTGTCACCCAGCGGGAAATTGATTGAAATTCTAACCTGCATTGTGTTGCTTATTGTCTCTCTATCTCCAAAGATTTCTGATAGGTTCTTGCTTCCGATCATGTTTCGAAGTGTTGTCTGTGCCAACAGTCGCGTTGAACCCTGGGCATCACTGACATTCGCCACTGAAATTGTTGCGTTGTAGATCCTGAAATAGACCACTGCATCCACAGTCACTGTTACACTATCCTTCGTTAGCACCTGTACGGAAAATGTTCTGTTTAAGAGACCATAAATAGTATATAAAAAGCATCATTCCATCACAACACACTCTTCCAGTGTATGTTAGCGTCACATTGATTTCATGCGGCCCAGCCATTATTACCTCTTGCGGAGGAACGTCAAACGAGACTGTTCTCAAGTCAATCTTTGAGTATTCATCAATGCATGGTAGGATGAAGATAATACCTAAAGAAAACAAGGTTTGTCAGTGTGTTCAGTGATATGCTGGCGAGTCAAGTATGAGTCAGTGAGACATTCGCCATCGCTGATGACTTGAGACAAAAAAATAACGCTCGAGACTAAATTAAATTATTTAGCTTTTCTTGAATTCTTTCCAAAAGATCTTAACTTTTGCTAAACCGCATTACAAATATCTTCAATTAGTCATCCGTACTTACCAGGCCCCTGCGCTCCTCCTGGGGTAATTCGACCAAGTCGAAAGGTAACCGCTCTTTCATATTCTGCTACGACCTGTGAAAAAGCGATTTCGATCGATTTTAGTGCTCTTGTTCTATATTGTAAAACTCATTTCTAATTCATTTCTACCTTCAAACAAAAGAACAAAGAGAATGGAAAGGTACAAGCGACCACAATGAGTGACAAAACTGTCAAAATCTTTCCACACAATCCGATGTCTCCTTCCTCACTGGCTATAAAACAAAGACATTTATGAGAAATGAAAATAATTATAAATCCCTTCAACAAAACAGTCAGAATGCTAGGCTTTTCATTATGATTTTCATTTTTGCCAGTGAAAGGTATACTGATTATTAGTAATTTAGTGCTTCCTATAAGGAAATTGCCTTAGGACAATCTGAGTATCATTCCAACTTTAAAACATGGAGAACATTTTAGATGGAAAATTCTGCTTTGTCAATTGTCACACTGGTTATAATAAAGAGTTGACTTTGTCTCATGACACCACAAAAAGAAAATATATTTGTCTTTGTGGTGTGACCATTCTCATGTATAGGAAAGATGTAATTAAACTAATATGCGTGTATACATGCATGTGCACTTTTAAAGCGTTTTCTTTTAACATCTTCTTCACATAGTGTGAAATAACATATTTCAAATGTATAACTGTCGCAAGGTTTAGTGCCGGCTTACAATTGCATCTATAGTTGCCGGAAAACGCAAATGAAAACGCTGACACTCGTGCATTGCTGCATGAACAATAATTAGCGGTGAGAATGGTAAATTACGTGCATCACCTCAATTATTTCCCACCATGATTGTTCAAAGATACAACGGAATCAAGGTATCATAAGCTTTGCATCCTCACCTTTGGTATAAGCGGGCATATTGTTGAAATACTTGAAAATAATATTCTTTTTGTTATGAGTATATCTGGATTAGACGCAACAGGTTGCGAGACGCGATTCTTTTGCCTCAAACGCTTGTAAACTAAACTAGCTGACATTTGATAACAATAAATATTTAATGCGAGAAGATATAGCCAAGCTGTCATTGGTTACCTACTTTATCAACCTTTTTTGCCTGGTCATTGTTGATGCATGGCAAAGCAGTTTCCTGTTTGCACGTATATATTTTCTGTGTGATTTAATGTGTATTCAGTTTGGTATTTAGTAGTAATATACAATTGAAAAAGTTTTGAACTCTCCGTGTATGCACGCCCAAGTGAAAACACCCAAGTAGAAAGCAGCCTCTATTTCTTCTCTATTGAAACCTTTCCAATGCGTTGCAAGCTGCAATATTCACTGATTACACAAAACAACTGAATTTCAGATCCTGTTAAAACTATTTTAGAGTATAATCTGGACAAACATGTGTGTGTATTTTTCCAGCCCGTATTGTGCATGAAGGTGTAGCTAGTATGTACTATAAATGTGGATGCCACCTGTTGCTATATATGGAAGTAAGTTCGTCTTGAGTCTAATACTAAATTATCAATGTCTGCATCGATAGAATTGATGTACTGGTAATGAATATATATATAGGTTACCAATTTGTCGAATTAGTATAGTTCAGTTTGTTCAACTTCGTACAAGCACAACACATCCCAGTGCGTATGCATAGTTTTTTAGTGTTGTGCATACATTTAGGTGCCACCTGTTGTTGCTTTCAACGCTTTCTAACAGTTTGATTTCGAAATGAACTAAATGTTCAAAACGTATCTGCATGCAACAACGATACATAGTCATAGACTGTGCAAAAGGCGCCCGGCAGATATTTCTAATAAATTTACTTCTTGCTGTTTGCGTCGAAATGCCACCTAGTATGTCGTATATAACGTTACGTATTTAACTGGTCGTTGCTCAGTTCCATGGCGTCAAATATGCTGGCGCTAATGCTGCAACACGCATCTACGCAAATCTTATAGTATTAATGATATCAACTCAAATACACTAGATTTATCCTACAGTTCAGCTTGCGTGTTCATATTGCGGAGTAGCAGAGAGCTATACTAATAGTTACATGGATTTGGCCACCTGTTGCTATCTTCCTAATGTCAGTTATTGCGCGGCCCACATTTCCCGACTATTATTATAGTATTCCTTTGTCGCAGCCTTTAAAAGCTTATATTTTTGTTTTACCTTATTTGCAATTTGATTTATTAACACTTGGTTTTCAGCCTCAGAAGCCAAAGAGATTTTTGTAATCAGTGCTAACAGTTGAAATAAGCAAGTAAATCCTGGTAAAGAAATACTTAATTTCGATTGATAATAAAAATATATATGCTTTATAACTCACTATAGTTTATAGCACTAATTCGTTAATTGTTTTCCAACTGATTATCTAATTGAGAACAAATTTAATAATCAAAGAATTCGCGAAAAGTTTCATTCGGGTTCCTCCCGGGTTATACTTATTGGAAATACCACAATTTTTCCTGTGTGCCAGGATATCAAATTATGAGAAGCAAATATACCTTGATAGCATTTCATAATCTTTTTTTCGCCTCAAGAAACAAAAATGAACCGCCGCAGTATGCTATTCATTCGTTCTCGCATTGTGGTTTTGCAAAACAAACGCTACAATCATGAGTTAGCATAGCATTTGCTAATTACATTTTTTTTGCAGTGCTATAAGCAATGTCCAAAACAATATAATCTGTAACGAAGTGATAATGTATAATGAACGCTAAAGTGTAGTTTGTTATACCATTATCAGGCATTTGCACTTAGTTTAATTTTATATTTCTAACCATCAGCTTTCAAGGAATGATTGCACACAGAACAAATATTGTAGTAACTAAATATAGCTAATATTCCACTTACTTCCCATGCAGTTTAATTCCTGGAGCATTTTGAAAGTGAAAATTGTCTTCGAAATCAGTAAGGCGTCTGTTCGCTTGTTCACCGCTGTGACGAGCCTTGCGTTAGCGTCCTACAGCAAGCGTTCAAAGTCTTCTGCGGCATCTGACTAACGCATTGTTTGTAAACATTTTTCGGTTTGCCCAGTCAGAGCGCATTACGATAGATCTCAATATGTTCACTGGACTCAATTGAGTTAGGGACGCTAGATGTAAAGGAAAACTATTTTGAACAAAGTAAAAAACAATTGCGCAAGAATAATGGGGTAAAATCTAATTTGACTGCTTGGTGTGTGACGCTGTCAATAATGTGATCACTATGTTCATTTTATTCAGGCCTTACGGTGGATTTTACTCTATATTATTAATACAGTACATTTTGCGATAAATTGTTGATACTTATCACCTCATTTATCACAGTATTCTTCTTCAGCGCATAGGTCAGTATACTTTAAAACAAACTGAAATAAACAAACTAAAAATTACGACTCTTTTTAAACGGAAACAGTTTCTTCTCGTGAGGAATATTGTAGGTACGACAATTGGGCCCGACCGCTCGATTATTCCACATGCTTACTGAAAAATATTGTGCAGAAAGAATTTATATCAGACATTCTCGAAAGCACATAAAATCATCGGGCAAACTAGTGTCTCCTCGCATCAAAAATCAAATGGTCGTCCCATCCTTTGCAATATAAACAATCAGTATCGTCCCTTGCCCTCCACGAGAGCAAATGAAGGTAAACTTAGAAACTTAGAAGAAGGCTAACAATCCCGCTTCGTCAGTAACTATGGCCTACGGTAGGCATTGACCGCACTTTCGCTAAAACGGATAAGAAGATTATCCAATAACAGCGCTGCTCTTTTATCCAATCAGATCTGTGCGCGCGTACATCCAATATATGTGGCCTAAATGACATTCAACATCGTACACAGACTCCTTTGACCGTGGATGCAATTTGAGCAAAACAAATAATCTTTGTCCGCATTGATTCTCGTGCGGTGCGAGGAATGTTGTTGGTTGAAATACAAAATTCACGCCCAGAAACCCTGATTTAACCATGGAAATCAGGCTGAAACTTTACCAATTTGCTTGCCTTTTTTTGGCGTTTGTTAGCGCGGAGGAAGAGCAGAAATTATTAAGCGATCACAATGAATATCAAGTCCTAGAACCGCGAATATTTCTGCCGATTATCGCGCGGAACGTAGAACACTCATTACCGAATTGGCTTGGATATTTAGAGAAGTTGGACTACCCAAAAAAGAGAATTTATTTATGGTACGTTTCCGTTAATACATTTCCCCAGTTGTACTCTTGATATACTTTCTACATAATATACTTTTTAAACTGGTAACTAAGTTAATGACTGAATAATAAGGCTGAAAGCTTTGGTATATTTAATATACCTACCACTCAGTCTTTGATCTACACCAAATTGTTACATATAAGTACATACGTTTTAGAATATAAGTGCGCTGCTTTAAAACATTTGGGGAAAACAAATACGAGTCAATATATCAGAGCCTTCTGTGCGTTTTGAATATGTGACAATGATGCAATTAAGAATATTTGCTCTTAAAAATGTCTAAGGAAATTTTCAGATTTCATTTTCTCAAATCTCCATAGTAATTACAGTTCATACACGTGTCAATCACTGAATGTAGTGGTTAATTAGTTATTACTTGATTGCAGTTGTAAAAAGGGTTGTACAGTGAAATTCAAAAGAGTAATCAAATTTTTATTCAAATTCTATAAAGCTCTCTTTTTTATTCGATCAATTCATAGATATGCCCAAAATATTGTATTACCCTAGGATTAGAAGTGATCATAATGAAGATAAAACATCAAACATACTTCAGACATGGGTGCAGAATGTTCGTGATCTTTACCATGGTATAGATATTGACACAACAAATATTGAGGAGAAATACAGTGATGCAGAAGGAGTTAACCACTGGTCAGAAATGAGATTTAAGCATTTGATTAAGTTAAGACAGGAAGCTTTGGATGAAGCTAGAAGACATTGGGCTGATTATATATTTGTAAGCCATGTTGTGTTGCTGTGTTATTTTATTTCCTGTGTTATTTTATTTCTTAATTTATGGTAGATAGCACTATAATTTAATTGCTAAGATCCAATTAAAATCAGTCAACTTTATACTGATGTATTTTGCTTTACCAAAAGCCCTAACCTAATTCTATATCACTTTTACTGTTTGTTTTGCCTAGTGCATAAAATCCCACCTTCAAAATCTTATAAAACAGAAGATGATTGATTATGATGAAATTGAAAGCAATTTTTACAGAGTTGCATTCTATAAGTTCTGTTTTTTAAAGTTTTTAGATTGTGACATTTATATAACAAATCCAGGAACACTGTGGTCATTGATAGAGCAAAGGAAGTAAGCAAAACAAATTATATATTTCAACTGTTATTACACCAGGATTATAAGACTAACCAGGACTTTTTTAGGACTTTGATATCACCAATGGTACATTCATTTGTTAAAAAATCAGCATTTTCAAACTACTGGTGCGGAAGAAATGAACAGGTAATCTGACCTATAAAATGGAATTATGAATTTTGATGAATTAGGATGTTTATCAAAACCAGCATTTACAAATTTGTTTTCCTGGATTTCCTAGCAACCAAAAAGTTTTAATAAAGAATGTTAATATGCTAATGAGACATGCATAATTACTTCTAAAATTTAAATCATTCAGGAAGCTGTTTTTTTATTTAGTCACATTGTAAAAAGTTTTTTATACTACCGTGATTTTACCCAGGGTTACTATAAGAGAACAGATGAGTACTTACCAATATTAAGACGCCAAAATACTGGTTGCCATGAAGTCGTCATGTTGCATTCTGTCACATTGATTGACTTACGAAGAATTGCAACCACGAAACTTTATTATAACCCTGAAGGAGAAGACTATGATGGCCCTATTGATGATGTCATGGTTTTCGCTCATTCTGTTTCTGAAGCAAGTATGTGTAGACATAGAGTGCTTTTTAAAAATTTACCCAGTTTTGGAAAGCAGGAAAATAATGAACAAATCCACCTTAGCAGTATTTACTTTCTTGAAAAACTGTACATACACACTAACTTGAAAACTTTCCTGAAACTTTCTTGAGAACGTTTTATTCTGAGTAATTTGTGTGATTTGTGAAGTGTCCTTTTTATTTTCTTAAAGATTTAAAATTTTATGTGCTAAACAAAGAAGATTATGGGTATCTTATTGAACCAATGCCTGGAGGCACGACTCTACGGGATTCTCAAATGAAATTCCAACATATCAAATTAGAGTTAATTGGTAAGGAACGGAGATATTTAGTGACTGGGCTTTAGACAAAGGTGCAAATTGAACATAATTTATTTGGGATGTCATTTTGCAGTGGTCATTAATGTATCATCGTCACTTTCATTGGTCACAATGGAAATTTTGCATGAAATTTTGCATGTTCTAAATCTTTAGAGCCGTTAGACTTTTCAACATTATTTCCCTTGATTATTTCCAACAAAGCTGTCTAAACTTATACAAGATATTACAGACTGTAATACAGTAGACCAGCAAAACAGTATACATTATTGCACAGACTGATCCACATATATTTAGTCTGACGTAAAAAATCGTTTATATTACATAGTTGATGAGATTGAAATGGCAGAAAGCGCTTATGTTCCCGTGAAATATCCAGTTCCTGATAAAGCTGGATTTGATGAGGTAATGTTAGGAACACAAGAATAACGTGGGCTAACGTGGTATACCAAAGTATGGGTAATGGTTATATAAGGCGCAGCTGTTTATGCCAGACAGAACTTGAACTTCTTGTTGTCAGCTGCATAGTTGTGCATTGTCCGAGATGAAAGTATTTACAAAGTCCCGACGTACATGAGTGTGACTTTTATATGGAAAATATACCTTCTGAGTTCTGAAGTGTGGCAATCTGCATGACCCTGATTAAACTATCTAGGCTTTCCATATCTGAGTTCCCAATCATGACCAACTCTGAGTCAAGTCTTGTCGAGTTATTTCTATTCTAGTCTAGTTTAGTCTAGTGTCTTCATCAGCTCTCAAGTACTGCCGCTCGATCGGAAAGTCGAACTTTTGTCAAAAAAAATTTGAAATAAGAAATGAGTGATTTTAATATCTGTTGACGTTGTAAACCTCTTATGTTTCAGGTGTTCGTAATCAATCTGGCTCGTCGTCCAGATCGGCGAAAAAAGATGAAGCTATCTCTCGATTTGCTTGGAATCAATGGAACTTTTATTGATGGTTATGATGGCAAGTAAGAAATAGTCTTATTCTTTTCACAACTCATGGACGCATTCAGCATCGATACTCAATGACAATGTTGATTTTTAAAGGCGAGTATCTGACGAGGAAATTGATAATCTTGGTATTAAAGTTCTTGATGGTTATGCAGATCCATTCCATGGCAGGTAATTACAGAAACGATAATTAAGTTATATCTTTCTCCGACTAAGGGGCTGTTCCCATGAGCCCGGTTACCGAGATTTAACGAAGCGTAAACTGGACTTTGAGGTATTGAAATGAGTAAATAACACGATTCTGGTAGTCGTGTAGTCATCCTAACAATAGTATGTTATTGTTCTGTTTCAAAAAGACTTTTTTCAATACCTCAAAGTCCTTTTACGCTTCGTTAAATCTTGGTAACCGCTCTCATGTGAACAGCCCCTAAACTTTCCATTGTAAGGGTGGAGAAACCAGTTCATAAACATCAGTGTCACATAAACATCAATGGCCACAGAAATAGCGGAGAATTTTCCGATACGCGATACTCGCGGGGACACAAACTTAAAGATATAGTGTCATATGATGATAAGGGTGTATAGGATAGGATAGGGCTGAGCAAATGAGGGTAGCGAAGACGCGTGGAGGGAGGGAGGAGAGAGGGAGGTGGGTGAACAAGACTGAGTAAACGCGGGGAAAGGATGATGGAAATATAGCATCAAATGTGGTATAACAACTGCCTAAAATAGACACTTCTCTATGCTAAGTTGTTTGAAGACGCTGCCACGCTGCTCCGTGGTTATGATGGAAATATATACTTTAATTCTAAACACGTTTCTGACACGATTTTTTCCGTTGTAGGCCTGTAACAAAGGGCGAAATTGGTTGTTTTATGAGTCATTTTCTACTGTGGGAGAAGGTACGTTGCAAGATTGATTAAATTCTAGAGACTTTTAACATTACATGGCGTGAACCAAATTTATTTTCAGATGGTGAGAGAAAATTTGCAAGTTGTTATGTTTTTGGAGGACGACATCAGATTTGAGCCCGACTTTCGAAAAAAAGTTGAAGATCTCATGTCTGAAGCAGAACAGCTTGAGTGGGATTTCATGTAAGATTGATATTATGCTGCGCTGAGCTATATTGATTGCTATCAGTTTTGAATTGTGCTTTCACGCAAGTTAGTATATGTCATACTTTAGTAATGTAGTCAATGATCAAGATTATTTAGTGATATATCTCAACATGAGTCGTTTTTTAGGTATCTTGGACGAAAGTTAGTGAACGAACAGGCTCAAGACAAACGGATACCAGGAATTGATCATTTAGTGAGGCCTGGTTACTCCTGGTGGACTTTGGGATACGTAATAACTTTAGAAGGGGCGAAAAAATTGTTGGCTCCAAATCCTTTGCAAAGATTTGTTCCTGTTGATGAATACATACCAATCATGTTTGATGATCATCCAGAGTAAGTCACTAAAGAAAACCTAGAATTGAGGGACTGTTCATTAAGAAATACAGGGGGGGATGGCTAATTGCTCTAATTGGCAACCTCGCTGTTCAGGGGCAGTGTAGCCACGGGTAGCTCAGGTTCCACCCCCCTCCCTTTACGCCTATCATGCCTCAGTCGTTTCTGACATTTTTTTCATGAAACCAGGGAATCGGAAGAAAGCTTCTTCCGCGCTTTTTTTGTAGTTTAAAACAGATTCATTGCATGCTTGGTGTTTTCTGATACAAACACCCTTATGCACAAACTAACGTTGTCATTTCAGGAAAGATTGGGTTGCAAGGTTTGAAGTTAGAAATCTTAATGCTCTCTCAGCTTCGCCATACGTTCTTTACCCAACACATTATATTGGTGACGAAGGATATTTCAGTGACACAGAGACCTCAACCTTTGCACCACGATCCAATAAGACTAAAACGGGAGGCCAAGGTAAAGCACCTGCTCCGAAAGTTGAACTGTAACAGTAGAAGAGGGGTTGTCTAGGGTTATGCATGGTCATCTCATGTGCAATAAAATAAGGTCATGCTATTCTCTAAGAAAACTACTGTAGGAAATATTGTTTGGGGGTAATTTTTCCTTCGGACAAAAATCATTGCTTCTCAGTGATCTTTTTCAAAGCTTGGTTAGCCTGGAAAAACTATTTTTTGTTTCTCGAGCATGTTTTCCAACGAGAGTGGAAATGCAGGAGAACAAGATATAGGGACAGAACTTGATCGTGAGTAATATAGGAAATTAAAAATATTTTTAAATATTTTAATACAATACGAAGGCGCTCAAAATTAAAGGATTTATGAAATTTATTAAGCTTCAAATATTTAAAAATAATGCTTAGGGTTAAAATTAATTTTTTTAAAAAATAAATTACTTGCGTATATTTTGCTAGAATTGTCCACAAATCCTTTAGTACAGTTTATGTTCTGAGAAAATCCTTTTTGAATGTTTCATAATCGTTGTTCTGTACGGACTGACGCAGTTTCTTGAAAAAACTGAAGTACTGGTGAAAGTTGTGTCTGCAAAAGATGAAGCGAGACAAAGTGGGTTATAAATGTTACTCTTCTCGAGAGTAGATTTTGTTTTGGTTACCGTTTTTTATATGGGCAGATTTGGCATTTGCCTAAAAAATACTCGCAGGACAGGCAATACAGGTAACCGACTAATAACATTTGAATCATGATAAAAAAAATCTATAACAGAATTAAGAATAGACCTTTTGCATTATAGACTGTTGTGATTGTTGCATTTCCTTGCATAGATCAAAAAGTAGTCTATAATGCAAAAGGTCTATTGAGACCTTTTCTACTTACATCATAAGCAAAACTTGAGCGAGCATTTCCTTTGTTTCCAGTAAATGATAAATATAAGCTCGAGTATGATTGGTGCAGGAATAACAAGAACAACCAATAACGAGCGAGGAGAAGTCTTCTTTATATCTAATTAAATACACGAACCAAAATCAGGAGGTCTTTATTACCATGTAAATGAGCGTGAAACTAGTTTAAGTCGCTAAACTAGTAATAAAGCTTGCGTTTAATTTCAAAATCCCGTTAGAATGGTTTATCGGAGCCAGAGGCTGACTCGTTTATAGAATAAAGGCTGCTTTCCACTTACGCGGTTTTTATACGCACGTACATTTACGGAAAATTTTAAATGCTTTTAAATTTTTATTATTTCAACATCTAGGTCAACTAAAGCCTAATAAAATATGCAGAAAGCTAAGTTCCTTCGATTTATTCACTTTGTTGTTTCAAAGGTAACATGTGTAAGCATTTAGACTTTTACGTGCGTGTACGTGCGTATAAAAAACGCGTAAGTGGAAAACAGCCTTTAGGGTATAAATGTGTACCTAATATTAGAAACATTTATTTCGTAACGGGTCTTTTTATCGTCATCTGTTTTTTCTTCGTTATTTGGCTTTTGAATTTGAGTAGTTTGGCGTGTTTCTGAATCACCAGTTTCATAATTTAACGCGGGTTTACATCTTTTACTGCCACATTGAAGATTCAATGCACAGTCGCGTTGCGTTGACACGTATGCAAAACTAAAAAAGTAAAAAAATAATATACCTATTAATAGTCAAATAGGCATGAACTGTTGCTTCTGAACTTATTCACCGCCATGGCTTAGTCGCATTGCTGTAAATACAGCTAAAAAAAATTAAGTTTCGATATCTCAATTTTTACCTACTGTCGAAGACATCGACGCCACATTCAAATGCAGAGAAAACCTGCTCTAAATAAAAAGATTTAGACAAAATAAGATCTGAGTTCAACACCTTTTGATTGCATGAATTAATGCTTTTGATTTACAGAAATTCGGTCTTTCTATTCTATTCTTTCTATTGTTTTTTGTCAACCAAAAAATTTCGTCTGTATTGTTAATATACCTGGTGAAATTGGTCCGTGGAAAAAACGTGGTCTGTCATTTGGGATGTTTTTCTAAAAATAGAAGTATATATTCATCCAGACCAGCCTCGTACCCAGGCGTCTTTTGCTTAAAATTAATTCAATCTTTTAGTACTAGCTAAATATAATACTACCAGTGAACTCTATACAACAGTTTGTTTACAGTTCAATGAGTACTACAAGCACAGAGGAGGACATCTACTCCACTTTTGCGCGAGGCCAAGTTCCAGCAAAGATTTATATCAAATTTTAAAGCCTTGCATCGAGAACGAGTTTTAGCGTCGGCGGTGGAATTGCACTTACTAGACATTCCTTCAAATGTTGTTCCCAGTTTGGTGAATGTGGATCAATTCCTTCCACAATGAAACCTACGCGAGATCAATATAGGATGCGTTAGCCCAAGCCTGCTAGATGTTTCACGAAAATTTCTCATCAGAGTGGAAACTTTTGAAGGTTAAATTTGAGTCTTGATGTGCAGTTCTAGTTAATGTACCTGCTATATCCCTTTTTGATGTTTGTACCGCTGACCGGTTTTTTTCTATTTCACAATCACCTCCCTCAACAGAGCCAAAAATTTCTATTGATTTCAATTCCTCATTGCTTTTTTTACATTCTAATATTTCATCCAGGAATTTTAATGTCCGATCAACAGATTTTTTATTTCTTTTACTAGTTTGGCCACTTGGTATACTATCACACAAACATTGTGCAATGTCTGGTTTAAATGATGTTAAAATCTTTATGAAATGATCCACATTTATCTAAAAAAAGAAAATTATTATATCAAATGCAAAATAGGAGAATTACATTATTTGTGTGTAATATTTGTCTTCCTGTTGAAGTTTTTTACCTTCTTTCTACCACCACTATTCCAAACTGAAATATTTTTTTCCTCATTGTAGGAACACTGCATTTCTTGCACTGGGTCATATACTGAACAATAGACAAACTGCTTTTTCTGCAAAAATAACAGATTCAATAGTTTTGTTTATATGCAAGAAAAAGTTCAATATTAAATTGCAAAGTTCAAAAATTTTATTTATTTCACACAACCTTTAAGCCACAAAACTCAGCAAACCCTTTTTTATAAGTGTGTAACACATCAGGTCCAGGGTATTGAAATCTGGCATAAAAACAGATTTACTTAATATAAATATGTCATTTGTTTGTTTGTGGCTATGCCACAGAAAATTTCTAGCTTTGGGAGTTGGGACTGTTAACCTGGGTTTTTCAGTATATACATCTAGCTTGTTATTGATTTTGTGTGGCATTTCAAACAAATATTTCTGTTGTTATCACCATGCTTCATACCCAAACATTCTACATCCACCTACAATAAGACAATCATTCCTGAAAGTGCTATATTCTTGTTTGGTTTATATATTAGTGATTCTTGTATTGAGTGAACATCCATCACTAAACCTCAGGTATTTTCATATTCCAGTTAGACTTACAATGTTGGCAGTGTTATGTGGACTCCTGAGTAACCATCAATAAAATGATCTACCAATTCATTGGTCAAATGTGGTGCTGCACCACCACGAGTATACAACATACATGCTGGAGTGTCAACATCTTGTCTCTCATCATTATTAAATTGGATTTTACCATAACGGCCACCAGCTACCAAATTAACCTCAATATATTCCATAATGTGTATTGTCTTTAATAAGTGGGCAAAATTCATTTCATATGAAGGTGCGTGTTTCTTTGAAAATCGCGCGTGTCATCACGAAATTATCCGTGCATGTTTGAAAATCCCGCGTGAACGTGCGTTGCGTCACCCGCTCATAAAAACTTTATCTAACGCTGCCTGCCGCTTCAAAACGTTGCTGTTTTCAATAAAATTTTCAACCAAAGTAATCCAAAATAATCTTTGCCATCCTAGACTTCTGAGGGACTATTTTGGGCTAAAAAGAAAGAAGAGATATCATATAATCAAAAATCGGTTGAAAACAGTTTGTATATAATATTTTTGGCAACGAAATTTAAAAAAGTTTCGAGGTCATTCGTTGAGGTACAACGTTAATTGTCGAAAGCGTCATTGAGTTTGACAGTTCAACGATTTTGGCGTCTTGAAGGCACTGGTTAGGACGCTTAAATTTCCTTCATGACTACCTCTTCAGAATGTCGGATCGTGTTGGACTAAAACCGAAGGATAATGCCAGTGCGAAAAAGTTCTCGTCTCTTAACTTAAACCAAACGTACAAAGGAACAAAGGTTGAACCGAAAGCTAGTACAGGTGAATATGAACTTGGTTGTGTTTTTCTCTGATTCTTTTAGAATTGTTACAGCTTTTAAAGCATTAGGATATCGTTGGGTTACTTTCTGTGCAAATTTGAGAACTTTGGAAGTTCTTTGCATTGTATAAGCTGTTCAACTTAAAAATATTTTGCGGCTGTTTTCAATTGTCATCTTGTCAACCGGTATTGTGAAAATTATTGAATTGCGTTTCTTTGTTTGCAAGGAGCTCCAAGACATGGCCTTCAAAGTTTGGGAAAAGTGGCATCGACTCGGCGAATGCCACCGCCAGCAAATTTACCCTCTTTGAAAAGCGAAAACTTAGGAAACGACCCCACTGTAGCGCTTGTCCCAAGCGGTGGCGGAGGATGGGGAAGCGGGAAGGAAACGAATGCAACAACTACAACAAACAAGAATGCAACTCAAGGACAGGCTACTGTTGCTCAGCCGCAAGTACAGCAGCCATCGAAGCCTACAGACACATCACAGAAAACAACGACAGGACAACAGATAAATGCAGGGAAGGAAACTACTACAAACCAAACTTCGGCTTCTACAAAGACGTGGGCAAGCAACAGCTCATCAAGCGTGGCTGGTGGTCAAGGTAATGCTTTTGTTGTAATTGCACGCTAGCTAGTGTATTTCAGCTTACTATCTCCATTTTATTTTGCAATTCGTATGCAGAGGAAAATATGTCGATTATGCATATATTTTGTTGCTAAGTTTAATATATTTCTTCCCTCCAAAAATGACTCTTTCCAATCTGTGCTTCCAGCAAGAGGTAATGCTAATTATCAAACATTTAGCAACTGGGAAAACAAAATATTTTGAAGCCAATCAAAAAAGATACCTTATTGCAAGATTGTTTTGCTTGCCACAGTTTCCATTTCTTATGGATTTATGATGAACTGTATTCTCATTTACCCCACAACCACATGTATTTGAATGTCCCTATCTTATGCCTGTTTATTACAAAATATTTGGTTGATGCATCAATTGTTTGAGAGAAATAGTAATATTTTGCATAAGGTAGAAAACACAAATTATAAGATAAATAATTATTTGGTATAGCAGGTTGCAAAGTACATTATTCCATTGTCATTGTTGGCCATGGATCCATTCTGCCAAACATTCTTCAAAATTTGCAGTCACCCTTGGACCCTTGCCAAAGCAAGAATACTAGCAATTGCATGTGTTTGTCTTTCCTAAATGAAAATAAGAGAATCATATGTTAGTAAGTTTTTAAAATAGAGTGGTAGCTGGTTATATTTGGTATCCTAATTTGATCATATCCTATAAAAAGGATATTTCAGGAGGGAGAATATTAATCGGATGCTATTGGTTGTACCAATACCAACAAAGCTAAACAAATACTAACAGTAGCAAGTAAATAAATTATTTGCAAATGTGTAATGTCTGGATCACAATATCTCCCAGTAATTGAGTTCAATATGTGTACTTGGTTTGACAGTTTTCCTTAAACACGCGAAGGCAAACGTAATATCAGTTGTTCATACATAATCACACTATTATTTGTTTTTTGCTATCAGGTTATTTTCTATATGCATGCTCATTGCAAGAGATTAACATTCACTTGTCGTTTTTATAGAGAGGACCTCCTATCCCCATCAGTCGCAGTATTTCAATCAGGAATTCCCAACATTAGGTGGTGGCAACTCCAAAGACAAGTTGCCACAGGAGGAAAGGGCTTCTCACCATCCATATGGGCAACCTCCAAGAAATATGCGTGAGTAGACAATTAAATTTATGCCAGGAGACACATAACAATATAATTTAGATGTTTGTAATATTCCAATGTTTTTGTTTTCGTAACTGTTATTTTCTAATACCTTGACCCTTTATATTTTCAGACGAACCTCATTGGATGGACAAGGGTGGTTCAGGTAAGCTAGTTACATACATATTGCAACTTATAACATTCCAGGGACACACACAGCTAAAATGCTGTCAAAGATATGGGACAATGTTTGCTGCTTCCCACAAATGTTGTTATCTAGTTAAAGCAATGTGTTGATAAGAGCCATACATGTTTGTTCAGTATTACGTGCACAATGCTGTCTCATCAACTTGGATCTGTGTAAAATAACATATTCTGCACAGAGACTAGCTGAAACTGGTAATGAAATCATTCAGTAGTTCCTTCTGTACATACTTTAAAGAACACATGTAGTAGACAAATGAGTACAATTACAATATAAAATATTTGTTCTACCACATGATGTTGAAGTAATTATTTACTCTCTGTATAAATATTATAAGCATTCCACATGTTATTATAATGATCTGATCTTATTTCTTTCTTAGGTCCTCCCCCAAAACCACCACTTGGCATGTACAATGGGCCCTCATACCCAGGCCCAGCTCAACGACCAGGATACAGACCACAGGTAGAGTATTTAGCCAAGACTTAAGAATTATAACCTTTGCCTAAGCAGAATGCATTGGACATAAAGCATGATAACATGTTCTTTGGTTTTATCTTTAGATGCATCATAAAGATGGTCATCCAGTGAACAACCACCATCAAGACTTTCCATACATGGGGCAGTCTCGACCTGCCAACTATGCTAGTCATCCTGCTGCTTCTCAGAGGTAAAGTAGAATACGAATATTGCAATGTTCATGATTGCAATTCTCATCTCTTCATGTCTGTGATTTACATTGCAATTAACCACAATATTTTGTATGTAGAGGGCATCCAGGATCACGAATTACTGGTTCAGTGGCACCAAAACATGCCATTAAACTAGAGGACTCGCCAAGTGGCTATGTTCGGCCATCAATTGTGAAGGAAGAAGAAATTCGTGCTATGGATGCTGAGGATGTGGATGATGGTGGTTGGGCTGGTGCTCAAGAAGAGATTGACTATTCTGTAAAATTAAACTTTGATGATGATGAACCACCATCTCCAGTTGGAAATGATAGTGTTTCCTATAGGCAAAACAAGCCAACTGGTCCCCCCAGGAGAGAAAAGCAGCAAGGAGAGAGGGTTATGAATGGAGATCTTGGCAGAACACAAGTATGTTATATTTAAAGCTAAGTAAATATTGGTTTATTAGATGTATGTCTCATATTAAAGACAGCTATGTGATGAGTAATAACAAAAATTTATTTTCCTAAGACAAACGTACTTCAAAATTTATCAAAACAAATCATTCAGTTTGAAGTATCATATTTTTTAGCAGTGTAAATATCAATCATTTGCAATAAATTTCCAGGTTGATGGTAAACGACTAGCGGAACCAAGACATGCGTGGGCAGCAGCTCCTACTGACAATCTCCAACAACAAAGGAGTGATCAAGCCAAACAAGAACTATATAATGTACAGAGGTCGTGGCCACCTCATCAATATCCACCGCTACAACAGAGAAATGCGTATGGAATGGGACCACCACCCGGCCCTCCTAATACTGCTGTTGGAAGGCCGCAATTATTCGATGAAAATCGAACTGGTATGTAATTTCAAACTGGATTTGGCTGGCAAATTCTGCCTGTGCTATTTCAATACGCGGAGTTAAATAAGGATACGTTTCACATACGTTTTACATGACTGTTCATTATGAAAATTAGATTTATATTTCTACCGTTCCTTTGTCTTTCCCATTTCGTAGGCCCAAGCAGTGGCAAACAACAAACAGTTGAGCGAAATATTTCGATCGAACAGGCAAGGCAACGTAAACAGAACGAGGAAGATGAGAGGAAACGACATCAAGAAGCTGCTTCGCGTGAAAAATTAAGGCTTTTGGATGCAAGAACTCGTCCAGTTAACATATCAGCACACGAGTCGTCTGTTCGAGATCAAGCCGGTGAGCTTAAGAAATATAAAAAATTTGCCAACAGAATTTTAGTTACTCTTGTCCAAGCGAATTTTCGAGTGCGACTTACGGTGGATTTTATCCTTGAGCGCTAAAAATTGAGCATTATCGCTAAAACAATGTAATAGAATTTATATTATTCCATCACGTAAACTTTACAACAAAATAACTCTTTTCTTTCTCAGGTCCTCGTTCTCCAGTATCTCCTGCTGGAAGTGATACACCGGTTCGGAGAATCATGCGACGAAAAGATAGTGGAAGCATTGGAGATGATGATAGCAGCAGTGTGAAGTCTGTTGAGAGTGTCGGTAAAGAGGAGAAAAAGATTACAGAAATCAAAAGTCAAGTCAACAAGCCCCGAGAATTACGTAAGTCATCGTCGAGTGAATTGCAAGAAAATGAAAGTAAGTTTCCTGTTGTTAAAAAGAATGAAGATGAAAGGACAGCTCGTGATGTGGAGAAAAAAGAGAATGTTGAGCGAAAGTCTTCTCTTAATAAAGATGCAAAGGGAACCGCGGTGGAAAAGGCCTTGATTCCTAGAGACGTGGAATCCCTGCGTCCAAAGTATGCGGACAACAAAATGGAACCAAAATTGCTGGCAGAAAGTGGAAAAGATACGAAGCAGCTCGCGGACGTTCAAGAAAAAAGACCTGAGAGAAAAAGTAGCGAAAGTAAACCTAGAAGTGATGAGGCATCATTTAAAACGAAAAGTCGCGTCGAAACAGACGAATTGCAAGATAAAGGTCACTATGAAAGTAGAAAAGAAAATTTGGACAAACAAGGGAGTCGTCTTAGCAGTAAAAATGAACGTGGTAGTAGTGAGTCTGTACGAAGTAGAGATAGCGTCGAGAAACGAAAAGAAGATCGAAGACGACCTGATGATATCAAGAGGAAGCGAGATGACTTCGAGAGAAATGAGCCGTTGAACGAGCATCGTGATCGTGGTTTAAACAAAGATCGTATGTATTCCAGTCGAGGACGACCACCAGTAGGAACAAAAAGTCATCTCCGTGGTCATCCAAAATCATACAGCTCCGGAAGAGTGCATCGACCACGAAACGAGTCGAAAGAATATGTTGATAATGAGGTGAAAACAATTGCTGCTGAAGAGAAGGGTAAAATGAGCGAGAAAACGGAGGAGAGACATTGGCCTGGCAGTGATCAGCGGAGACGTGACGATCGGGGACAGTTTGACGGAGAAAGGCAAAAGCCTAGCAGTGAAAGGCCAAAACCTGGCGGTGATCAACGTCAGCTGGATGGTAGTAGACGACAAAGGGATGGTGATAGACGACAACAGCGAGATAGCGATAAGCGACAAGATGATAGACGACAACACGATGAAAGGCGACAACAGGATGATAAGCGACAAGATGAGAGGCGACAACATGATGATAAGCGACAAGATGAGAGGCGACAACATGATGATAAGCGACAAGATGAGAGGCGACAACACGATGACAGGCGACAACACGATGATAAGCGACAAGATGAGAGGCGACAGCAAGACGGTAGGCGACAAGCAAATGTAGATAAGCATCAAAGAGATGGAGATAGACGAGACAGAGAGAAAAGGGATTCGGCGGAAGATAGGAACCAAAATGATAATCGGAGAAAAGAGAACCCAGACTCGCGATTTTACAATAGCCAAAAGCGAAACGAAAAAGATTTGAGGGACGACCGAACGCAATATAAAGGTTCCGGACGGTTCCCACAAAGAGGCCCGACAGATCGTGCTGAAAGATTCCGTGATAAAACAAGGAACAGAGGAGGGTTTGGTGTCCCTCCGAAAAAGCGTGAGAATGAAGAAAAGTCTAAAGACGAGAATGAGTATGAGAAAACAAAGCCTGTATCTTCTCGAACAGATTCCAAGAAAGGCGAAGAGCAACCCAATAGTATATCAGAAAAAGGGAGAGCGAATGAAATTGAGGACTGGGATAATTCTGAAGTGAAAGAAGTGTCTAAAGAAGCCATAGTTGATAGCTCTGATCTGTCGAAGAAATCGACAGCGGGAGGTGAAATCAAGTCTTCTACCTTGAAGGATTCTGGTGGTGGTAAAAATTCTGTCTCGAGAGATGTAGAGGATTCAAGCAGTTCGGTAACTGAGGTAAAGAAACAGTATGACAACAAAGAGCACAAAGCTCTCACTGTACCGCCAGTGAAGGGTAACCAACATGAACCCAAGGCTGGTGAACGACGTGAACGTATAGCGGCGCCCGACAGAGACACCAAGGAAGTGTACAAAAACCGAAACACCTCCAAAACTGATCCTGGTGACACCAGGCGACGTGAGTCAGAGACAAACAGCGAGAGTCGCCGAAAACAAGATCCAAAATTAGATAATAAACGACCCCGTCCACGTGACGATATACGTCGTGAACCAACGAAGAAAAATGATGATCGCAAGCCCACAACTGGAGTAACTGGTGAACATTTAGATATTGACAAAGATTCGAAGCAAAGGGAGCGGAAAGTTGTGCGGGATTCGGAATCAAGGTTCGATGAACGACGAGATCAAAAAGAGTATCGCGTTTCTGATAGAGGAAGCCGACGTGATAACACGTCTTATCGAAAAGATCAGCGCAGCGAGCGAACTGGTTTTGGGGAGCGTGCCGATCGTGGTGAACGTACAGAAGCTAGAGATCGTCGAGATCCTAAGGAACACGGCGAACGAACGGATCGTCGGAATCGTACGGATCAAAGAGATCGAGAACATTTTTCTGGCGGCACTGACGTACGTCATCGTGTTGGTAAACATGAACAAACACTACCAAGGAATAAGGAAGCAGTAGAATCGAATTCTGATGGACACAACAAACCTGATATCAAACAGGATGATCAACAGAAGGACAATCAATTGAATAATTCGCTACACGAGGATGAAATTGCTACTAAAGATAGTGGAAAAACTGAGAAACATGATGATTTTTCCTCCAACAACAAGCTATTAGGTAGATTCAGTCAAGGCTCTGTCAGCCCTGTGGGAGAACGTCGGCGGTACAATGAATCTCGTCGAGGTGGTCCTTCATTGAGACGCGGCGGCCGTGGTGGAACACGCGGGACACGTGGTCGTGGACGATTGCGAGATGGTAGTAGATCTGTAGGAAGGAGTAGTATAACATCAAAAGAAGATGATGAAAATGATTCTGAGGATTTCCACAGCGCTCATTCATCTGTTGATTCTGACGGGTCTGATTCTGAGGAGGTATTTGATAGAGATGAAAAACGTAAGGATGGCAGCAGGCCAGCCCGGTCATACCCTTCAAGTAGCCGAACAAGAGGGACATACAGCTCTCGTGGAAGAGGAAGGGGAAGTTTACAGTCAACTCGAAGTAGCCCGCGAAAACACGTCGAGAAACCGCCTCGTTTTCAAAGACAAGATCAAGCTAGAAGTGCTAGCAGAGGTCGAGGGAAAAGCAGTCGTGGAGGATTTTCTTCGAAAGAAAACTGGGATGAAAACAATGCAAGAAGTAAAGATGGCAGAGCTTCAGATGAAGGACCTTTACCGAAGAAACGTCAGCCGGAATCATCGTATTCAAATCAAAAAGATTCCGATGGCGGATATAAAGGACGTAAGCCAATTCGTGGTGGTCAATCGGGTAACAGGACGTCTTTTTTAGCTAAAAAGCAGCAGGAAGTAGTTGCGGGTTCTTCTAGGAAAGGAGGTGTGCGGTTTGGCGCTAAGTCGACCATTCCTGCTGCTTTAACTACACACGGTCGTCGGGCAAAGAACGAAATTGCGCCAGCGGATGGCGATGAAAATATGGAACCTCCTAAAAAGAACCCAAGACGTACTGAGCCTCAAAAAACTGGAATTGAACATATTGATTTGAGTAACATTGCTGGCTTTATTGATATTGATGATATAGCACAGCCCGCAAGTGAGGTGGAACCTGCGTCACCACAAAGTGATTTTGTGGAAGTTAAATCAAAGAGAACCCAAAAGGAACAGAGGGAAAGAGCACGAGAAGAGGAAGATAGAAAGCGACGTGAAAATGATAAAATTATGCAGGACGCAATGATGAAGCCAAAAACAATTAAATCAACTTCACAGAACAAGCAGTACACAACGTCCAAACCACCTCGGTTTACAAGGAACAACGGATTGCCAATGTCAACGCTTCCTGGTGGAAATACGCCGCCCAGAGGTGTAACTCCTGTTGCTAGTCCCGAAAACAGTTCAATCGCCGTCCTGTCTTCTGAAAATGTCGAACAGAAGCGCGCCTCTCCTTTAATGTTAGAAAAGCCAAGCTCTCCCCCGCCCCCTCCGATGTTTAATGCATGGACCAAGCCACTTTCTATCACGCCTGCTAAGCCACCTAATGAACCATCAATAGATTTATCAAGAACCGTACAACCCGATCCCTTGGCTGTTGGGAGTGGTAAGCCCCAGAGAGCTGGTGGTACGCATCAGAAAGCAGAAGAACCTGAGTTGCAAATACAAGTAACCCTCCCCGACACTTTTCAAGCTCCTCCTGGCGAACGCGACATTGATTCTCGGAGTACGGAATCTCGGATATTCTCCAGAGTTGGCAAAACTGATGGAGGAGAGTCCAATGTTGACAGTTCTTTGAAAAAAACAAGTGATGGAGCTAGTGTGGAGCAAGCAGAAAATAAAGAGATAGGTGAAATATCCTCAACGGGTCACAAGACACAGAAAGAGGATACAAAGATGAATGCACAAAATATAAAAGCCACGGAGTCCAGGGATAAGAATTCCAGTATAGACAGTGATAAACGGCAATCCACTGGAAACAATTGGAAGCCTGGACGCCCGCCAAGATTCGAGAAAAATGGCCAAACAAAACGCAACACAGATGTTAAAAAATTTAAAACCGATGCCAAAGACACAGATGGCGATTCAAAGACACAACAAGTTCTTGCTGATACAGACAAGCCACCGAAAGAGGTAAAAATCGTGCTTTATTCCTTTCAGTCCATAAAATTTAGTTGCTGTTTACCTTTATATACATTCCCGGGTTTTTTTTCAATGTTAAACAAAAAAACATACCGTTTGATATTTTTTCTTTTAGAAAAATGATAGTAGACCTCGTAGTTCTTCGCGTCCCCGTGATATGAGCAAGATGCATAAGGCAAAGCCTCAAGTAAAAACTTCCAAATCACAAAACTCTGATGAGAATAGAGACCCAAATGAAAGAAACGCTCAGGTATTTTCCAGTGGCTTTTTATAACTACGAGTATAGGTTTTTAAAGGTTTTTAAAGGTTTTGTATAGGTCTTTAAAGCCTAGATTATACGTCGCATTCTGGTCGCGTCGAATGCAATTCAAACAACAGATAATGAGATGATGAACCTGATTGAGCTTCATTGCATTCGATGCGATCAAGATCCGACGTTTAACCTAGGCCTAAAAAAAGTCCCACTGTTGAAGTCAGATATATTTCATCAGCATATTTCAACTTACAGGATAAAACAGGGGATGAAGGACAGCCGAATATGAATAAACGTGATTCTGTTGAGCTCGATGTTCATTCGATGAGCGAATCCCTTCTCGATGAAACTCCTCTTGGTGTGCACATGGTGGAAACTTCAAAAGCAGGATCGGGAAATCCGGCAATGGCAAAGATGAAGACTGAGGATGATATTAAGATGGATTATGAAATGCATGAAAAAATGGTTGCGGCGAAAAAAGCTTGGGATCACAGTGTATCTTCATCTGTATCAATACAGACATCCCAGTGGAAAACATCGGTCACAGACGACGAGAATACAGAGTCAACAGAGGTTTCAGTTGTTGATCAAATCCCTAGGCCCTCGCCTGAACCCGAGGAAAGTTCTGAACCTCTTGTCACGACCCCCAGGTTAAAGAAACCACCAGGTGGTGAGCAACAGAATGTGTGTAAAGTAAAGCCACAGCAGCAGCAACAACCTGTGAAACCACAACCAGTTCCTACCGAGGTAACAGAGGAATACCCAAGCTCGAACGTCAGAACAGTGTTGGAAAGTCAAGCGCCCGCTAGTTACTCCGTGCAAGGACATCCCGCTATCTTTACTTCAAAACCTACGCAAGGGTATACTTATTCCTTCGAGCAACAAGCACTTGTCCCAATCAGCCATCAGTATGTTCAAACAGATATGTCAAGTATTCAACAACACGGAACGCCTGTACGACCAGTAACGCAAACATTACATGCCCCATCGCAATCTCCTCCGCAACGCGCGTCAACTTACCCGCAAGGACAATCGGTCAGTACACCATCACCACTCTCCCATCAACCCTTGATGCAACAAGATACCTATCGACCATTGATGCAAGCCTTGTATTCAACAAATACATTTGCGGGTAATCAATATTTCCCTATATCGGTGGTAAGACCGACCGCTCCCCAGTTTCAAGCAACTATCAACGATGATATCAATAATCCCATGTACACAATACAAGCACCAAAACCTCAGAACCAAAGCCACGGCTACGAGGCAGCAGTTCCAGCCGCCCAGCAAGTTTTTTTACCCGTTGAGCAGCAACAATATTCGGAATACGTGCAATCACAACGACAACACCCAGTGGGATTTTACAGTGATAACCCAAATCAGACCAGTGTCAGTGGTATGCCAGCGCATGTACAAAAATCTGTGGCATTTCCTCCAAATGATAAGCAGGTCCAACCTCAACGTGACGGTCATACACCCTCAGGAAGACAAGAACAGCAGCAAGCATACGCGCCTCAAGGACAATCTGAGATGTCGAAACACGTTAATGCTAAGCCATTTCAACCTCCATCAAGCAGCCCTTCAGGAAGTGTTGCACATCCAATAGCGCCCAATGTTCGCCAAGTTCCAACAGCTTCCGGACAAAATACCCTAACGTCGGCTTATCATGTGAATAACTCGGTATTGTCGATGCATACCACGGGTGTTGGAGCATTACCAGGCAGTGTATCACCCAGCGGTCACACAGGGACATCACCGGTCGTAACTCAAGCTCATACATTACCAGTTTCCCGGTTGAATTTCCATCATTTCCGTCCCGCTGTAGGATCGTTTCCTCGTCAAGTGCAACTCCCTGTACAGCAACTCGCAACGGCCACCTACCCTACAGGTATCGCATACAGAGCCCCCGTTGCTACATACCCTGCCACTACAAGTGTTGCCAACCAACCTGGCGTACTTGTGCATAAGCCAGCGCCGATAATGAGACAATTAGTAGCTACCGGTCGGGGGTCACAGGCGCCACATCGAATGCCCGAACCCATACAAAGACCTAGCAAAGCCGTCTTCCACCCAGGCGTTATAAAAGAAAAGAATCCTCAAATGCGATCGAAAAATGTGCATCAAATATCAAGCAGAAGAGCTTTTAATCCAGTCAGTACCGCCCAAACCCAAGTGGCTGCATACCAGTTTCAACCTTTACCCAGACAACTTCAGCCAACCCAACCACAACAGCAACAACAAACGTTCAGAAGTCAACAGCATAAATTGATGTTAAGCAACGTAACACAATTCTTTGCCGAAGATAAAGAAATTGAACACCAAAGAAAACAAAAGCAAGCGAGCCAAAAACGAGAACCGGTCGCCACCACCATCAGTAGTGGTGAAACCACGACCACCAATCAACAAGCAACAGCAGAAGATAAGCGAAAGCAGCAACCAAAAATACAACACGAAATCAAGCAAGAAACAAAACCTCAGAAGTCAATAATAAAGGATGAGCAGCAAAAGAAGAGGCGACAGCAGATACCGGACAGAAGAGGCGTCCGTACTGCCCAGATTCCGCCACAGCGAAGTCAAAATCGCCCTCCAAATAGGTCGAAACCTAGTGGCTTAAAACAAGAGCCTGCAAAATCTATTCAGCAAGTGTCGGGAGTTACTCCGGCCAAAGCAGATACGCCCAAATTAGAAAAGGTCGAAGTAAGTTCGGCATCATTAGTGAACTAATGATTTTGAAGAAAAATAAAAACTTTTAAAAACGTTCATACAACAATGTGTTATCTGTTGTTAGATTAAAATAGTTTGTAAGGTATTGTAAAGATAAATTTTCATGAAAACTTGTCAACTGATGACAAGTTGGCGTTTTTTTTCAAAATGATGCTTAAGATAGGCGACAAGGAATATTTGTTTACATTTACTTTTCATTGTGGATAAATTAAAATTAGCAAATAAAAAGACTTGTCTAGTTTGAATACTTGTGTGTGTTGGTATACTGGTATGGGTTATAAAGTATCTTCCCCTTGAAATAACAGAAAAACTAGGAAAAGCAGTCGAGTATACACGATTTTATTAGCTATTCCCACTATCGTTTTGCAATATAAGTTTTAATACAGTTTTATCACTGTGAAAAGCTTGTCTAATGGCCATCGCAGCAATACCACTTGTAACATTTTGCAACGATTTTTCATCAACACCTAAAATTATTTGACCAGTTTTCAACAGCGGACATGATCCTGCAACTGTGCCCTCGTCCTGTGAAATAAAGATTGGTAAAACTATTTACATATGTCTTCTCACCATTGCATTGTAATGCGAACACGATTATTGTACTATTTGGCAATTTTACAATCTATTCTTTTTTTGAATAAATTCCTGTGGTTTTTCAGTAAAAGATACACGGAAAACATCAGAACTTGGTAAATCCAAAAATTGGCCATGAATAATTTTTGTTCTTACACCTACTGACTACGATTTACTATATCTAAGTGATGAGTACAATGCTCTAGAATTTGAATAAGTGGCGTGGTTGGATTCCGGAGGTGTATTTGATCCTGCAAACATGGTCATATTATGGTACATTCTTTTACATACGACTTGTGTATATTTCCTTTTATTAGCTTACTTCAAACAGATTTCGTTTACAGATGACTGTTTTTTTGGTATGCGAAATGATTATGAATTTATTATTCCCCATTTCCAAATTATCGTGCAAAAGGCAAAGTGCCGTCTAGATTTTTCTTAGCATCAAATGTGGTATAACAACTGCCTAAAATACTAACTCGAACTAACTCTTCTTACGAAAGCCCTCAGGTCGAAACGTCGAGAAGTGTTTTGTCTATTTTAGGCAGTTGTTATACAACATTTGACGCTAAGTTGTTTGAAGACGCTGCTCCTTGTTATATTGGAACGTCGTAACCTTATCATATTTCTGTTAAAGTCGTCAAAATGATGGCAAGCCTTCGCAAAAACGTTTGTAAAACTAATGAACTGAGGTATACCTTTATCGATTTTATTCTTATTTCTTTGCTGTCTGTATCAGTTCCTCCAGCCACTGACAAACCCAGATTACTTGAATGTTTAGTAAGTTCGACAACAAATGGTTGGTTATAATCCACAGAATCCCCCGTCTAATGAAATGTTATTAAATATTGTTCAAGATTATTTGAATCTTTTGATTTTCATGTGTATACATAAAAATTAAAATGAGAAAAAATGGTATTTGTTAAGGGGAACTTCGCACAGATAAGGATTCCTTATGAGATTCATTTTAAATAAACATATTACCTGAGAAATGTTGGATTTTGATTTTTGTTTCATCTTTTGCACGGGTTCTTTTCTATTGCTTTGCGCGACAGACGATTTTTTATTGAACTTGTGCAGACGTTCTGAAAACGTTGCAATGTTAGTCTCCACTGCTGTATTTCTCGGAACCTTGTCCGTCTCTACCGCCGTATTTCTGGAAACTTTGTTCGTCTCTACTCTTGCATTTTTTAGAACTTGACTCCTATCTGCTGCTGTATTTCTCGGAACCTTGTTCACGTCTAGTGCTGTATTTCTCGGAACCTTGTTCATGTCTAGTGCTGTATTTTTTGGAAGCTTGCCCATGTTATCCAATCGGCTAGTTCCGAACGAAACAAAATCGTTTTCCACTTCAATTTCAATATTATTCAAATCCATTCCCTTACACTCTGGTCCAATATTAGGAATGTCGTCCTCAAAATCTTCCGCATCAAGAAATAGTTTGTCCGGTACAGGAGGAGGAGGAGTTTCAAATTCATTTTCTTTGACAAAATCGTGAGTCTGTTTTGGTTGAATTTTTGATTTATCCACAGTAGCATAGATAGCTACATTCTCTTGGTTATTCTGCATTGAATCTTTAGTTTTCGAAGCATTTCCAAGTCTATTGTGTACAACAACGCCTGTCGTTTGGGGATTACCAATGCTAATTGAACAGCCGTTACTCATGTATCTATTGTTGGCACGTGAATCCTCATGTTTCCTATCATACTCGGAATTATCCACAGAAGAGTACAAACCATCCGACGTGTCACCATTCAGTAATGCACTTTTGACCTTTTCTTTTTTGGATATGTTGTTGGAGACGTTTTGATCAACACTTGTGTATAAATCATCGTCATCGTAGCTTACGTTTCCGATGGGGAATCCATTTGAAGTTAACTGTCTACTCTTTCCCCTCACAGCTTCGTTCATATCCGCTTTTTTATCAGTGAAACAATTGGGTAAATGTCCAGATGACGTAGTCTCGGCGTTAGGGTTAGACGAAGAATTACGAGCCGTACTATTCAAATCAAAAGAATCGTCGAAAAAATCTTTAGGTGGATGCGGTAGAGCGTCTTCTTTATGACGAATTTTTAAATTTTTCTTCGTACTTTGTCCTTCACGGCTCTAGAGTTAAGATAGAAGATGTATTTCTATTAGTTCTACGATACTTAGGCGTAATCAGGTTCTCTCGTAAAGCAACGGACTTTATGAAAAAACGTTTTGTAAACAATACCTCAAATAAACCTAGCCACGAATTCGTTGTTGTTGATGAATCAGAACTTTTATATGAATACAGTGACAGTCTATCGTGTTTTGTTTGTCTTCTGTCAGTATTGTAAGTCTATAATAAGAAGATGAGTACCGGGTTGCTTTAGAAAACAATAAAAAACCTCAACCGGATTGAAACGAGATGCGAATTGTGTTTTCATGCCTAAGTCATTATTCATTACTTACATGTTGTGAGTGTTCAAATTTTTCCGTCCAGTCATCAAACTTCGCCAAGTCGCGAGGAAGTATTGCTAAACGAATTTCTCGGAAAAGCGAACCCTACAAAAAATATAACAGCGTAAAAATAAAAAAGGAAACAAAGGAACAGGAAAACAAATAAACGTATATATATGCAGAGGCAAGCAAGAAAAACTGCAATTAAATAACTATGAGGTATAAACGCGTAAAGACACAGAAACAAAGTAGTACAAACTACCTTTTCTGGCGTGTTTAGAAGATCTGACAAAACAGTCAAGAATGCTGTTAAGGAGAGACGGTTTGTTCTGTACTCATCAAGGTAAAATTCAAAGGCGTGCAAATCATCGCCGGGTAACAACTGACGTGCTTTCATTTCCAATATTTCATCGCTATGATCCAAAACTGAGTGATGGGTCAACTGAGAGCTGCCCATCGGGTCGTGAAATGAAGGAGTCTGCAAATACAAATACAATTGAATTTTTTTTACCAGCGATCCATTATAATACGAAGAAGTTTCCATTAGTTCATTTAAGGGCATTTAAACTCTCTTTAAAATTTGTTCGCAAATCTGTTGCTTTGAGAGTTGCTTTGAAAGTTGAAGGACACGTTTTCCTGGGGGCTCAGTCTGGGGCACGGGAGTTGATTAAAGTCTTATATATGCTCTCAATTAATTTTTCTCTGGATGCCAACAAGCTACTGCACTGATATATTCCTATACGGACCATATTAAGATATATCATTGAAGATTAATTCTCACCTTTTTCATAGTCTTTGATTTTCTATCAGTGGAACTTGAAGAGGATGGCCTTTAAAAAGAAATGTAGTAAATTTAATTTATATGGGCAAAGTTGCAGGGGTGCAAACGTGATGAACAATTTGCAGGAAATGGCAATACTTATAGAGACGTAGATTATAAAAGCACAGGAACTGCAACTCATTGTTCTGTTTTTCTCGTTCATGGTTTAATGGAGCTTTGAGAGCAGGACATGGAAGGTTTGCCTACAACTTATTGTCCTTTTTTTGGAAAGAGAACGTTGAGATGTCTTGCAAATCTGGGGCCTGAGAAATTTTATCTTTTGTCCCCCCTCTGGTCTCCCGTTGATCCCCCTCCTGGGAACCCCAGCCGCCCTCAGGCGACCAGGCCTCAGCAAAGCCTCAGCATGATCTCAGTATCTGTGATTTCAGGCGAGGACTTGGCAATGTAATTTTGTCTGCTACAACAAAAATTTTCTCTACTCGTTGCCGTCTATCGTCGTATTTCTCCCATAAAATTACACGACGTTTTTAGAAATAGGTTCAATGGACCCAACAGACTTGATTGCTCAAATTCCTAAGCAAAAACATTTTAAGATGGGACCTTATAAAGGGTCATAGAGACTAGAGAGTCGTTTAATATGGATTCTATATCTTTGTCTATGGTTGGATTTTAATAGAGAAACCAGAACCTCGAGAAGCAAATGAAAGGTAAGTGTTTACGCCACCTTGAAGAATCTTTAGTTTCCGCATCACGAATCCATCTAGTTTCGTCGTAAACTCGCTTGCCATGAGGCAGGATTCCTATATCTTTTAACATGATAACAAGTTGTTGTGAACTTTTGAGCACTCGTACGGCTTCTTCATGGGAAATGTGAATGAAACTTGTGCCGTTTACATCCAAGATTTGATCACCCACCTAAAATTTTAAAAGAAAGTTTTTAAAATTTAGAAATAGCACAAAAGTTTAACATTGGTGGCAAAAAGTGCGACAATTTGTCCAGGTGAGAGGTAGAATGTTTCTTTATGTGCGAAAGGGATATTTTAGGGAAAGATGTGACATGTTTTACACATATGTTTTCGATACTTACCTGAATCCCAGCTCTATCTGCTCCTGAGTTTGGTTCAACAGATGCAATAAATATTCCCAAACCATGTTCCATACCACCCCGAATCTTTAAACCTATTTCTGCACCATCTGCGATAAACAAGTTTACCTAAAAAAGAATCCTACGTTAATAAACTTGTTTATAATAGATAGAAAAGGGCAAAAGTGATAGATTATACTGATTACATGCTATTAAGATGGCACTTTGAATGAAATATATTTCTGATCAGTTAGACATCCAAAGTCATTCTTAAGGTGCATAAAGAAACATCAAAACACCACCTTTCGTTCATCATCATCACCCAATAACCTCATTTCACTTTTATCTCCATTCATCATGTTTGCATATTGTGATGGAGGAGAAACCTCATTTCCACGTGGATCAATCCATCTGTATGATGAACTTGACTTGAAACTTCCAGGAATCTTACCCACTGATTTCACTAACATATGTAAAATAGTTGCATCTTGGAATATCTACAAAATAGTAACATCATGAACATGACTTGTCGCAAGTATGCATTTGTGTCACTGTAAAAAATGTAGACAATGCATTTACTGCAGAAAAGTGGGTCCCAGCACAATATTTAGATGTCAGAGCCTATTTGGTGTGATATGAGTAGCTGTATCATTACAACCAAGGGGATACTATAGGAGGCGTGCAGGCTTGGATGATTCCAACATAGTTCGATTATAGTTGGATTTAATTCCTTAGTATCACATCAATCCTCAATTTTATACTGGATCATCCTGGCCCCATCATGAACAAGTATGCTAATGAGAGATTTGTCAAGAAGTAAAAATTAATTAGCCCCCCACGCAGATGGGCCCTTAAATCCTAAATATTTGTATTTCGAAAATTTCAACATGCAAAACTAAATGCATGGCTAAAAGTAATAACGCGTAGGATATTGAATGATTTACTACAAATCTTTGTTAACTATGATAAAATTACGTTGACTAGCTTAGATTGCTGCTGGACAGACTTCGTCAGTCTCAAGCGTGTGGATAACGTGACCCTGTATACCCTGTTTTCTAAATGCAATATTAGCTACGACGTTTTCTAAATACATTATATATTACTTAAACAATCAGTTAACAACTAACTCTAAACGCCTGTTCACACTTGCATTTCGATTTTATCGCGATTTTCGGGCTATTTTCTTTTTTAGATGCGAACTAGGGAATAGTTATGAATGTTCTGCTTATAAGAGGCCTCATAAAGTTGACGGCTTGCATGAACATTCGTAACTTATCCACTCGTTCAGACGTTCACGTTTATCAAACGAAGAAAATTGCAGGAAAAATTGCATCGAAAAATTGAAAGGTTTAAACGAGCTTTAAGATTTCGATGCTAATTGACGGCAAATTATCACGTAGCACAGGGTTATATTGAGATTTGAGATCATATCTTGCGAACAAGGAGTTAGAAAAACATTACTTTGATCATAATCTAACTGCTGCTGTGTTTTTACTGCTATTAAAAACGTCAATTTCGTTGTTGCCTTTTTACGTGCTGATATGTTCACATCTCGAAAATTCACCGAAACAGATTTGTACTTGTTACTAAATGTTTGTGGTGAAACACTGTTCTAGGTTTTCGGTTAGTGAAATCTAACCCACGTCATATGGGTACTCTTCTTCAGATGACGGGGTTGGTTCAGAAACAAATATTTCAGGTTCTTTGTAATTCTTATGAAAACAAACTTGAGTATAATGGTAAACATTCAGTAATCTCTAGTTTCTCACACTGTCAATATGTCTTCCAGCATGCCAAGTTAAGTAAAAATTTAGGCGACTGTTTAGGAGCTAAGAAGTAAATTAATACTTTCAAATTTCGTTTTGTATCTCGAATGTCGCAAAGAAAAGGAATAGCGACAACTGAAAACTGCATAATATTGAGAAACGGTGGCTCACAAGTCGTGCATGTTTTAATATGTGTGTAGCTACATGGCCACATGGGTAGTTGATTACTGGACTGTGCATCTGTTATGGTTTGAAATCGTGTTTTAAAAACTCTAATCAAAGACGTGAGACATGGCATGTATACAACAAAGTCAACATACTCGTATGACATCATTTACGGCGCAGACCTCTCGCTAAACGAAGTCCCCCTATACGACAAGTTTCTTATGTTATATAACATACTTTGCGTGCTAAATATAAAACTTTATTAATCTGACACTTCGATTCTCTAATATATGCTTAGTGAAGTCGTACCCACCTGCACCGCCTCATGATGAGAAATGTTCCTAAAGTCTACTCTATTCACTTCTAATATTTGATCGCCTAAAGAAATTCCTGCGGCATGTGCAAGATGTCCTTCATCGACAGACGAAACAAACAAACCGATGTTATATTCTGATCCACCGCGTATAGAGAACCCAAAGCTTTCCCCCTCAACCTCTCGCTCTAAGACAACAACTCTTGCGTTAGATTCTTTCCTTTCTCTTCTGGGTCGTGGAGTTGTGTAACAACTGTCTGGTGTTGGTGTTCTACGTTCATACCCAGTCCGACGATATCGTGTATCTGTGGGTAAACTCCGTGTTGTGTCGTAACCATATTTTGGTAAATGTTTCTTCGAGTAGGTAGCATAATGTCTGGCATGTGCTGATCTTGGCCGACCACACTCATAATCGAACCTTTCTTTGTGTTTATGTGGAAGAAAACTCCGTATCAACGGGTAGATTTCCTCCCGTTGTTGTGTGGTATTACATATCTGATGTAAGGATTCCACTAAACGTTGAACGCTTTTATTCTGCTGGTATCTTGCTAAAATCTCAGTAAATTTAGCTTGATCTTCACTGTTGAAAGATTCTAAAATTGATCGATGAAGTTTTGATGCCTTTGGTGAGAGTTGTCTTGTATGATTATACCTTGTGTCGAAGTTCGCCATCTTGCTTTTTATATAAGCTCCGTCTCTACCTTCTTTATGATCCCACTTTATTTACCTTCGTTAATCTATCCTTTCTTTGCGCCATAATAGTTCAAACACGCGACAATGTTCATGCTAATGTTTCTTGTGTTTTTGTTGTCTATTTCGCGTCGCGTAACCAAGTATCAACAGACGCGTCATTTGGTTCGAAGGTCATTTGTCATGCATTGTTTGTGTGGTGACGTTTCAGCTCTTGAAAATTAAATTGTTTGGGATGCTGTGCCTGTGAGTATGAAAGCACACAAATCCACACACATTGGATGCGATGTGGGAACTGGAATTAAAAAACAAAACGGCTGTGAAGGAAAATTTTTGAGACTGAGATATGCTGGTGAAACAATTTAGACTTTTATAGACTGTGAAGTATTTGAGAAATGTTAATCAGGATTAAGTTATTTGTCAGTGAAAACTGACTGTTAACAGTTCGGTATTAGTTTTGAGCTAAATCTGATTCCTCTGGCCTGCCATTTTTTTTTTGGAAAAAAATTGACGTGGAATTTCATCTCAAATGTTTATAGAAAGATTAAAAGGATAACTAGGATGTAAATAATTTTCGATTTCTCGGAATACGGAAGTGGTGAGGAAGTTCTGCATGTTGCTTCCTCCTGAAGAAGACGAGAAGGAGCGTAATAACACGGGGAGGGTTTCACTGGTTCACGTCACCAAGGGGTAGCGAACGACCTCAAGGTACAGGTACTCACCGAGGCAAGAGTTGGTTGGGTGTGGTGATGAGACCGTTACACAGAGCATTAAATATTGCTAGTTTATTAAAAATAGCTTTATCGTTTCATAAAAATACAAATATCAAATAACATGTAATCTAAACACTTCAATCATGCCAATCGGTATATAATATCTCAAGGAAAGCCCTGGATACATAGTTGATCATATCTCCCAACCGTCCAAAGGACATTTTGTTGAGGATTTACGTAGCCAGGTTTCAATACAGTTCGAATGAAACACGTGTCCGCATGGTAAAGTCTTTCGCGTTTGTCCCAGTTCATAACTTTCTATACAAACACTACAAAGTTCGTTTGCATGCTCTTCGCTAGTTTCATCTTCTGTTAAACTGGCCAGTCGTTTCTCTGGCACTGTTTTAGTTGGAATTGATTCGTCCAGACGTAAAAGAAACTCGTAATCTTCTGGAGTAACGTCTCTGAACTGTAAGCTGAGTAAAAAACTGACCATATCTTGCATTTCTCTAGGGGCATTTTCATCACGAAGTGCAAACTTTTCCGTAGCAGGATGATCGCGATTCTCGCTCGTGGTTCGTGTATTTTTTCCTTTAATTTCTTCGAGTCGTTTCAAGCCAAGCTTACGTAGCTTTTTCTCGATGTTCGCCTTACGCTCTAAATTCTGCTCTCGACAGTTGTTATTGCGCGAGATTTGTTTAGTGCATTTATCACATTTAACTTTGATTGCTTTCCTCGTTCCTCGTTCTAGTTTTATATTCTTTGTGGTTTCACATTCTCGGCAGAAGTCTACGAACCTCTTTTCCTTCGACGAAGGCAGCCGCTCGCGTTTCGTCAGACGGGAATTCGTTAACTTACGTCGATGATATTTTAAATCGTGATCATAGCGATCTAGAAATTCAGAATCAATTTCACCGAGAGATTCGCTGTCGCTTGGCATTGCGGAATCTGAGTAGTTTGTTTGTCGAACTGTGTCCATGACATTGTATAAATGTTTTACAACCTCATTTCGTTCTCGTCTCAACTTTGCTTTTTTTAAAGCATCGTTTGTGCTTGTGGTTGTTTCTTTCATCTGATTCTTGGTGCTGTGCTTGCCAGAGGCTGTTGGGATCGTGGAAATTTTGCTGTTGTAGACTTCGTACACCTTAGTTCTTTCCAAAACTTTGGCAGCTGAAGTTGCTAATGAATCTACAGCCATATTTACACAAGTATTATTATGTGTATATGACACAGTGGAAAAAACGAAATCTTAGTAAATTAGATATAAACTGCCTACAACCAGATGAATGAAAATATTATTTGAGCTTGAAGTTTTATACCTGGTTAGTGAATAGAATTAAGAAATGATGTAATTGTTTATTTCAGTTGCGAAAGCTGGGTTTTCACAGAGTTACTTATTATGGCGCAATTTTACAAGATGCGTCATTTCCGGAAACAGCGTGATACTGCAACCAGGCCCTTTCTCGATATATGAGAAACCGAAAGTCTCTCTCTAACCCGGATTATGAGGAAGATTATTCCTGTCATGAGGAAGATTTTCCTGAGTGTAAACTATATATTGTGTGGAGATTGTATGATGTCTGTTTTATTTGTTTTGAAAGGGCTGCTGTAATTGGCGTGAGCTGTAGCAATACCCTGCTTCGATTATTGTGAATATTCATGCATTAATTTGTATTAATTTTGTGCTGTTCGTGTTTGTAATATTGTATCTTAATTGTGCTCAAGTGGCAAAGCAAAATAAATAAATAAATAAATTATAGGAGTTCTTTATTGTTCATATTTCGATATGGCATACCGCGAAGCAGTCTGTGTTTAGAAGATATCTTAATGGGCCGCATTTATAAATAATATGCGCATGCACATCGCGTATCATGTATCGTATGATGTAACGTTACTGTACGTATTTCTCCTTTAAATCCAACTATTAAAAAAATAAAGAAGCTTTTGCAAACTCAAAATAGCGCTTTGCGGGGCCGTAGTATGCACGAATATAACGCAATTTTGCTGACAGTCTAGTCGTGGGGACCAGTCAGCCCCCCCTCCTTACATTCTACATTCCTACATTCTGAACTGTTATATTTTTGTCTGCGTTCAGCGTATTTCGCATTATATTGGTTCGTATGATTTTAAATGAATATCAATAAGCCAGGGTCTGGAAAAATCCAATTTATTAAATTGAAATAATCACTTTTACTTATTAAGGCATGCAATTACGCTGATTGCGAGGTTTTATATTACATAACATCATAAACAGTGCGCCTCTTGCGATGTGTGCGTTTACTGTTGAAATGGTAGAATAAATCTATTCTTCAAAGGACATTTTGAGTTGCTGACAGTAGCGAATAAGTTCTTTAAATTCATTGCCAACAGCAAGTAATGTTGCTTCTTCACATTTTTCTACCGATAGCGTCTGTGAGACAGAATCATTGAAAACTTGGAATTGACGGTGATATAGGGCTGAGAGAGCCAATAGATACTGAACTTTACGCATTGGGCTTAGCTTGTGCCCCTCCTTCTCAAGTTCGCCAACCATAAATAAACAGTTCTTAGCCGAAGAGACGTCGTCTTTTGTGACGTATGCTAAGGGTGCTAACGAACCACTGAGTGACAAACCGAGATACAAATTAGCTAAAGTAATGTAAACTTTTTGCTGAAGATCAGCCACTGCATGTATTAACTGGCTGGATGTAGTTTTTACATGATTGGAATAATCTAATGCATCTCCAAGTAGACATTTTGCCAACATGACGAGCTCGTGATGCCGTTTTTCATCTTTCTCCGCGTTTGCTAAAATATTGGCAAGCAAGGCAGCGTGTGTGCAAAACCAAGCCTGAATCAGGCCGAGAGTGAGGCATTCTGCTTTTTGATGGCCGGCTATAGCTAAGTCGAAACTCTCCTGGAATTTTCCTTCAGCGCGCTTCATTGCAGACTTAATGTAAAGTCCCATAGATTCAGCAATGAGCATATTATCTTTAGATTCTGAAGACAAACGATCGTACGTTTCAATGATCTTGTGAGCAGCATCAAAATTTCCCGAACGGAATTGACAAGTAGCTTCTTGGGACAATGTCGATAGTTCAACATCAGTAGTGTTGTTCTCCGTCTTTACACGGTTGATGAACGCCTTCAATTTGTTATCTTCTCCCTGCTGATTTCGTAAGTGCATCATTATCTGCATGTTCCTGTAGTACGTTTTCTGACTACTGTTTGTTCTGAAACCACTTCGTGCCACAGGATTGATTCTAGATGCTGAACAAATGACCCGTTCTTTCCATTCTTGAAACGACATATTAAGGACTTTTCCATCAACGATATAATAGCTTTCTGGTTCCTTGGCAAATACTCCTTCAATCCAATAACTTATGTAAATAACAATAACAAACATTTTCTCTATTGGCTGACCTTTATCGTCCTTCACGGGTTTAAAGAAAATATCCCAATGTTGTCCTTTAACTGGCTTAAGCTGATGATTTTCTGAAACCCACAAAGTTTTATTCATCGCTTTACTAACTTTGGTAATGATATCGGCTGTGTCTTTGATGTACTCGCCGCGAACAATACCATTGTCATCAACACCATAGTAAATATGGCCGCCACGATGATTTCCAAAAGCGGAGACGTAATTTGCGAATTTATTTTCCTTGCTTATCATACGGCTACCGAGCGTCGCCCTATTACCTTTGCCTTCTTCATCCTTCAGATATTTAAATTGTGTTATTTTACTTTCTAAGAATACTTCTTTTGAAACGTCTGCCCGTGTATTCGATAAAGGTTTACCAGAAACCAAAATTTTGTGATAATCTTCAGACTTGATGTTATCCGTAACATCCGTTATTTCTTTCCGTGTTAAAATCTGCTTTATCTCCAGAGCGGATTGCAGCGGTACTGCTTGTAATTCGGTTGGAATGTACATGTTGGAATGTAGTGTACATAATTGGGTCATACTATGTACTTCGAAAATCATTTCATCAGCAGATACCACTGATATTAGATCAAAAACATCACTCGTATCATCGATCCCGAGTAGGCCACTGAATTTCTGGGAGATTCTTTTTTCTAAATCCTTGGCTTTATCAATATCGCCTGATTCAAGCTCGAAATTCACAATCCCCCCATGACTGTTTATCAGAGCACAAAAGGTTGAATAAATTTCGGATAATTTAGAATTTTCGTATTCTTTCTTCGATTTAAATAAATCGAATTTTACAGAAATCAATGTCCTCTCCTTGGACGTCTCCGCGTCTTTACCTTGTAACGATGTCGCCATACTTCCAGACATGCAAAAGCTGCTTACGCGGCACCTTCTTGTTTTAACACGCACCACACTGACTATCACCCAGGTGTATGTCTATTGTTATTTATAATAAAACATTTATAGTACGCGCGTGCTGATTGGTCGAGAAGCGTGTTTCTATAACTGTATAAAAACACGGGAATTTTCCCGCCGAACTTGACAAGCGAGGCGATGTAATGAGAATTTGTAATTAAATCGAATTATAATAGTTGTACAAAATCTTGTTATTGAGTTATATTATAAAAGAAATAGAAAACATTTTTTCCTGTGTTTCTATACAGTTATAGAAACACTTGTGGGAGTTTGGGAGAACTCGAAATAACGTGGAAAAACTCGCCCTACGGGCTCGTTTTCGCACAGATTATTTCTCGCTCTCCCAAACTCCCACGCGTGTTTCTATAACTGTATAGAAACAAGGAAAATGTTTTCTATTTCTTAAATGTTGTTGCAGAGGGAATTCCCCTCCAATTAACCACTGTGGATAATTATATTTCGTGTATTTAAAATTTATTTTCGGCTGTCATAATGTCTGAAAGTATCTCAAATCACTTCAAAGTGAATCTTGTTTTAAGTGACTTTATCAGTGGAAAATGTAATGGGAAAGCGAAACAAGTAGAGGAAATTATGCGCACTGTGTGCGCGCTTCTGAACACTGAAGGGGGACAGGTGGACTTGAATATGGACAATGACTTTCCGAAGGAAACGATTCACGATCTGATTCGAGAAATTGAACAACGTTTTGAAATTGTGATAGGTGCACTGAAAACATCTGAAAGAATCCAAGTACTGACCGTTACCACACAGAAAGTATCTCTGAAGATTTTACCCATACGCGACTATTTTTGTACGTTGAATTATAATTTGTTCCTGCCGTGTACAACAAAAACAATAGCCCAAAGTGTTGAACCGAAAGAACGACGCACAATCGAAACAGTTATAGAAGGAAAACGGTGCTGTCATCATATTGCCACTGAACTGGGAAGTCATTGTAAAGAGTTTACGAAAAATCAACATTTAAGAGAAGACTTTTTGCAAAGTCATAATGTTCTATGTAAACCGATTAAGAATATGAAGAAAGATATAACAAGCCACAAATTTCAAAGACAGGTATCAGCACTTGCCAATGACTCTGGGGGTCATATTTATCATGGAATTAGTATAAACGGGAATGTGGATGGTGTTGAAGTGAACAAAGACTATATTACCGAAATTACATCAGATTTTGAAAAGGCAGTAATGGCTATGATTTGGGGCAGAGACGTTGAACCAATACGTGGAAGGGAATGGGAAATATACTTCGCGCCTGTGAAAGACGAGAATAATGTTGTTATGAAACGTGTTTATGTAATCGTGGTATCTATTGCACCTTTCAAAGGTGGAGTGTTTACTGCGGTACCGAAATGTTATCATATAGTGGGAGACAGTGTGAAACAAATGGATAATCAAACGTGGAGGGACGAGCTACTACGTAGACGAACTTCACGGCAGTGTAAACGTGTTGATGAACATGTTAGATCCATTAATGTTTCAGAGTTTTCATCCGATTGCATATCCGTGGTGTCAGCCGGTAGACCTCAAGCAGAAGTACCGTTGGAATAAAGCATCACTGTATGTACATTACTGAATAAAGCATCTCCTTTCTGGACTGCCTTCTACCTGTCAGCCCATTAGGATCGCGTTACTTGGGAATAAGGACCTTAAGATGCACCAAATTAACGACGCGGACGTGACATAAAATCAGCCGGGTTGTTAGGAAACCAGTTTTAGTTAGTTTTACAAACAGCTATGACCTTGTTTACCAAAAAGAGTCCATAGTTTTTATTCCTGTTGTGAAACTGTGGTAATGAAGACAGTATAATTTCACGTCGCGTCATTGCTACTGGCTGCATCCGCATGTCAGGGAGTTTGCTTTTTTGTTGATAGGGGAATAGATCCAGTGCGGTTTTGCAGGGAGAAGGGATGAAGGCCAACTTCCTGGTTTAGGGTACACACTGTCACATCCCCGGATACTACTTCACCAATTTTTCAACACATCTCGTGTTACATGAAGTGGTGGAGTTATGCGTATCGCAGGCCTAAGTCTGTTTGAATTTTGAAGTCTCTTGTTTATTCGAATTGGAATCCTTTCTTTTTAATATATAATATTTTATATCTTAATATGTTTCAATTTATTTTTAAAAAACTTACTATTTTGAATCATGGATGAGGAGGATTGTCAAAGCAGAAAAGGTGGCCCAGTCTTTGATCCACCAGTTTATAAACAACGTTATAATTTTGTTGAAAATATTGTGCGTAAATTTGGCGCTAAGAAGGTACTATAGTGATGTTGTAAAGTGTAAACATTCGACCACGTGACTGCATATTAAATATGCTCTTTTGACATTAAATGGACAGGATTTCTTATGTTATATATAAGTTTCCATTTTATATGTAGAGTAGTATTAGTTACCATTTTATATATGCCTAATATTCCATACTCCTGTGTCAAGGATACATGTTTTTAAAGCCTTGCCATAGGTTAGCTGACCCTCAAGGAATTCCAGAGCATTTATAGTAAACCAACCCCTAAGGAATTCCATGCTTTACAGTATACTTTATTTATCCCTGAAGAATTTTATGCCATATTGACCTAAATAATAGAATTTAGAGGCTCAGCCTTATAATGTGTCCTCATTCACCATTTTGGTCAGCATAATATGAAATCTGAGCTAACATTGGTGGCTCAACTGGTAGACTTTGGTAGACTTATTTGTTTATGATGACACGAGTAATTGTGTATGTGCTTTCTTGATGTTATATATAGTCTAATTACTCTAATATATGTAATCTAGACTCACAGGTTTAAATTTTAACAGTATTGTTCACAGTAGCCTAGCCAGCCTGACAATTTTGTCCTGTTATTCCACAGCTTATGTATTATATTAATTTTGTTACATGTAATAGTAATACATACTATGGTGTGCACGTCTGTTAGCAGGCTACCTCTGTGGCTATTCATTGGTGTTCATTGATTTTGAAAACAATGAATTTCTAAAGAAATGAACAAATATGAATAACCTGAGATTTGCATAGCAGGATTAAATTGTCACGCTGGCTACACTACTGAATGTTCAGTGGTTTGCTTTTCTTCTCGTAAAAATAACAGAATATCAAAAATAGCTATAGTGTACTCTAATTGTTAGGTGAAAAATGGTTTCTATTTGTTTTACTAGCCCTTTTTAAATAATTCGTATTATTCTGCTTTTGAAGCATTGCAATTAGTTTTATAAATATATCGCTTAATAATAGTTTTGGTATTTTAGGTGATTGACTTTGGTTGTTCTGAAGGAAAGTTGATCAGCCAGTTAAAAAGAGTAGAATGTGTAGAGGAATTAGTAGGAATTGATATTGATCATGAAACACTTGAATTCAACAAAAGAAGAGCAAGACCTTTTTCTGCTGATTATTTGGATCCCAGATCAAAACCCTTGACAGTCAGTTTGTATCAAGGTATAGGTTGCAAAACTCCAACTGATTATTTAATATTAACAAACAAGTCAACCATTCAATAGTTCACTGGTTATGGTTATTTTCCCACCAGTAATTTTATCTTCTTAAAGAGAATTTGGCCTTTTTGGGTACCATTTTCTTCTTTTGCTGGATTTGATTAAATTATAAATTTTCAAATAATTAGACAGAGTTATATTCATATAAACTAAAAAATCGTTGTACCTACCACAGTTTAATTCTGATCAGCTAAATGCTGTCCAATTTCCAAGCTCACCCATCCTCCTCCTGTGCTATCAAGTCCGCATTAATTTCCACCACAATAAAAATTGTGGTAAAAAAAGTTCAACAGCAGAAGCATTAAAATTAGATTTATTATAGGTTCAATTGCAGAATATGATGAAAGATTTATCAACTTTGATGTCATAGCATGCGTTGAAATGTAAGTTGAAATTAGTTTATACTGTTGTGTATCATTTAGACTTCTGTATCACCTAAATAACTAACTACTGCCATAGTTTTTAACAAATTGCTAATTCAAAATAATAGATTTTTGTTTGTGTTACAGCATAGAGCATCTTCATCCACCAGTTCTCAGTGCAATGCCAGAGATTATATTTGGTCATCTCCAACCAAAAGTTGCTGTTGTGACAACTCCCAATTCTGAGTTCAATGTTCTTTTCCCTGACTTGAAGGGATTTCGGCATTATGATCATAAATTTGAGTGGAATAGAGCAGAATTTCAATCATGGTGAGTTTGTAATAAGAGTATTTATCTATATAGATTATGACGACTCAAAGTAGAATGTTTCTAAGAAATTTGTTGTGTTTTTTAGGGGTTTGATGGTGGCATCTAAATATAATTACTCAGTTTCATTCAGTGGTGTAGGTGAAGACCCTAGTGGTACAGAACATTTAGGGAAGTGTTCTCAAATTGCTGTTTTGGTAAAGAGTGAGGGAAAAAATGGTAGGTATATTAAGTTTGTATGTTGTGGTTTGTAAATTTTGATACTATTTTTAAGAAGATACTAGTTTTAAGAATTGTATATAATGTACACTAACCACTCATAATGATATCTGGAAGTAAATCCTACACTGTGAATACTGCTGTGTTTTGACTTTTGTAGTAAACAAATTTGTTGTACCTTATTTTGTGTAGAGATTCAAAACCAGGTACCCCAAGAACAAACTCCATATGTTAAGGTAAGTGAAGAGTGAATAATAAAGTAGAGTATCACATTTTAAGAAAATAGAATGATAGGAGAGGAACTAGTGACGAGGTAAGACATCCAAAACGTTTTTAACAATAGAAAAAGAAATGGTATACAAAACCGGGCAACATTGCTGGCAACTCGTGTTGGCACTGTTTAGTTTGAAATCTAGATGATATTTCAGCGCTTTGGCAAAATATTTTTCGTATGACACAACAGGTATTCACCAATTGAGTGAATCACGATGTTACTTTATCACCAGGTAATTTCCTGTGTGCATCCTTTTAAAAAAGAACGAAGTTTGGAAGAGCTTCTTACAGAGGAGTTGGAATATTACACTTTGTTCTTGGCTGATGATTTTAAGAAAGAGGAGCATTCTCGTTGCTCTGAGATCCCTTTGGAAAGTTTTTTTGAGTTTCCAAGGATTTCCAAATTGACAACAGACGTGGAAGTTTTAAGGTACATTATTTTACGTTTTTATTACCTTATTTTCAGTTATTTAAGCCATTTTGGCACTTAGCTTACAAGTAATAAATATAACTATTACCCGTCAATCACAAAACTACTACAAAACGTACGCTTGAAATTTATTATGTACCTGTTTCAAATATATTGCAAAAAAACCCCAAAAATTAGATTCATTCGACTTAATATGTAACTAAACAGCATGATAAAATAAACTAAACGAATGTGAATCTAGAATGATAATTTAGTTCTAGAAATTGCATTAATATTTCCTACGATTTATAACTGGCATCAGTGGCGTCGCCAGGTCGCTCAGACTGGGGGGGACGAGGCACCAAAGCGCAAGACCTCTAGGGGGGTTCGGGGCATTCACCCCCGAGAAAATTTTTATTTCTAGGGTCTCTAAAACGCTATTTCCCGCATTTTCAGCAAAGTTTTATGACAATCCGAAAGCCACAGACCGGAGATTTTTGTTATAAACAAACAGTTTTTACAAGGGGAACTTTTTGTTGTTAGCTAATCTGCCTAATCTAAATGTGTCAACAAGAGCATCCAATTCAATTTTATCTGCAATGTCTCTTTCTATATGCTGACTATGTTATTCTACTGCTATTCTTTACATGATCAAAAGTAATGTTAATTCGAAAATTTCTTTATTTACTCTGCTGTTGGAAATTAGAATCATTGTACCCCCCCCCCTTTTCTCTTCAGATTTAGAAAAATTCCAAAAGTGGTCTTTAGAATAAGTGGGGGGGACGAGTCCCCCCCAGTTCCCCCCCTAGCGACGCCACTGACTGGCATTGGAAACTATATTCAACAATATCCCCACAGGAAGGTTATTCAAGCTAGCCCAAAACTTGAACTTAACGATGCTCTAAACGCTGTGGTGTACGAAAGAGCTGACAATGAATGGCCAAGCGACGAAGAGGGTGAGGAAGGCATCACAAAATGGGATTCCGAGGGTGTTGGCAACTATTATGAACGATATTATAAACTGGACTGTCCTAATGATGAGGAATGTTGGGATATGGAGAATGCAGAAATGGAATCTGATGATAAGGAGATTGATAATTGGTCAAATTGGCGGTCGACGAATATATCTGGTGATTGTGAACATCAAAGATCTAAAAGAGAGGAATTTTTTGCCGACAACGATTAACGTGGTGAGAATTTATTTCACCATGCATGCAGCAGGTTTGTTAAGATGTCTCGACAATTTTGTTGTTCCCAGATGATTAGAACTATTCTTGTGTAAACAGACAATTTCTGGAACGATTTTTTTTCGACAAGCTGGAACGGTATTGCCGTGAACAAATATTTACCTGCTCGATAATTCAAGTTGACAAAGAATCCAGCACAAGATTAATTCTCAAAATCAACTTATTTTATGGTGGTATGTTCACGTACAACTGTAGTCTGCAATATTAACTATGACGTTGTTTTACACGAACATTTTTACACGAACAGTTGAAATTTTATTTTTATTTACATGATTTCAAGCCTATGCGTGGGCTAGTCCCGGGGACAGTTTTATTTGCCCAGCCGGCATAATATACCCTGCAGAAAATGCCAGGATCCAGCCTGGAGGGGATAAAAGGGAATTACACTTCATATAATTTGTTTTACAGTGTGGCATCTTTATCCTGCCAGGGTAGGATATATACATAGACTGGCCCTAATACTATTTTAACATTAAAATTTATTCATATTCTTTTATTGTAATTAAATAATGTAATTTTGCAAATCTGTCGATTCGACAGAGAATACGCAGCTTTATTGGTAGATCCCTTCACTTAGTTTAGTTCGTCACAACCACATAGATGCGAGGCTAAAGAGAGCCAAGCCGACTCGAAATCGCGTTGTATTTTTGTTTTCTTTTGATTGTAATACGTCTTAACGTTAACGGGTCAGTATGCAAAACTGTATTTAATTATGTTTTCGGCGTGAACGAAATTCCTATTTTAGAGCGGAAACTCAATAACACGATTTTCGATTCGATTGTCGACTTAACCCATTGGCTTTTCAGACCCACTTGTATATACGCTGTAATTACCAGGAAGGTCGATTGTGTATCATAAATAATTCAAATTCGTGGCTGTGTTGTTTATATTTGACTTTCTTCTGACTGTTCGAAAAATTTGATGAAATTTTCTGCGTATTTCTTCATTTCAACAAATGTACATTTTTCTGCCAAATTTTTTGCCTCTTTGCTGTAGTTCAAGGCATGTTTCAAGGTCTCATTCTGTCGAGATGGATCTTCTCTGCCCAGTCGGTAAGATAAGCAAGCTTCTGCGAAGAGGCTTTGAATCTTTCGAAACTTGCTAATCGGGTAGCTATCAAGAGTTATATCATATGCTTGTCTTAAAAATTTCTTTGCTTTTTCGGTATCCACGAGTTCCTCAGAGTCTTGCAACACATCACCAGTGAGACTGCAAGCCAATTGAAGCAACGCTGAATTGATATAAATCTTTTGTAGATATTCTGCTTTGGTGGTTCTGTGCCCCTGGATTTGTTTTAAATGACTGCTTGCGAGAACGTAGTTTTTTTCGGCCTGGCTCCGTAAGGCAAGTCGTTTCTCGTTATCTTCTGTCTTCATTGCTAAGATGTTCTCCAATGTAGCAATTTGAACGTAAAAGGCCGCGGATATTATGCAATAGGGAAGCTTTTTTAAATTGTGTGAACATTGCTTTGCGATCTCATAACTTTCTTCATAGTTTCCTTTGCATCGTTCCTGAACACAGCGAAGATATTGTTCCATTACTTCAAATCGTCCCATTACTTCAACCTTGCTGGAACTTGAGACTGAAGTTAGCTTTTTCGTGTATTTAATAAAATATTCCTCAACCAATGAATATTCACCTCTCCTCAAGTAGAAGCTTATGAATTTCGACAGACAAATTAAGTCCACGTCGCCGCCGTTCTTGTAATTTTCTCGGGCATTTTTGATTGCGGCGTCGAGTACGTCGAGTTCTTCGCCTTTGTTAAGATGATATGTCAGTTCTTCGTACACCAAGTCTGAAGGAGTATTGGCAGGATATGTACCTATGATTAAATAGAGTAAATTATTATTTGCACATCGGCACATCACGTTGGAAATATCTGTGAGCGGCTCCCAGGCCCAGATGTATTCTCTTTGAAAAATATTGCGCCAAAACCGTATAAAAAATCTGAACATTTTGTGGCTTATCAAAATAATAGAGTATCTATACTTGGAGGAAATATCATAAGCAAAGTTATGAAATATAAAAATCGGAAACGTTAAGGCTTTCAAAAAGGCAAAAACATCCACTCACTATTTCCCTCGAAGGCATGCATGCATGCATATAATACATAAAACTGACCCACCTTCCTTTAGTGCTAAACAGGGATCTATCCTTTGAACCCACGACGAATAATCGATCTTGTGTACTTTATTATTAATAATATCATAACACTCTGGCTCTTCAGTAAATACACCGCCTCGACATTGGGCCACGAAGACAACAACTACGTATTTCTGTGGGATTGCATTCTCTGTGTTATTCATCACTGGCTCAAAAAAGACGTCCCAACGTTGGTCTGCAGGCTTGCTATTCTTTGGCCATATCATATTTTTTAATTAATGCGCCAATTTTTGACTTTATTTTCCATATTTCGTCCTCGGTAATATTTTCTCCTTCGACCTTTCCGTCGTCGTTAATACCAAAATAAATGTGGCCGCCCGCGTAGTTTGCAAATGCAGAAACACAGCATGTTAGTTTGTTGCTTTTTGAACTCAAACGGGCTGTGAAAGTACTCGGGTCATCTTTCAAATTCTTGAACTGTACTGTTTTAGATTCGGAGAATGGAACAATTTCATCTTTCACGAACTTTGTATAGTGCGAATGTCGTTCAACTGGAACAACTTGAGGGATGTTTTTCATTAATATTGCTCTGATCTTTTCCACATTTTCGGACGGAGAAATTTCCATGATAAGCTCACTACTGGGCAAATATATGTTGTTCTTTACTGCCAAAATACCCTTTGTTTTTGTCGATGTTTTTACCTCTATTTTCATGTGACTTTGTGCTTGAGTTGACGACGGTGAAATTTTAACATTGATATCAAACGTCAGCGATATGGTTCCTAAGAGATCTTTAACTTTCTGTTCAAGCATTCTCAAACATTTTTTTAAATGTCCAGACGGCGGGGATTTTTTGTAATACAGTACGAGTGTTCCGCCGTCACTGTTGTATAAACCGTCTATTGCATTAATTATTTCTGGCCATTTTCTTTTCTGATAGGTTTTGTCATGTTTGTTGCTCAGTTGAGTTGGAAATATCTCAATTCTTACCAAGTGTTTATTGGTTTCCACAACGACTGGTTTTGTTTTCTCATTTCGTGTTGTACGCATTGTGTTTGTCACAGCAGCAGATAATGACTAATGTTTCTCTAAAAATGGAAAATGTTTGAATTAATGCATGCTGTTGACGTCTTTAGCCCGAACCTAAAAACATTAACTCATTTCGCCCTTCGGATTCTGAGAAATTCTTAGCTTGTCCGAATCTTTGGAATTGCTTCAAAACGCTGTTATGGTCACGCATTTTCGAAAAGAATGATCTAATTTTAAAGTTCTTTACAATCTTAATCATTGCTTAATTCACTCTTACACAAATATGAATTAATCGTGATAGGTATCTCGTGGGTATTATTTCCTGTCGCCTTCTTCCGGACCTCTTCGAATAAATTAGAAGGAAGGGAAATTCCCTCTGTAACATCGATCGAATAAAATATTCATGTCTATTTTGAATGACAACTCCGGAAGTATAGCTGCTTATTACGTCTACGGGTGGCGTTTAAGTATTCGCACCTGCTGTCGTTAACATGCACTTTTTGTTTCTCTTGTGCGTTGGCAAGTGAATCTGATATTCATTCACGTAACTTTGAACATTTACATAGTTATTTACATAGTTATTTATGCAATTTCTGTTTTAACTTTGCCTTTGGCTTCGTGTAAAGGCTTAGACTTAGCCTGCTTGGAAAGTATGGTCGAGGTAAAGCACAAGGATACACAAACATTGATTGAAATTTATATAACAAAATTAGGCTACACGTTGAACTGTACAATTGTCATATCTTGTAATATATATCGTATCTTGTAATCACTAACCACTCTATTAGCATTAATCCCCTGGTACTCAGCCTGGTATTCAACACTCGTAGTATATAAACCCCTAAAATAGGAAATTATAGCTCCCGCGGTCATGCTATTATGTCTATATGACTATATATAAGTTAAAAATTTTCACAGTTCAATTCATACAGTAAAGAAAAATCTACTGCTAACATCTAAACGCGCTTGGCGAATAAGAGGAACGAAATTTTATACATGTATATTTTTTTCCGGTCTGTCTGAAGCATAACATCAACATGTTAGTTACACAAATTTCACCAAATTTTACCTTCATTCGCGTCATGAATTACTATGATGGTTATTGGTAACTTGTCGCTCGTATTTCGTCGTAAGCGCCAAGCGGTATCACATAAAACGACGTTGATGACTCAGTTTTTGTTCGGAGAAAGCCTTCGGCCACGCATGTGATTTAACATTGTTCCTGGAAATTCTTTATTTACTAAACGTTCCGATAATCGGTCATTATATAGAATATTCTTCTAATACAACATCGTCTATACGGCTAGCTTAGTGGATTTCGTAAAATCTGTTTTACTATACAATCCGATAAACACTCGGACTTGTGATAAAAAGATAATTACTTCTGAACGAATGAATGAACGAATGAAAGCTATATTATATTGTAGCTGATTATATTGCAGCTGAATATTTAAATATTCGGTTGAACCGGGATTCCCCTAAAGTCACGAATTAAAAAAAACAGGAAACACAAGGATCAAAAACCAATTTGTGTTGCCTATTTATTATTTTATATTCCTAGGAATTTATTCAATTGCAGTGAGACTAAGTTTTCTTTTGAGCAATCTATCACAATCTTTAAAACCATGCCACTGCATATAATCTGGTCCAAATGAGTTTAATCGTTCTTTTCTTCAAAGCTGTTTGGAACAGACAAGAGTTTCGTACGCACTAGTTCTTCTGTAAACAATGCTTTGTTGGCCCTACTCCATTCAACCATCTCTGGAAACTTGTTTTCTTTTGCAAGACATTCGGCTTCTTTGGCGCAGTTAAAAGCAATCGTCAAAAGGCGAGTTCTTTCTTCTGTATTGACTTGTGAATGTCGATAATGATAAATCGACTGGACCAAATTAAATTGAATTTCATGATATTTGCTGAGTGGGTTTCCTTCAAGAACGGTTTCATGCACACTCATGAGAATGCTCCTCGTTTTATCTAAACCTGAACGGTCAACTTTCTTTTCAATGCGCTGTCCATTAATACTACACCCAAGATGAAATGCCGCCAGAATGAAACATGCCTTCTTCCTTAGATTACTGACCATTTCAGGAGAATCCGACACATGCTGTAAATGTTCCAAGGCTCTTGCAGAAAGAACATCTGGTGAATAGTCCAAATTCTTCGGGTCATTTAGAGCTGTTCCAGCGGCAAAAACGTATACAGTGGCTGTTACTACGCCTGGTTCAATAAGTTCAGTCTTTGACAAAGCATCATCTAATATTTCTCTGAGCCCGTCGGTCTTATCTCCACGAGCACGTTTTAGTGCTGCTTCTAAATACAATCGGATCACTTCGAATATAAACGAGTCTTCATTTCTTTTAGATAAAGTTTCTTTGTACTTTTCCAGCAGGTTTTCTGCTTTAGACAGACGTCCTCTACGGATACATGCAATAATTTCCTTTGATAAAATTGAAATTCTTTTATTGTATAACCCGGACTTTTCCTGAAGATTTTTACTTTTTCCTAAAACTGCTCCCCAATGTCCGTCGTTAATACTTGGCAGTAGTGCCTGACGAGGCTCGGTGAAGTCTTTGCGAGCCTCAACTGAGCTCCATGTGATATGGGGGACTTTCAAACAACGCAACCCACCTGGTTTCGAAATTCTTTTCTCCCAAGCAATAAACGACATCATTTCTATTCTTCCCTCTACCATTTCATAACATTCTGGTTTCTCCGTGAACACGCCACCCGGACATGAAGCGATGTAAACAACGATGACGAAGGTCGATGGAATAGCATCACTAGTTGTGGCTTCATCTATCACTGGTTCGAAAAATATATCCCAATGTTTACCTCGTTTTGGCTGACCAATCTTTTGTGGCCAGATCAACTTGTTAATCGCTTTCTCAACTTTCTTTGTAATATCGTGTTTGTCCTCTTCATTTGGAACAACTTCTCCCTCAACAATTCCATCATCTGTGATGCCATAGTAGATGTGTCCTCCCCTGTAGTTGGCAAATGCTGAAACATAACAGCTGAATTTATTGCTTTTACCAGTCATACGATCTGCTAACGTCGTGCACTTGGATTGATCTGCTTTTAGATACTTAAAAACGCACGATTTATTTTCTCGGAAACCACAATTTTGAGATTTAATAAACATTTTCACATGCCGTACAAGTCGTTCCGAAACGTCGCTATTGTTGATAATATATTTGACATATTTTAGTGATTCCAGTGGAGGAACTTGTACGACTTGTGTTTTACTTGGCAAATAAAGGTGGTAATTTGTAGTTATTAAATGATCTACTTTTTTGACGAAAATTACTAAATTTTGTTTTCCCTCCAGAAATATGATATTCGAAACCGTCTGATTTACTCCAATAATCGATATCATAGATTGTTCCAGTATTCGTACCACAAATGAAGAATTTTTGCTCAATCCACACTTGCATTCGTTATACAACACAACTTTTCCACCATTAGTATTGAGCAGAGCACAAATAGCAGGTATTATTTCTTTAAGTTTTTGTTGCTTGTACTTTACGCTCGTTTTCAATTTACACAAATATATGTCATGACTAATTTCTTCAACAGGAGTGTTCATCGTAGTTTGATCGTATAGAGTAATGATTCCTGTCCTGACAACGTGATGATACTAATTCAACTTCATGGTCATTGTTTAATTCCCTGAAGTATAAAACGAAAGAAGACCCGATATTAACTTGAAGATATATACGGGAACAGTTACACAATAGTCGGTAGACAAGTAACCTGATCGGTTATTGCCTGAATATTTTGCTCATGCAGCAAAATAAATTATGTCTAGTAATCAAAAATGTCAAAGTGTCAAAGGTTATTTTAGGCTGAAAGCCATCATGCTTAGATTTAAACTTAATCCTTACCTTCTTTAGCGCGTTATGAATTACTATAATGGCTATCGGAAACTGGTCGCTTAGTTCAATATTTTTTCGTATCACATAAAAAGACGTTAAATTTCTCAGTATCAGAGACGTTGCCATTACATCCCTTTTAGCCAAATTCTTTAGTTGCCGATAAGCTGGATAAACTTGTTGTATAATGTAACTAAACATCGTCTGTACGGTGGTTTAGCGGATTTCTTTAAATCTTCATTGCTATACCGTTAAATAAGCCAGCATGGTTCACTCGAGTGAAATAAGGCACAAAGGGAAAGACAAATGTCAAAACAAAGAAATGCAATTAAGCGTGCGACGTAAGCATCGACATAGGGCAGGGGTAAAATGCGGATAAGGATTGCGGATGGCGGATGAGAAAATGCGGATGAAGGGGTAAAATGCGGATGAGAAAATGCGGATGAGGGGGTAAAATGCAGATGAAGGGGTAAAACACGGATGGGAAAATGCAGATGAGGGGGAAAATGCGGATAGGAAATTGCGGATGAGGGGGGAAAATGCTAAAAAAAGGAAAACGATTTTTATATGTAAAAGCTGGAATCTTAAAAATATAAATTTATTGCCTTTCTGAAAATTTGTTTATCCCCACAATGGCTGCGGCTGTGTCGCGCGTGTTTTCGATTTCATGCAAGAGAATCTGCGGATTTGTAAAGGCATTTCTGTCCATCGATATCTGGTTCCAACAGGAAGGTTATTCAAGCTAGCCCAAAACTTCAACTTAACGATGATCTTAACGCTGTGGTGTACGAACGAGGTGACAATGAATGGCCAAGCGACGAAGAGGGTGAGGAAAACATTACAAAATGTTTGACTATGACGTTGTTTTATACGAACATTTCTACACATTTGTCAGACGTTAATAACCAACGTTGAAATTTAATTTTTATTTACATGATTTCATGTGGACTAGCCGCGGGGACAGTTTTATTTGCCCAGTCGGAATAGTATATCCTGCAGAAAATGCCAGGATCCAGCCTAAAGGGGATTAAAGGGAATTTAACTTCATGTAATTTGTTTTACAATGTGGCATCTCTGATCTCTATCCTGTCAGGGTGGGATATATACATAGACTGGCCCTTAGGGGCTGTTTACATGAGGCCGGTTACCCGATATTCAATGAAGCGTGAGAGGACTTTGAGGTATTGAAATAAGTCTTTATGACCCCAAACAAGCACATGCTATTGTTATGGTGATTATACGACTGCCAGGATCATGTCATCTGCTCATTTCAATACCTCAAAAACATCTCACGCTTCGTTGAATCTCGGGTAACCGGGCTCATGTAAACAGCCCCTAATACTATTTTAACATTAAAATTTATTCATATTCTTTTATTGTAAATATTGCAAATCTGTTGATTGGACAGAATACGCAAATTTATTGGTAGATCCCTTCACTTAGTTTAGTTCGTCACGCTTACCTCGACCTTGATAACTCTGCATATCACAAAAACCTCATCCAATAATTGTTTATTATCTTTCATCACTTTCCTGGTATTCAGCACTCGTAGTATATAAACTCCTAAAATAGGAAATTATAGCTCCCGGTCATGCTATTATAATTTATGTCTATGACTATAAGTTAAAAATTTCACAGTTCAATTCATACAGTAAAGAAAAATCTACTGCTAACATCTAAAAGCGCTTGGCGAATAAGAGGAACGAAATTTTATACATGTATATTTTTTTCCGGTCTGTCTGAAGCATAACATCAACATGTTAGTTACACAAATTTCACCAAATTTTACCTTCATTCGCGTCATGAATTACTATGATGGTTATTGGTAACTTGTCGCTCGTATTTCGTCGTAAGCGCCAAGCGGTATCACATAAAACGACGTTGATGACTCAGTTTCTGTTCGGAGAAAGCCTTCGGCCTCGCATGTGATTTAACATTGTTCCTGGAAATTCTTTATTTACTAAATGTTCCGATAATCATATATAGAATGTTCTTCTAATACAACATCGTCTATACGGCTAGCTTAGTGGATTTCGTAAAATCTGTTTTACTATACAATCCGATAAACACTCGGACTTGTGATAAAAAGATAATTGGTTCTGAATAAATGCTGTATTAACCTTAATTATATTGTAGCTGAATATTCAAATATTCGGTTGAACTGAGATTCCCCTAAAATCACGAATTAAAAAACCCGGAAATATAGGAATCAAAAACCGGTTTGTGTTGCCTATTTATTACTTTAAATTTCTAGGAAGTTAATTAAATTCCAGTGAGACTATAAGTTTTCTTCTGAGCAATCTCTCACGGTTTTCAATGAAGGGCTTGCAATGCGTGACTACAATTAATACAATACGATATATAAGAACAAAGTTGGCTAGTTTTAATTCCATTGGGCATTATGATGGGGATAAATATCATTGATGTGATGTATAGAAACAAGAGAAAGCAGACAAAGTAGTAAAAATCCATATTCATTGTTAATTTACAATAACTATTTTTTGTGTTTGAAACTGTGCCAATTTTACCCTGCAGCCTGTAAGGTTGCAGTCTGTAGCCTGAACTTATAGTAATCAGTATTTATATAACCCATATTCATTTATAGTTGAAAACGATGAAGTAATAAACAATCACTCAGCCTCAGGCATGTTGCATCAAGAAAAGCGCGCGAAACACGAGCTGAAGACGAGTGATTTTGCGAGCTTTTCTTTAACTCAGCAACATTCCCAGGTGTTTGAATCAGGCCATGCAAACACGGATACCATTACGTAATTCCAAGTTTGATTTCCAAAAGTGAGTTAAATTTCCGCGTATGGATGGTTTATTCCAAACACGTGGGTTTAGAACAATCAGAACCCACGTTTTATACATATTGTCTTATAAAGCCCATTCTCTGCATATCTTCTCAATTTTATTAGTGTTCAGGCTACCAATAACAAAGGCCGAGCACGGATGAAACGTTATACGGGTGCCCATTTTAGCCGCGCCGTGCTGAATAATTGAGTGTTGTGTAAAAAGGAGTGAAGTATTGTTCATTTTTGTTTAAAACCATGTTTAAAACATTTTTGTTTAAGACCATACCAATGCATATATTCCAAACGAGTTTAATCGTACTTCAAAGATGTTTGGATCAGCCGAGTTTCGTACGCATTTGTAGTTCTTCTGTAAACAATGCTTTGTTGGCCCTACTCCATTCAACCATTTCTGGAAACTGGTTTTCTTTCGCAAGACATTCGGTTTCTTTGGCGCAGTTAAAAGCATCCTTTAAAAGGCTATTTCTTTTTTCTGGATTGATTTGTGAATGCCGATAATGATAAATCGACTGGACCAAATTAAACTGAATTTTATGATATTTGCTGAGTGGGTTTCCTTCAAGAACGGTTTCATTCATACGCATGATAATGCTCCTCGCTTTATCTAAACTTGAACGGTCAACATTCTCTTTAAAGCGCTGTCCACTAATACTACACCCAAGATGAAAAGCCGTCAGAATCAAATAAGCCTTCTTCCTTAGATTATTTACCATTTTAGGAGAATCTGACTTGTGTTGCAAATGTTCCAGAGCTCTTGCAGAAAGAACAGCTGCAAGTGAATAATCTAAATTCTTCGGGTCATTTAAAACTGTCCCAGCGACAAAAACGTATACAGTGGCTGTTACTACGCCTGGTTCAATAAGTTCAGTCTTTGATAAAGCATCAGTTAAAATTTTCTTTAGCGCGTCGGGCTTATCTCCACGAGCGCGTTTTAGTGCTGCTTCTAAATACAATCCGATCAGTTGGAATATGGATGAATCTTCTCCTTCAGCTGCTTTTTGTTTGTAAATGTCCAGTAATTTCCCTGCTTTATCCAAATGACCTCTACGGAAACCCGCAGTAATTAGTTTTGACAGAACGGGTAATCTTAAACTATATAATCCAGACTTTCCTTGACTTTCATTGTCCTCCCCTGAGATGGCTTTCCAATTACCATTGTTAATGAATGGCATTAGTTCTTCATGAGTGTTAGTAAAGGCCTTGCGAGCCTCAACTGAACTCCATTTAATGCTGGAGGTTGGGTGCGGAACGTCGTCTAAAGAGCAGCCTAACAAAGCTGGTTCGGAAATCTTTTTTTTCCAATTCATGAACGACATCATTTTAACTTCCCCTTCCACCATTTCATAACATTCTGGCTCCTTTGTGAACACGCCACCCGGACATGAAGCGATGTAAATAACGATAACGAAGGTCGAGGGGATAGCATCACTTGTGGCTTCATCAATGACTGGTTCAAAAAATATTTCCCAATGTTCTCCTCGTTTTGGTTGACCAATCTTTTCTGGCCAAATCATCTTGTTGATGGTTTCTCCACTTTTCTTGTAATATCGTGTTTGTCCTCTTCATTTGCAACAACCTCTCCCTCAACAATTCCATCATCTGTGATACCATAGTAGATGTGTCCTCCCCTGTAGTTGGCAAATGCTGAAACATAGTGGCTGAATTTATTGCTGTTACCAGTTATACGATCTGCTAACGTCGTGCGTTTGGATTGATCTGCTTTTAGATTCGAAATTACGAATTTTACTTTCACGCATATTAATCTTCCGAAATTTAAAAAAAATTCTTACATGTTCAAGTCTTTCCGAAACGTCTTGTTGATAATGAGTGACATATTTTAGTGATTCCAGTGAGAAACTGTACGACTTGTGTTTCACTTGGGAGGTAAAGATGATAATTAGTTGTTATTAAATAATCTACTTTTTTGACCGAAATATCTAAACATTGTTCCCTCACTTCAAAACTGATATTCGAAACCGTCTGACGCACTCCAAAATCGATAATCATAGATTCCAGTATGCACACAAAGGAAAAATGTTCAGCTATTCCACAGTTGCATTCGTTATGCAACACAACGTTTCCACCATTAGTATTGAGCAGAGCACAAATAGCAGATATTATTTCTTTAAGTTTTTGTTCCTTGTACTTTTTGCTCGTTTTCAATTTACACAAATATATTTCAAGACTAATCTCGTCAACACGAGTGTTCATCGTAGTTTGATCGTATAGAATGATTCCTCTCCTGACAAGGTGATTAAACGATACTAATTCAACTGCATGGGCGATGTTTAATTCCCTGAACGAAAGGAGAACCGAGATTACGTAACTTGAAACAAGACGCCTGCTCTGGCGTTATAAGTCCGATGTCACAGGAAATTTGTCCCCCCCCCCCCTAAGAAACATAGTTTACTTTAGCACCGAACATGCATGTGCATGTCATGGGAAACTTGTTTTTCCCAAAAATTTGGTGACGTTAGGCTTTAGCGATA